CGCGCCGGCGCCTGGCAGACGGGCTGGGCGCTGGGCCTGTCGGGCCGCACCCTGGGCGTGCTGGGGCTCGGCCGCCTGGGCGTCTCGGTGGCGCGCATCATGCGCGCCGCCTTTGGCATGCGCGTCGTCGCCTGGAGCGCCAACCTGACCCAGGACGCCGCCGACGCGCGCGCCGCCGAGGCCGGCCTCCCCGCCGAGGACCCCTCTTCCCCGGGGCAAAAGACGTTCCGGGTCGTGACGAGGGAGGAGCTGTTCGCCACGGCCGACGTGCTCAGCGTCCACGTCGTGCTCTCGGTCCGCACCAGGGGCCTGGTGGGCGCCGACGACCTGGCGCGCATGAAGCCGACGGCGCTACTGGTCAACACGGCCCGCGGGCCCGTGGTTCAGGAGAGCGCGCTGCTCGACGCGCTCGGCAGGGGCGCCATCCGCGGCGCCGCCCTCGACGTCTTCGACCTCGAGCCGCTGCCCCTCGACAGCCCCTGGCGCACGACCGAGTGGGGGAGAGGCGGGCGCAGCCAGGTCCTGCTGACGCCGCACATGGGCTACGTCGAGAAGCAGACGCTGGACGACTGGTATGCGGTTCAGGTCGAGAACATCCGGCGCTGGCAGAAGGGGCAGCAGGAGTTGCTGGTGCCATTTTGAAGTTGGGAATACAAAAGCCGCTGAGGGGCCTTCCTACCAGATATCTGTTGGTAAATTTTTGATTTATATATTAGTCGGCAGCGGTCAAACCGCCATCATCCTCATCCCCGACCAACGGAGGAGGCGCAGGCGGAGCAGGAGTCGGAGAGGGAGCAGCGCGACCGCTATCTGGCCCCCGAGGCGCTGGATGTTCTCGAAGTTCTTAAAGCGCCCGAAGCGGGGCCTGGGGAGAAGCGGCAGCTTTGCCGCCCGAGCCCTTGGGCCGACCGCGCTTCTTGGTAAGGGAGGCATTGGCAAGCATAACGACAAGGAGGAACCGACAATACAAAGTAGCTAAGCAGAGAAGGAACCGAATAAAACAAGGAACCAAAAAAAAGATCATAATTAGTGTAGGAAAAAGGAACCAAAGCGGGCGCAGGATAAAAATAATTATAGCAAGCAAAAGAAAAAAAAAAGGAATGGAAACGAAGGGAAAAGTAAGGGAAAAAGGGTTGGAAAGGAAAGGTGGCGAAGGAATAAAAGCTTTGTAGGACCTCGCTACCGCAACTAGGAAGGCACAATTACTTCAAAAGAAGGAATTACAGCCGTTCCAACGTGGCCACCTGCTACAACCCGCACCCTATTAGCAAAGCTTAAAAACACCACCATTTCAACAGCAGCAACGACCCAACGACGCGGCCAAAAAAAAAGCAAAACGGGACCTTTCCAAAGGCAACCCTAACAACCAACGAACGGGATACAACGCTTCCGGCCAAAGCCAGCCGCCAAATACCGAAATACTAACAACCCGGCCAGCACCGTTATAACCCGAATTGCCCGCCCCAACCACAGCTCCGGGCACCGAAAGCGCCGACCGGAAAACACCCTGAACCTGCAGCGGGACTATAACGACCCGTCCCCCGAGCTTTTTCCTTGCGTACCCATAGCGTTTTTATTATATATTCCCTTCCCCACACAGGACATCCCTCTTCCCATTTTCACTTCACCACCCCTCCAGGCCGGAGGGGACGAAGACGCCTCTTTGCCGGAGCACTTTTTTCTGTAGAGCGTAAATACGAAAAGGCGTCGCTAGCCGTCCAACACCGACTAGGGAGCGCAACGCAGGCGCAGGGCTTTCCCCCCTAGGCCCAACCCAAGGGTTTTTCCCCACGCACTTACAAGCAGAAACACTGAGGTTTCCCCTATATACAAGACAGAGTACAAATAATAATAAATATATATATATATATATATCATTAGCTAGCTCCTTCCACAGCAAGCCGTGCGGTCCTCGGTGTATTCTTGGTGCAAAGTGGGGGCGTGCCCACCGTTTTTGGGATGAGATGGTCGCTCCTTCCTCATCTGCAGCCGCCTTTGCGCTGTTTGATATTTTCTCACCCAGATCTCTTGCCCAAACTGCAAGTGCCTCTGCTTCCTCCCCGCTTCACCAAGGATCATCTAGGCAAGCACCTACCACTCGGGCACCTGCCACCACGCATCCTCACAGTCGTTTTCTCTTTCCCTTCCAGCCAACCCACCTACCTCCAGGTACCTTCCTCGAGAGACACAACAGGCAGCAATGGCGGATCATGACCCTGCGAGCCAGGCGCCAGCTTGCAAAATAGAGCCTCGCTCCAGCCCAGAGCCTGGCCGAACAAGTGAGTTGAACCTCCTCTTTCAACCCCCAGGCCATCGTAGCCTCGCCATATCAATATTAATCCGCGAGCCAAGTCGCAGTCTCTCGTCCAGAAGGTAGTAGTCCGGGTCGTCCAAACCGCACGCATCCGTCGAAGCAGCCTGCAACCTCGGCAAGGCAGAAGCCTCCCAAGCCTCCCCCCCGTCGACGTCCTCGCTTGGCTGTCAACAAACGCAAGGAGACGGCAAAGCAGGCAAAGTTGCAGGAGCTCCTACTTGCGAGGGTCGCCAATATGAAGTTCAGCCCCGAGCCATCCCCCAGCAAACCCGGCTCGGAGAGCATTGCGACTCATATGGGAGGCTCACAAGCCGTCCAGAAGCCCGAGCCGGCCAGCGATACCGCTGCGCGCCCTCAGCTGCCCAGACGGTTCCCCGTCAACGGCACTGTCTCTTCGTCTCTGATCCCTGACCAGCGCCATCCAATTATGAGCGTTGCCGATCCCAACTACGGCCGCCTGTCACCTCCACGCTTCGACGTCGCGCAAGGCTTTCATGTCAGCAGACAGAATCTCGCAAACGCCCCCGCGAACGGTGTCGCCCTATCCCAGAGCCATGACATGACCAAGGTCAACCATGGCCTCCCGGCTGTTCCGAGGCCTACACAGACTCACTACCTTCCGCCCGTACCTCGGGCTAGGGTTGGCGTTATAGGCCCGGGAGCTCAGAGAGGGGTTAGTGTTGGAAGCCCCACGCCTCACACAGGCATCCAGCCCATCGCGGCGGTCGAACCCATTGACTCCAATCGGGAGGCGCCCGTGAAGGCCGAGAAGAGTGGGATGGCCAATTCTGAAGAGCCATCGGATCAGGCCGAGAGGCCCGAGGAGCCAGAGCTTCACTCAATTCCCACGATGCTGTCGCGCGAGTGTCAGATGCGTAGGTTCAACCGTACGTATGCCACCCCCAATCTAGCCGCGCGCTTGTCCAGTTGTTCCTGAGTCGCTTCTGCTCGGGAGCCACTGCCAGATACATCCAGGACATATTCCAGTGAACTTCTCGCCTTCAGCACAGCATTCCAACCCAGTGTTGACAAGAAATCTACTGACTCGGGGTCTCAAACAGCCAAATTCACTGAGCGGAAAAATGCCCGGGGCTTCTGGTGTGATCTCCATCTCCCCGGCGGTAAGATGGTCAGCAATGATGAGGCCAGTCTCTCCTCAGCTGCGGCCAAGATAGAGTGCGCAAGGAAGGCCATTCCCGTGGTGCGGGAGTTGCCTATGTGGTACATGGACAGCTTACCACGGGCATTTCGCGGAGGCAAGTCTCCGCGAAATAAGACGGTGTCAGCGCGGGAAATTCCCACAATGTCAAACGCCCTCGTCTTGCGGAACGGGACCAATGGCAATCAGATGGTCGTGGCGGACACGCCCTCAAGGGGCTATGGTGACCCTTCTTGGCCTGTCCGGCTTGACGCAAGGGAAAGCAAGATTCGCAAGATGGAGGAGACCATGGGGTTTCTTATCCCACCTGTCTATCGAGAGAGCGAAGTCGCTGCTCAGGCGTTCCTGGCGGGGTTCACAGTGGCCAGGCAGGACGCTGAGTCTGGCCCCAGCCCCGCGGGATCCGGCCGTCGATCCCGATCTCGCCGTGAGCGCTCCCCGATCCGAGCCGCACTGGATAGCCCTGAGGCTTCCCGGCCTCAGACCAGAGCGGCCGGCCGCTCCGACCGCCGCGCCCGATCCAAGTCTCCGAGCCTAGACGTCGGGAGCAGCAGTGCTAAAACCCCAACGCCGTCGCGTCGCGGGAGAGGCGACTACTACTGCCCACTCGGCCCCCGCCGGCCCTCGGATAATTATCCAGCAGGCAACGGAACTACTGACCACTACCGCCCTTGAGCCCCTGTCCCCCTCTGCGATGCTTTCGTTCTTTTATTTTTGGTATTCAGCCTCAAGCCTGCAGGTGCTTGCGGAGAAGAATTGTTGTGTATTTGATATTGGGATGCGATATTACCGAAATACCTTTGCAGCTATTTCGGTTGCCTGACACTATTGGGCGCTGGGAATGGGAATGTGAATGGGATTGATGTTTGTTTAATGTTGGTATGGATGGACTCTGGCTTGTTTGTTGCGAGTGGGTGCCCCGACTTCCTGACCTCTTGCTGTGCAAATCTCGTACAAGATTAGGGGTCGAGTGGCTTTGGCACCTTATAGTTAGGTTTAGTACAACATGGAATCTTGTTGAGCTTTTTTTCTGCTACCGTCCCGGTGTCACCCAATACTATTATACATTCTGTGGGATACATAACCACGAAAATCCAGCCAAGCCAAGCCAACAACGGCTGCTGGATCTGTCAGCCATACACATGCGTTCACCCTGCAATGCTCGAGGGTGCGTTGGGATCAAAGGATGCCGCCGCCAAAGCCACCACCTCCAAATGGAGACCCGCCTCCTCCCCTACCACCGCCTCCACGCCTGCCAAAGGGACCACCGCCGCCGCCACCAAAGGGGCCTATACCACCGCCAGGGCCGACAGGGTCGTATCTGGCGCCAGGAGGCACCTGAGGATCGAACATGCCATCGACCCCGCCGCCACCACGGCCGCCAAAGAGAGGGTCGTCAAAGGTCGGGTGCATGCCGCCGCCGCCCGGCGCAGGTCGAGCGAGGCCTCCCCCGCCGGCGAGGAAGGGGTGGCCTAGGCCCGGCGGGTGCAGGTCGTCGTGGCCGATGGCGAAGGGCGACCGGCCGGCGGCGGGGCCGAATGGGCCGAGTGGGCCGGGGAGCGGGACGCGACCGGCGTGGGGCCGGTTGATGTCGAGCTCGTCGTCAAAGTCCGGGGGTGGGAAATCGGCGACGGGGCCGGGCGGGCGGGGCGGGACAGCAAGAGGATCGTCGTGCGGGTACGGGCGGGCCGGGTCGGGCATGTGCGGGGGCTGGTGCGACGGGCGGCGGTCGGGCCGCGGGTTTTGGGGGCCGGCCTCGCGCAGGGGGCGGCGGGCGTCGTCCTCGGCCGCGCGGTCGTCCGGGTCACGCTCCTCGGCGTAGCCGTCCTTGGCGATGCCCGGGGCCAGCCGCTGGACGATGGAGACCTTGACGAGCGACGCGAGGTCGGCGATGCGCTCCGGCGAGACGAAGACGGCGCCGAGCTTGGCGGGGAGGTCCGTCCTGTCTTCGCCGCCGCCGCCGCCGTCGTCTGTGCTGCCATTGTTGCTGTCTGTGGTGGTGGTGGTGGTGGTGGCATCGCCGCTGCCGCCGCCCCCGCCGCCCCCGCCGCCAGCAGGTGTGGACTTCTTCCTGAGGGTGATGCGGACGGGCAGGGCGGCCGACGAGACGTAGTCGCGCGGGGCGACGTCGAAGCGCACGACGGCGTCGGTGGCGCTGGCGATGCCGCGGACCTCGGCGCGCTGGCCCATGCGGTCGACCTTTGTGACAAAGGTCATGGCCGACTGCGCGTGCGCGTAGACGAACGAGTACGAGTTGAAGGAGGCGTTCCAGCCCGGCGGCAGGCGCGGCGCGAGGCGGCGGCACTCGTTGTTGTCATCATCCCCGGCCCTCTTCTGGCCCTCGGTGAGGCCGATCAGGCGAAAGTCGAGACAGGCCATGCACGCGTGGGTGAAGAGCGCGAGCGCCTCGTACGAGCCGCTCAGGTCCGATGTCGCATCGCCCGCGGGGTGCGTCGGCAGGGCCTCGGCCATGGCCTGCACGATGGCGTCGGGACTGAGGGGATTCCTCGCCATTTTTATTTTTATTTTTATTTTGACGTGCTGTTTGGGTGCTGGCTATCGGCTCTAAGGCCGACTAGGTGTTTTGCGGGTGCGTTTGGTCCCAAAACGATACACGTCGAGGATATCCACCCGTCGATTATTCGTTGTTGACGGGATCTGTGACAATCCTGCTGTTTTCCGTTTCGATGGTGTAGATGCAGCTCGCAGACTTGTTGTCGATAGGATAGAAAGGGTTTGGTTGAAGGTTGGTCAATCTATGCTGAGATGTGGTAGACGTCTGAAAATGCCAACAGCACGTCACCTGCTTAGTCGCTAGTGAATGCGTCATCTCGATGCCTAGGATTGCGGGGGTTCGGGCGTCCATCCAGCCCTGTATTTGTGGGGCTCCAGCTAGGCACACCACTCCATTCCATCCCAGCATCACGTGCAGGGGTGTGCCCAGCTGAGGAGGGGAGGGAGGTGTGGTTAAAATGCCAAAATAGCACGCCGATCATTAAGACAAAACGCTTAGCAAAATCCGGTTCGTTATTCCTGCAAAAAGGGGAAGAACAAGGTAGGATGACAAGTTCGCTGTCAGCTACTAGTATGAACCAGCCGCCCGCATAATGGTTCCCTCCTGTCCCAAATCGTTGGCCCGTCCATATGGACGTTTCATCAGTGCACTCACTTGCCGCCCGCATGGCAAGCACAGCCACCCAAGACGGATCCCCATCCCGACCGTCGACGGGACATGCCCGCGCGGGCGCTGTTGGATGAGCCCGTCGCACCTGTTTTGGACGCCGATCAGACAGGGCGGGACAGAGAGAGTCGTTTTTTATGTTACCCGTATTCTTCTGCCGCCGCCAAACCTGGCTTTTGCGTGGTCAAGAGGCAACACCCAATATGCGCAAGGGCCTGGCACCCTGACTCGGATCGCCGCCTTGGCTGCCATGCAAATGCTCATCGCTCCAACAGCGGCGTCCAGTGTCCCATCTTGGCCACCGCGGGACTGCATGCTTGGTAACGTGGCTATAGCAAAAATACTGTATCCGGTGTCCGATCTGCCTGTCTCAGTGCGAGGGGTCGAATCGAATTGAGGAACGACGTCCGGTGAGTGACGTAGGTTACTCTATTTTTTCTATGCTCTAGGTATCTCGTGCAACGCTGCTCTAACGCTCATTAGGAATCTCAAGACAAAATGGTAAAGAAAAAAAAACATAAAGAAGGGTCGCAGCAAGACAGTGCCGGCTTTAGAGTGATGACAAGCCACGTGTTCCTCCAACCACTGGACCCCCAAGTAAAGCACGTAGGGGCGTGCATGCATCTGGTTAACCAAGTGCCGCAACAAGGTGAATTGTCAGTGGGGGAGCATGGAGGAATCTAGTGGGCAGGTCGCGGCAAATAATGTTTTCTGGTTTCGTCTTTGGATGCTGGCTTCCATGTACAATTTTCGCTCGGCGACAGGGCGTCCCCGTCATCTAATCGTCGTCCTCCTCCTCCTTGGTCCCGGCCTTCATAGCTCCGGCAGCAGGCTTCGCAGCAGGCTTAGCAGCAGCGGGTTGGGAGGTGGCAGGAGCAGCGGGGTTGGCAACCTTTTCAGCTCCGGCAGCGGGGTTGGCAACCTTTTCAGCTCCGGCAGCGGGGTTGGCAACCTTCTCAGCTCCGACAGCAGGCTTGGCAACCTTCTCAGCTCCGGCAGCAGGCTTCGCAGCAGCGGGCTGGGAGGTGGCAGGAGCAGCGGGGTTGGCAGCCTTCTCGGCTCCGGTAGCAGGCTTAGTAGCTCCAGCGCCGGCAGCGGCACCGAGAGCAGCCAGGTTGGTCTGGCCAGGGGCGTTCTGGGCGAAGCGCGCGTTGAAGCCGATGACGTTGCGGGCGGCCACGAAGTTCTGCATCGAGATGGAGAGGCTCTGGGTCGAGACGAGCCAGCGGACGCCCTCGCTGCAGGGAGGGGTGGTCAGGGAGCCCGAGTAGCTCTGGAACGAACCGGCCTGGATGGTCTGGACGAGCTCCGACATGACCAGCGGGGGTGTCTCGGTCTTGGTGCCAGGCGTGGCGATCTTGCCGACCTCGCTCAGGACGGTGGACAGCAGGTTGGACTTGACGGGAGCGGCGGCGGCGGCGGGCATGACACCCATCCTCTGAGCGCCGGCGGCAGGGGCCGCGGCCTTGTTCTCGCCAGCGGCCTTGCCCTTGCCCTCGGCGCGGGAAGCGATCTCGCGGGGGTGCCTGCGCTCAATTGAGGTGGCGCCAGCCGAGGCGTTGGCGCCAGCGGCAGGGGCGGCGACGGCATCGCCAGTGTCGACGTCAATGTACATGCCAATGACGGCAATCTCCTGGTTGGCGCTCTGCCAGACCATGTGCATCTCCACTGTTGACGCGCATCGAGAGTCAGTTAAAAGCCTCAACATGGCTACCCGCAAGAAAGGAGGGAAACGTACTAGCGCGGCTGGTGCCGTTGTCCAGGTGCTCGCTGGGCAGGTGGAAATGGAATTGCTTGAGCTCGTACTGGATACCAGCGGTGGTCATCTTGCCGCCCTTGGCAATGACCTCGACAGTGGTGCCCAGGTTCTCGAACTCGGTGCCGGCCGTCATGTCGGGGATGTCGAGCTTCACGTCGGCGGCCTGCACCATCTGGAAGCTGCCGGCCGTCATGGAGATGGGGCTCTGGCGGGTGCCCGTGTTGCACAGGGCATTGGCGGCAGGGTCAAGGGAGACCCAGTTGACAGGTCCCTGAATTGGCGTCACCGCGTTAGCTCAACGTCGACTTGAAACACAGATGACGACAAAAGCAAAATAGACAATTTATCTCAACTTACAATAGCACCGGCGTATCCGAAGGTGCCAATGGGAACGGCGCCGCCCTCCTCGGCCCTGGGGGCAAGGTGGGTGCCGTAGGCACACGACGCAACGACGGGTGACACGGCCGCGGCCAGGACACTGAGTCCGAAGAACAAGGAAGAAACCATTTTGTCAGAGGGGGTATAAAACGGAGAGCGGTTGTGAGAGACCGTGGGTAAAAATATAAGCAAATTAGTTCTTGTCGAAACCGAATTAATAAAAGAGACCAGCCCTATGGAATGTGATAGTGAGCTGAGCACTTGACACACGCCGAGAAACGAATTAGAGGTATGAAGAATGGAAGGGCGAGCTGAGGCTGTCAAAGGCTGGATCTCCAGAGATGGGCTAAGAGTTTCCAAGCCTCCAACCAAGGCGGGAGACCAAGACCTTTATGATAGCTGAGGTAGCAGTCAAGGCGGCTGCCCCATGGCGAGTCTCCCGCCCGCAGGATTAACCCGAGATCCGCGGGCAGGGGATTTCTCGCGCTCCTCGAAAATGCCGTAGCCCAGGATCAGCAGCGAGCGCGTGCCCCCGACCCGATGTCACCGACTGCATGGCACGGGGTGGCCTTCGCAAATCACGAATCCCCACTGGCGCTCTTGGCGTCCTCCCTAGGGGCCCCCGGAGGCAATCCAAAACAGGCCTCGACGACGCAGCGGGCGGCGTGTTTGGGGAGACGGGGGGAGGCGTGTGGACGAGGGTCGGCTGGGGGGCGGGAGGGGCGTGGATGGATTTGGATCGTCGAAACTGACAAAAGGTTGCCAAGGGAGGCAAGAAACGTCAAGGAGCCGCGCTATAGCGCTTGCCAAGACGCTATCCAGAGGGGTTTGCAGGCGCTGTTACTCTGGCTGGCAGTTGGCCCTGCAAAGCGACAGCGGCGACTGCTTGGCGCCGAGCCGTCTCAGCGCCGGAAGCCAAGAGAACAGCGGGCAAGGTGGGTTTGCCACGGAAGGTTTTGGCGCATTCTCTGATTGCTGTCCCGCCGCCCAGAGATTCCAGGGTCAGGGTGGCTGGCAGGCGGCTCCTTTAGGGGAGCCGACGCGAGGTGATGTCGTCGACGTCGACGTGCACGAGCTGACTTCCATATCAGGTGCCTCCCAGAACCGCCTGTGGGGAGAGGAAAGAGAATGGACGGCCCGAGTTTGGAGAAACGGGACGAACAGTTGGAGAAACGGGACGAACAAGTTTGTGGGCGGCGCATTGGAGAAGCGGGACGAACAGTTTGTGGCGGCGCATTGGAGTCGAAAGTGCGCAAGGTAAGCTTAATCGGGAGGTTCGCTGGCCGTGTAGCGCCCGTGTGTACCTAGCGTCCGCAGCAACTTAGAACGCAGCCAGCGTCGAAGCTACTGGAGCGCCGTTTCGAGCCTGGGATGGGATATAGCGTACCCCAGCGTGACCCAGTGGCCCGTGCAGTTCTGCACTGCCTCCCGGGTCCAGCTCGAGGCTGTAAACAAGCCTGGGCCCAGTCGTTCAAGCTTTGGCCCTGGCAGCCGTTTGACTTGGCGCGATGGGGTCTTCGCTAGGCCCCACCCGCTAGGCCCAAAATGGACGGGCTACCGGTGTCAGGCCCCTGCCACAACCTCTCTTGAGGAGCAAAATCAGGCCACTTTCTCTCTTCCCTCCTCTCTGCTGTCCGCCTTCGACTCCAATATCGGCCAGCCCAGGCCTTGCCTGCCCCTAGCGCCCCCCCCCCCCACGCGCCCTCGCCGCCGGCCCCCGCGGCCTTCGATCATGTCACCAGCACCAGCACCGGGAGCCACCTGCCATGCTGCCTGGATCCCCCCCTCGCTAGCCGATCTTGATCGAAGCTGACATGGCGAGAGAAGCAAGGACACAGGAGGTAGGAGGCCGGGGTGCTGACGCATGTTTCCTTTCGCGCCTTCGATGATGGAATTCAGCATCCGTGGCGGCGGGTGAGGGCAGCCCTACCCAATGGCATTCACGAGAGCCACCAGACGGATGTCAAAACCGCTCCCGCTCTTGCTTCTGCCTCTGCGTCTGGACATTGAAACAGGCCAGCTGAGACCCCGAGCTGCAGGAACCGCCGTCCGCACCCCCCTCCCGCAGAGTGCAGAGGAACAGAAGGGGGGGGGGGGGAAAACCAGCGCCTATTGGCCACCCACACACCCGAGAGCTGTGGTGCGGTGCGGTGCGACCTCAGATTCGATTCGACAATGCGCCCCTCCCCTGCATCCGCCCGGCCATTTGCCTTCCCGCCCCGTGTTTCCCATCTGCCGCGAGTGCGGAAAAGGGATGGAATACAGACACGAGGATCAAAACCCTCGTCTTCGACGCCACCGCCAAGACCATATCTCCCCTGCCTTCGAAAATAATTGCCGATGTCGAGCGAAATGCGACTGAGTGGGCTTCCTCACTCGCTTGGGTTGCTGTCGTAGCCGCAGCGGGGGTGGGTGTTTTTGGTGCGGGCGGCTGCAATATCGCGTCGCGCTACGGGGGCCTTTGGGCCAGCTAGCCAGCCAACCTGAAAACCTGCGCTGTGCTCTCGTGTGGACTACATCCCCTGTTCCCTCCCGGCGGCAGCTGTAGCCGGCCAGTCGTAAGCGGGAAGACGCCGTGCTGGTGCGGAGGCTGGAGCTGAGGGCGGTCCCAGATCCAAACGTGATGGCCACAAGGACTGGTATCTGAATTACTTTCTCTGCTACAAAGTCAGGCACTTGACGTGTTTCCTCTGTCACCTGCCTGCCACCTCGGCCACGCGCAAACACCTAATATCGACGCCGCGCATCATTTTGTAGGTTTAATCAGTACCGAACATTGGCGTCTTGGCGGCGCGGTGGGAGAACGGCGGGCGCAGCATGGAAGGCCAGGGCAAAAGAACGAAATACCTAGTCAAGGGTACCCTTGACATACCTAGTCAAGGGTACCCGACCACCAACCTCCACAAAAAAATGATCCTCACACAAAAATGCTTCACTTTGCAAAGCAATAAAAAAAATAACAAAAAACTGCCCAAGCTTATTTTTTTTTATAGGGAATCCAACGGGCAGTCACTTCCCCTTCGCCTTGTATTATTTTTTGAAAGGATTTGAGGGATTCCGTCGACGTACCCGTTGATCGCTTCTTGGGATTGTTCCTTCCAAGCCTCCTCTGCTGTAGTTTGTATGGGGGAAAAAATTTGTGAGGATCATTTTTTTGTGGAGGTTGGTGCCGACTTCACTCATACTCACACCCTCTTGTCTTAATGCGACTGCCTGTGGCCCGCAAATGATGGCACCTCCAATCAGAAATCGCCGCCATGCTATCAGTCCCGGGAGGTTCCATTCCGGTGTACCAGTGTTGGCAGGTCGGGCGACAGTCATGGTTTCTGGCTGCTGCTTGCCTCTACCTGTTCAGACACCTCGGTTCGCAAACGACTTCGTCTGCCTCCGCAGCTCTCTCCCTGTCCGTCATCCGACATTGGACGCCCTTCTGGGATGCCTAACAGGACGGCACACATAAAAGCTCCCCTCCTATGTTGAAACGTGCCTGCGGAGTGGTCTTCCCGGGAGATCTCTGAGATGGCACGCGCACAGCCACCCAGAGAGATCCACAATGGAAGGAAGAAAGCGCAGATCAAAAAAAAAAGAAAAAAAAGAAGGGGAAAATGGAACAGCGCGGACCACGCCCGGTTTTGCCGAGTTACAACGTCAACATGGTCAACATGGGGCCAAACACCAACCTGGAATTGCCGCCCCAGATCCGCCCGCCCCTGACCATCGCGTCGCCCTCCATTCGCTTCGGCCACCGACGGGACCGTGGGCTCTGGAGACCGACCCGTTCAGGTTTGGGTGACAATGGCTTTTCTGTCATGGATTGCTGCGTGCGTTTTGCTATCTTTGCTTGCCGACTCTCGGACTCGAGATGTAGAGATTAGCATATGGGCAACCTCGGCCCCCTTGTTTCTTGGCGTCATGTGCAGCAACCTTTCGTGGCTGGCTAGGTGAGATTTTGTTTTGCCCGGGCATCAGCCCTTAGTCTTCGTACAAGGTCGATTGATGCCCTGCATGCCCAAAGAATTCTCGTGGCAATTTCCGTCTTTGTTTTTCCCAGCATTCTCATTCACTTCCCGACTCGTCACTATTTTTGTTATCCTCCTCTACTGTGTATGCCGTAGACATTTTGATCTACCCGTCTATTAAAGTTAGCTACATGGTTAGCTACATGGGCCGGAGGTTTATTTCCCGCTATAGCGCTTAATCAGATCCTACCGTGCCATCGCCGGCACTATTAATACCATGGAATCCGAATCAAGCCCCGGGGGGACACCCACATCAGCCACTCACTGACTGGGTCATTATTTGCCCCCCAACAGCCTCTATGAAGCGCCCCACCACTTATTACTCTCCCTCATCCCTCTTACCTTCCCCCAGCAGCAGCCTCAGACATGGTCGCGCGGCTCATTCGCCCAGGCGTCATGCATTCACACCTCCGGGATCGCGGGGAGCCGCTTCGGGCACCTGTCCGGGCGGCGGCGCTTCTTGACAGCCGGCTGGCGACTGACGGCCCCGCCTCTCGGCCGGCGGCGCCTCTCGGCCTCGGCAGCCGCTGCGGCCTCGGCGTCCGGCTTCCCGGCGCGCCGGGCAAAATCGCCGCTGTGGCCCCCTGCCAGCGTGAGGACATTCCAGTCCTCTTCGGTAAATGAAGTGCCGGTCGGCGCATAGCTCGTCGGCCTTGGCCGACAAGCCACCACCCCCGGACGGTGGTTGTCCTGGCTCTCCCCGCCGCCGCCCCTCGTAGCCGGCTGGCCGCTCAGAGGCGGCCCAATTGTAGCCCACCTCGGGGGCTTCCCCGAGGACGGAACCCACGCCGAACTATCCTTCCGGCGCTTGCCACCACCATCTCGCTTACTCATTCCACAACCCATAGCTGGTACGGTTGTGGGATGTTTATTGTTCGGCGGCTCACTGATGGGCCGCGAGATGATGTGTTATGGATTTGTGGTCCAAAGTGCGATTCTATGCGGTTCGTGGGTTTGCTTTGTCCCGCACTGAGAGTCCGGTGTTCTCAGCGGAAAGGCTAGGGAATATTTATAAGCCTTGGTACATAACAACAACATACTCTACCTGACTCCTGACTCCTTTATCACCATCTGCCGGACGACTGACGGCTGGTCCCGCCGACACAGAGACCCCTGCGCCACGACATCAACGTAACAAACAAAGATTCAGTGTGGGTTTGCAGGGTCTCGAGTCTGGGGGTGATTGGATGCCTTGCTTGATGTACTTTCACTCTCCTCGTCTCCTTTATTTCTTCGTCTCCTTTATTAATTTGTCTTTTCGGGTCTCCCCTCTCTTGTCCTCCCTTTGTTGTTCTCTCTCTTTCCTCCTCCCTATGCTGGTTCACTCTGCCCAGCCTCGTGTGATTTCCCTGCAGCAACTCTTCTCGATCTACCAATCTTCAGCACAATGGCTGGCGCACACTTTGCTTTCGAATCTCTCGGCAAGACGTTCTTGCCATAGATGTGGCATCTTTGAAGTTTTTGACAAGGTGTTCTATGATGCCCCCATTCTCGTGTTTTCTTTTCACAGCGCCACTCGTACTTGATGCTGTGATACCTCAAAGCCGAAAGGATAGGTACCGAAAGAAAGTATATATCTATGCCACAATCCTGTACAGTTCAGACGTTTCAACCTCCGTAGCGGGTCATGGACGACCAAAAACTGGGATGAGCCGGCCACTTAGAAACGAACTACAAGATGGAAACCATGCGCGAAAAGACAATAAAACATTATTGGCCGAGTTTGCGTGTCTAAGTATGTTTCAAAGGTAACCTCATAGACTCCAGCGGACACCGCTAATCCCTTGGACGCTATAAGTCATGCTAAAATGGCTATGAGCGCAAAAGGCAACGAGAGGAAGATTATAGACAAATCCCAAACTGAGAGTGTACTGCCAAAAACTCCGAAATGCAATCCCAAGACTGTCCTTAGTGGACCGGAACGCCAAACAAAGCTCGCCTCATGGGAAGTACGCGAGATTGATGCTGGCTACGAACATGCGGCATGATGTGCAGATATGCAGGAAACAAGAAAAAGTGGGGAATAAGCCATAAAACGGTTGCTCGAGATAGAAATTCCGGGAAATGCCAATACTAGGCTGAGAAAACAGGCAAGAATCAACTTCAAAACGTAGAAAAGAAAACTAGAAAGGAGAAAGAAACGTCTTCTGAGGTCAAACCAACAGGGCCGTCTTTTGGATTCATGTAAGGCCGGACGACTGGAAATCCGTGTATGCGATCACCCCGCTACCAGCGGCGACTGCAAGAGATGACAGTTAGAATGGAAAACTCTAGATGATTTCCGATAGCGAGATAGAGAGGGCGCACCAAGACGTACCTGAAAGCATCGGCGACTTTGATTTGGCGTCTCTTTGGCTTGGCATCCGCTCTGGGCCCCTTCTTTTCAGACACAACCTCGCGGACCATGCCCAGTATTTCCATTTCAAGATCGTCCAGTGGTGAGCTGGATCCGCTCCGGGGAGGAGTCCCGGGAGGGCTGCTAGGAGAAGGACCTCGGTCATGCTGACCACGTGGACTTTCGGATCCCCCGCGGGACCCGTACCTCGCATATCCTCTCGGAGGTGAGCGGGAGCGTGATCTGTACCGAGCATCCGGTCTTGGTCTCGATCTCGACCTTCCATGCATCTTTTCGGGGGAGTTGTTGCTTTGGTAGCCAGAATCGTGACGCCCACGGCCACTTGAAGACGAGTCGTTCGGTTGTCTGGGATCCTGTCGGCCGTTGGTGTGCACTCTAGCGTCCGGCTGGTGTGAAGATCTGTGTTGTGGCTGTTCAGAAGGGCCTCCATCCCCGGCGTCTCCGCGATATCTCCTCGATCCCGATGACGGCGAGTCATACGCTGACCGAGGAGTGGAAGCTTCTGAACCCTTGAAGCGCTTTGCTTGGCTGTGCCAGTCTGATCCGTTAGCCGCACGGCTATGCTTGCCCAAGGAACCATGAGGCTTCATATCGCCGGATCTTGAGGCCGAGAGTTCTCGCGCTTGACGGGGAGAATAGCGCTGTTTGACCACTATTTCATCCAACAACACCTCGTCTTTCACTATCGTCTCGCTTCGATCGCCGGTTGGTGCGGTGCTGGGATAGCTTGGGTATTCATGTGGGCTATTCGGGAAACGACAGCGCACCATTCCTGACCAGGCAAGAAAGGCGGGATCGTTCTTGGCCTTCTCCCAAAATTTCAACTCTCGGATCGAACGCAGAAATTCGGCACAGTTGTTGGCAGAGAAGAAGTCGGACCTGATCGAGTTGGAATCGAACGCGGGCGGGATGGTTGGGGCGTCGCTGTATTCGTTTGGTAGAGGCCGCCCAACTGCATCAGCCGGCTTAGTTGGGTGTTGCGCGAAAGCAGCTTGCAACTCCCACTCGAACTCATCGTCCTCGATCTCGGGGGTCGGTTCCTTCTTTGGCTTCGCCACATGATCCTTATCGGGTACGGGCTCGACTGTATCGGGCGTGCAACGAGGTTGGCGAGCAGGAAGGCTTGGAGGCGGTACTTTTGGTAGAGTCGAGGGACGGGCTGTTGTCGTCTCAGCAGCCTTGGATGGGCTTCGGTTGCGTTGGCCCTGGCCTTTACGTTGATGCTTTAAGCCCCGACCACGATCCTTTTCTCGATCACGGTCTCTGCCCTTGTCTCTGTCTCGATCCCGATCTCTGTCCCGACCCTTGTGGTGCGAGGGGCCGTTACGGTGGCGTTGGTTTCGGCTACGATCATTTTGTGGGTGGCCTCGAGGGATTTCACTTGGGTACGCAGGAGGATAGTAAGGTTGGTGTGCCTCGTAGGGTCCTGGATAAGATTGAGTGGGAGGAGGATAGGGGTATGGAGGCGGAGGAACGGGAGGTAACGAGGGATGAGGAGGGTGTGCCGCAGGGACTGGAGGAGGCCCGTGGGCTGGATAAGGAGCAGGAGGGGTGTATGTCTGCTGTGGTGGCGGGTAGTACGGCTGCGGAGGAGTGCCGTAAGGTGGATGATATGAATTGACCGGAGGAGGGCCAGGTGGATGGTTAGGGGGCGGCAGATGCCCGGGAGGTGGTAGGTGGCCAGGAGGACCATAAACCGAAGGCTGGCCATAGGGATCATATGGAGGATATGAACGAGGCGGTGGAGGAGGCGGTGCAGGATAGCCTGCGCCGTAGCTGCTAGGAGGATATGGCCAGCCAGCTGCCGGGGCCGGCGGGGCGGGAGCAGGCACCGGGGGAGGGGGATAGTAGGGCGCAGGAGCCGGAGCCTGGGCCTGAGCGGGCGGCGGTGGGGGCAGCGGCAGGCTCGCATGGGGCAGATAATTCGCCAGTTGAGAGTGGTGGCCTGGTGGCGGTCCGTATCGGGTGATGACCATTCCGCCGGCACCTTTGCCTTGACCAGAGCCTCCGTGGGAGGAGTTTTTGGATTGCGACGCGGCCTTCCGTTGACGGAAGGCTTGCAAACCTCTGGATGAACCCACGTCAGCGGGGCCTCAAGATGGACACCAGGAGGTGGCGGAGAGGAAATGAGATAAAAAAAAAAAGAGAGATGCCTCCTAAAGCGGAAGGAGCATCAACTTACGCCGGGACTTTGCGAACCTCTTCGGGACATGCTATCACGAAGTGACCCCTGACTCCGCAGTTGAAGCACTCAGGCTCGTCCTTGGGACCATCTCGCCCCGGGGCACGTTCGGACATGCTCGGGGGCGGAGTCTGGCAAGGAGGATTGCGCAGAGGCGGAAAGGGGAGGGGCGGGATTACAATGATAGAAGCACGGGGGAGGAGGCAACGAAGGAGAAGCTAGTGTGGCGCAGGCCAACTGACTTAGACGGGGAGTATAGGGCTCTGAAGGGTGGTGGTTCGTGCCAGGGACAAGGACGGCAGCGCAAACCACAGCGCCCGACCCGGGCAGACAGGGCAGACAAGGCAGACAGGGCAGCGGACGGCCGACTCGGCACGGCCCTGGACCCCGACGGGCGAGCCTGGCTGCTCCCCGGCAGGCGACAGACGCGCGGGCCGGATCTTGACCGGTCGGCGGGTCCCACCTCGACCGATCGCGACGTCGAAGCGACACGACGGCTGGAGCTCGGCTTGGGCCCGTCGCGGGCGGGCAAGCAGCGTGTGGTGCGCCGCGCGGACTGACGAGTGCCCCCACCTTCACAATCAGCGATCGAGGACGCCGCAAAATGCCATGGAGAGCGTTGGGTGATCGGGATTCCAGGGAGAAAGAGGCCGTGACATGCTGTTACTTCTGAGGCGCATGCAAATTGAGGAAACGTGAGTGATGTTGGACGCGACGGCCCATCTGCGTCGCCTCCAGCCAGGCTAGCGTTGGCATTGGGGTCACAGCGCCCTAGAGTCTCAGCTAGATGCGCCACGAACCCTGCACTGTGTCGCACATGCTCGCACACATGGCAGATTTCAATGCGTGGATCTTACTCAGCACGAAATTTTGGCTTTTGACGAGGGCCGTGCGCCACCCCAAGACAATGGGATTGTCAATCCAGGGGCCCAGGCGCCCGCCACTGAACCGAGGGTCTGTCCAATCAACCCGCACAGTCCAGCACAACAGCCCCACTGTGCGGAATGCCACAGGCCGAAGTTTTCCCGGGCAAACCAGGGCGCATTCCTGACAGCCTGGTCGCGGGAGCCTGGCGTGGCGGGGTGGGATGCCATGCAGGTTGAAGAATCGTATGCCGGCACCAGACTGCTGCAGACAGCTCCGTTAAGCAGCTCCCGTAAACATCGACCAAAGGTCCTAACAGAGCAATTGGCCCGAGACCCGGCCGACATAGCAACAACCTTTTTGCTAGATCTCGTGTCTTGGAATCACACGGCGCCTACGCTTCCCCTCGGAGTCAACCACATTCGAACGACGAAACAACCCCCCCCCTGCGCGCGCCATGTTTCCAACCCTCCTGATGTAATCCAGCACATATCTCACTTCTCAAATATGTTGGTTCTGGCCGATACCTCCCCGCGATACCAATTCCCTTGCCGGCATCGCACCGACGCGACACCACTCTTAGAGCCGCCGAGACCTTTACCATAGGCACCCAAGTCCTTGCGATAAGGAAATGCCCGGGTTACCAGGTGCGTTTTCTTTGTGGTCTTTGTGGTCTTAGGCTGCGAACGCCTCGAGGGCTTTGAGGAAGGAAATCGCCGTCGCTGACAATGCCTCGGACGCACTCCCACAGCATCGGTGGACCTGGACGAGTGCATCTCGCGCCTTTACAAAAAAGAGCTCCTGGCCGAGTCCGTCATTGAGGCAATATGCGCCAAGACCAAGGAGCTGCTGATGCGCGAGAGCAATGTCGTCCACGTCCGCGCTCCCGTCACCGTCGTCGGTGATATTCATGGGCAGTTCTTCGACCTGATCGAGATTTTCAAGATTGGCGGCTGGTGCCCAGACACAAACTATCTTTTCCTCGGTACGCCGCTCCTATTCCGGGCCACATGAACCACCTCGGCCTCGGGAAGGCGATCTTTTACTGACGCGCGCGGCGGCTCTGGCCCTGGCACTACCAGGCGATTACGTTGATCGCGGCATGTTCAGCGTGGAAACGATTTCTCTCCTTGTCTGTCTGAAACTAAGATACCCAAACCGAGTCCATTTGATCCGAGGCAACCATGAATCCCGCGGCGTCACCCAGTCGTACGGCTTCTATACCGAGTGTTCCAGAAAGTACGGCAACGCCAACGTCTGGCATCACTTTACCGACATGTTTGACTTTTTGACTCTGAGCGTCGTAATTAATGATCAAATATTTTGCGTTCACGGCGGTGAGTATTGTCTCGCGCCGAACTCTTACTTCTCGATGCCATCAACTCACAAATATTGTTTCCCATATGCCCTAGGCCTCTCACCCTCGATACACTCCATCGATCAGATTAAGATCATCGACCGCTTCCGAGAGATCCCGCACGAAGGCCCCATGGCCGACCTAGTTTGGTCCGACCCAGACCCGGAGCGTGACGAGTTCAGCCTCTCGCCGCGAGGGGCGGGCTACACCTTTGGCGCGCAGGTGGTCAAGAAGTTCCTGTCGGTCAACAACATGTCGCACATTCTGCGCGCCCACCAGCTCTGCCAGGAGGGCTACCAGGTGCTCTACGACGACCGGCTGAGCACCGTCTGGAGCGCGCCCAACTACTGCTACCGCTGCGGTAACATGGCCAGCGTGCTCGAGGTTAGTGACATGGGAGAGCGCTACTTCAACGTCTTCGCCGCCGCACCCGAGAACGACCAGCATAAGGACATTCAGCCGGGCGGCGAGAAGGCCGCGGACGCCAACACGCTGCCAGACTATTTTCTGTAAGCCTCAAGGGCTCTCTAGCACATGGGAGCGAACAGACGTGCTATTGGGAATGTCAGGAGGTTGCTGGGCAAATATTTTCAAGCCAACTTCCACTGTTTTTGTTCTCTACTTATGGGCCTTTTTTCTCTCTTTCTTTGGAACGCAGATATGACAAAATTGGGCACGTTGCCAACTACTCTGTTCTCGGGGCGGCTGGCTAGACTGACGCCAGTTTTGGCGCCATGATGACATGTAACACTAATGAAGCAAGGTTGACGGGCGGATATGGGAAGCCTCGTCGATATAACCTATTTTTTTTTTATCTCCTAGGTGTTCTTTCGTTGTCGAAAAGGCACCAAGCAAGCAAACAAAGAAACAACGAAGAAGCAGAAGGCGAAGGAAAATGTCATTATATCCGCGGACAGCCCTGGCCATTGAGCCGTCAGCGCAGGCGGGAGCTCGCTGCCTGTAAGCCGAGCCGAGCCGGCCCAGAGCAAAACCGTATCTCTCAAAAGGCTTCCCCTCCCCTAGCCCTATGTTTATTTTTCTTCCCCCATAGCATCGATCTCTCCCGATAGCGCATACGCCATCTGATTCCTTGTGGTATATGTTGGACTTTTGGCAGCTGCGGCTCCCTTCGACTGTAGGTAGGTATCATGCAGGGTCTGAGAAAATGCGCACCAACCCGGGCTCCAATCACCAGTCCTTGGCGATGTCGAAGCTCCACCTAATAGGTTCCGATGGCTCAAGGTCAGTGTCTGCTGTTCGCTCACATACAGCTTGGGAGGAGGAAGATTCGCATAGGGGCATGCAATACGCACTCAAACTCGAGGTGCTTCTTCTTGTCGTCGTCGACGAAACTGGAAATGGCGTGGTAGTGGCCGCGCGCAAGCATGCCCGACGGCGCCTCCTCCTCGTGGACTGTTACCGAGACGCGGATAGGGTTCACGTCAGTAAAAGCTTTTGCGGCGCAAAAGAGTATTCGCAAACTGCAGGCGAGGGGAGAAAGAGAGAGCGCTCACATTTCTTGGTGTAGAGCGGCTGCTTTTCCGTGTTTGGTATGAAGCTGCCAATCATCTCGCTGTCCTTGCTGACCTTGATGCCCTTGCGCTTGACGACCTGGACGTAGTGGAGGCCGCTCAGGATCTCGTGCTGCACCTTGAAGGTGGCCACCATGGTGAACTTGGCGCCCTCCTTGATCTTGAAGGGCTTGTCCTTGAGCGTCTTCTCGCTGCCGGCGACGCTAAGGTCGATGGTGACGGGGTCGCGGCCGGGGGCCTCCATGGTCAGGCTCTGGATGATGCAGACGCGGGGGTCGTTGGGGTCCGAGAGGTCCTTGCCCTGGCCGAAGCCGAGGGACTGCTTGTATCTCTGCAGAGACTCGTCGTTTGAATCTGCGCGTGTCGTGGCCGCCGGCGGCATCCGTCGTTGCGACGGCGCCGCCACGCCTCCTGGTAAGCTTCTGTTCGCGTGGCAGTAGGCCCAGTCGATTCGAGAGATCACGTCCATCTGGCCCATGGCCGACGGCGCCATTGTGGCCATGCTTGGGCGGGCAGCGGGCAAGATAGGTTCAAACGCGGTGTAGTGTCTTTTTTTTGGGTCAATAGACCGCTGTGGGCGATGCCTGGCGAGATGCGGTGAGAAAGAGGGGAAATCGAGATGGGCACGGCAAAGGCTCCCAGGAGAGCGTTAAAAAAGGGCATTCGGCTGGAGGCATGGTGTAGGGTCGACTGTTTGCTTCGCTGACGGCGGCGGCCACGTGTTGTGCGTCGACAGCGGCGTTGGGTTGGGACATGCCCAAGGCTCGTTCGGACCCGGTTGGCGGAGTTGCCAAGAGGCCTTCCAAGACGACGCCCCAACAGCCTGCGGTAAATCGTGGCGTAGAATGCCACGATATCCCAAGGCTTCATACATCAAAATAACCGCGCGTGACGGCCGCAGCAGAGAAGAAAGCGGAGAAGCTGTGGAAGCTCAGCTGCGGGCAGCAGTCGAAACGAGGCGGACCGAACGCAAAGGGACAGACATGCAGGCAGCTTGTGCACGGGTCGAGATTTGAACGTGGAGAACGCAAGCAAGAAAAGATGGAAGAAAAAAAAGAATCTCTGCTGCTGGAACTCACCCATCTGGCTATATTCAGCCAAGCTCTGTTTGGGCTGCGAGAGCTTGTAGCCCTGGGTCTCCTCGGGCATCGTGTCATCCTCATGGGAAGCCATTGTCATCGGCCGTGCTCGTGCTCGTGGGGAAATCAAAAGAATGCTAGATCGGTCCACGCAGGTACGGGGAGGAGGGGGGGCGAAGCTCGTTTTCCGGACGGCTGGGCAGCTGTTTGGGGTAGCAAGGTGAGGCTCGGTGATGGAGTGCTCGTCAGTCTGTCGGTCTGGGACGACGTCGGGTCGGTGCGTGGAGGGGCAATGACGATACTATTTATTTTGGCCGGCTTCTAGGCCGGGAGCGAGCGCCAGGATGGAGGGGCACGGCAACCGGCCTGCATGGGTGCTGTGTGGCTAGCCGTCGGGTGGGGGAGGGTACCCCTGATTCCTGGCCACCTCCTGTCATGCAACCCCTGGGCGGTGCGATGGATTGGGCTGTGGCTCTCATCTGCGGTGAGCTGTGTCTCCATGCACCCGTGCTCGCTGCTCGCGGTCGTCCAGTGTTGGCAGCCAACTGCAGGCGGCTGTTGGGGCTCAAGCTGTCCTCCGGATCCAAGCTCACCCTAGACGTTTGATTACTTGACAAGCAGCCAACCTACTAAAGCTACATTGTGTAACCAAGCTGCCGACCCTGAACGGCGGTGCAGTGGTACCTGCATCGAAGCTGTTGACTTCGGCCTGAGAAGCGTACTGAGGTGTGACGGTTAAATAATCTACAGTGGGGAGGTCACTCGTGAAGCGAGGGCAGGACCAGAGGTATGCACTAGCCAATCGATTAAAACGCGTGTGGGCGGATTCGAATTGGTGCTGCGATTGATGTTGAAAAATAAATGTAGGCTAGGCCTTATTTGGTAGGGACTGAACATAGGGTGCTTTTGGCGCTACCTCGAAAATGGCGATTTTTTTCGCCTCCTGTCTCCGTAGAGTCTCGAAGCCGCCTTGAAAGAGGCCAGTCGCGACCCCAGCGAGCCTTGAACCCGTCCCCGATGGGTGGTACCTACCTACGCCAGTTAATAAGGTCGCTATATTCCATAACCCAAGGCTCCATGTATGCCGTTGCAATTCAAGCGCTCGTCCACCATGGCCTAGACTAGGACGCGGCACGCACGTGCTGCACTCTAGCGCCATCTTGACCGGGGAAGCTCAGCCATCTGCCCTCGCCCAAGTGGGAGCACAGCGAAACCCACCTCCTTTGCGGTGGACCTGATTTTCCGAGACACATCAGTCTCCAATCCGTACATCAACCAAATTTCAACTTGCGCTTTTACATCAGTCTCGTTTTCCCGGATACTTTGTTTCTGTTGTTCGCTTGTGGTTGCGTGAGAATTTCGGCATGCTCTCGACGACAGGTATATGCTTGTATATTATGTGCAAATCCAACATCCATAGCTTTGTGACGGAAATGACTTGGCAAGCTTTCAAAGAGAATCACAGGATTTGGCTGGGTGCATCTCCCCCTCATGAGCAAAGTTAGGGGCGGAAAGAAGAGCGTGCTGTCTGGATGCTTGTGGTCCTGGCTGCAGTCCTGGCTGCAGTCTTGTCCAATAGCGATATGCGTGGCGGCCATGACATTGCATGGCACGGCCACAGGGACTGTGGTGGCGCGCTCTAGAGCGGGTGATGCGCGAACCAGACCCCGCCTCGTCGAAGCTCCATTGAGCTGGCCGCGACGTGGGCAATCCACAGTCGCGTTCGAGATTGCGTGCGGGTAACCAACCGACCTACCTTGGTCACCTACCTTGGTCACCTACCTTGGTCTAGGGGCCGTCCATGTTCGCTCCGGGAAGCAGAACAACGATATTGTCGACAGATGGGTCAGGCGAGCTGCAAGCTCTCTGCCCTACGGCGTGCGTCGAAGCACAACCTGGCAGCAGCAAACACGGGCGGGTGCTGGTCAGGAGAAAGGCAACCAGGGGTCAGATGAAATGCGTGTGGGGGCGTCTGGTCCACGGGGGGACGAATGGGTTCGGCCTGCGCGCTGGGGTCCGTTTACGGACGGACATATATGTTGACCAGGCCGGCTGTTAATGCGCGACTCTGGCACTCGCGCGGGTCGGCAACCAAGTCTCATTAAACGCACCAGAGTCGCAAATTTCCCAAGTATTGGCTTAACGTGCATCCCGTCGCGCGATTGGCGGCGCGTCGGCGGGGCCTGTCTGCAGGTGGGCCCTTGCTTTCCCACAGCGCGCTAAGCCTGAATTGGATGACGCTCTCTACAAATCGTGACGGCTCGCCCTCCCCCGGCTTTCGCTCCACTCTCGTTCAACAGGACCCCCAGTTTCTCGATCTGACACTTCTCGAGTCCCATCCTGTCGTCCTCCTCAACACCTAGACCCTTTGGACCCTCTCGACTAGGAGAGTCTGGTGACGGCTTCTTTCTCTTTCATCGGTTTCCCTTGGTATCTTTATTCGCTGTTTTGTGGTTGCAGCCGTTCTTTTGCTTGATCGGTAGGACCTGCCCGTTTTTTCCATGTCACTGCTTTTCTCCTCTCCCTGATCCTGGAGCGCGCGACTTGGCCCAAGCGACCTCCAATAGTTCGCGCATCGACCGACGACGACTGAAAGCTTTGCCAGCCTACGAGCCTGAGATTTCCAGCCTCTGGCATTGCTTGCTTTCGAATTCCTACGATGCGCTGGAGATGATAAGCCGGTCGATTGGATTGCGCGTCGCCAGCATCCTCAGAAAGCTAATGCGCCTTCAGGCACCCATCCGTCCAGCAGCTTGCCAAAGACTCTTGGCCCAACGCCGCAATCACGATGGCGCCTAGATCTCTGCCTGATAAGCAGAACCCTTACCTCATTGAGGATGTTCCTGACTGTAAGAGAACACCACGTCTACGGCTGAGCCGAGCTGGCATATCATACACCATGCTAGAGAATACGGCCTTCTAACACAATCTCTGCACTGGCAATAGACGCGGATCTCCTTGGTCGCCGGGCCCTAGGCCAGACCAAACTGAACGCGCGACATGTCGATTCCGGCTCACCTAAACCGAGTGTCTTCGACTATGCACACCTTCGTGCGCCGCTGCCCAAGGGAATAATGTCGGGGATTTTCAGCAAGGGCAGTCCCAGCAGCTACTTTCTCATGCGCCGCAGTTCTGATGGCTTCGTCTCGGCGACGGGAATGTTCAAGGCTACGTTCCCATATGCTAGAGCCGAAGAGGAGGAGGCCGAGCGCCAGTACGTGAAGTCACTTTCGACGACGAGCCCCGAAGAGACGGCCGGCAATGTGTGGATCTCGCCGGACCAGGCAATGGTCCTCGCCAGCGAGTATGGCATTCAGCCATGGATCGCCGCGCTTCTAGATCCCACCGACATCCTAGTCGCGGGCTCCCAGTCCACGCAAACCCCGGCAACCAACAAGATTATTGCGGAGCCACCCAAATACTTCCAAAGCGGCCTCGTTTCTCCACCTACGCCGACATCGCTTCCGCGAACCCTACGCTCCCGTCGTTCGGCAAGCCCATCAAAGTTGCCGACGACCAGGCGCGCACAGGCGAGCCCTCGAAAGCGGGCGACCAAGGCGGCCACACTACACTATCCATCCTCCGAGGAAAGCAGCGCCAAGGCCTCGGTCTCGCCGTCACTATCGAATGCTCCGCTCGGTGCCGTTCCGGTGCTTCCGGTCCCGGTTCCAGCCCTTAAGCCGGTCGCCGAAGACACCATCGTGGAATCCCTAGAGCATGACCACCCGGACCATGATACTCCCCAGGAGAGCATTGAGCAGGACGGCGCAGCGGTGCTTGAGACTGCTGAGGAGCCCAAGGTCAAGATCATAGTTGACCAGGACATTAAAATTGATGCAGACGGTGTGGAAACGCGGCACACCAACTTCGAGGTTGAGCTACCAGTAGCCGGCCAGCCGCCTTCAGCCGAGGAGACGGCACGCATGCTGGCTGAAGCAAAAGAAATGGTCAGGGCGGCTGCCGAAAGCATGACGGAAACGACCGGCCCCAGCCAGCTTGAGCCCACCAAGGACAAGCGCAAAATCGAGGACATTTCTGTGGGCGAGCAGGAAGAAAGTGCGCAAGATGCTGTTCCGGGTGAAGTCTCGGAGGCTCCCAGGGCAAAGAAGACCAAGACGGCGGCTGAGGAGAAGCGGGACCGGGTGCGGAAGCGGGCTCTTTTCGGATTTGGCGCCACTCTGGCAGTCGGGTAAGCACAGATTCGCTTTGATTCCAGAATCTCCCACGTCATTGTTACTAACAAGGTCCCAACAGAGCTGCTAGCGCATTGGCACCGTACGTGTTCGGCCTGCTGTGATGTGTATCTCTCGAGGTCGGAACACGCATGGGCGCAGGGGCATCCTTGGGTACGGACAGGTGGGATCGAAAAGGCGAGAGCGGCGGCACAGAGGCTTTGGGAGGTCGGCTGTGATGATTTTCCTTGATTTTTTTGGGCCATTTATTCCATTTGTATAAGTTTATTTGCACATACCCCCTCTATCTTTCCTTTCCTTCTTGGCCGCTGAATGGCTGGCGTTTGATCGGGCTCGTGCCCTCGGCAGTCTTTCTTTGGCACAAGCCCTCACGGAGGCGCATTTTATTTAGGAGCACCCGGGGTTGTAAGACATTTAGGCACCACCTGTACTTTGATATAATATTCCATCCTTTTACTCTCGTTTTTGGTGGCCTCTGTGAGCACAATCAACCAGGAGCTGTGTCGTTCGGATGACAGTTGGAAGCCATGGGACACCCAAGTGGAGGACCCAGCGCACCCCAAAGTCTGGGGTGCGGCAATGACCGGCTCAACGCCCACCCGCACCTTTCCCCGCATTCGAGCGACCCCGGCCTCGGCCTAAGACTTGGCGGTGCAGTTAGTTTCGAGGGACAGACCGGTACCTACATAAACGCTGACGGGCGACATGCGCTTGAAAAAAAAAAGCCCTTTGACCCGAAGGGTCATTCGATCCATGTATTTAAAACCTGCTCCTCCTTCTTACTAGGCTACAGCACACACTCCATCCAGCCCGACAGGTCGCAGCAACATGAGATCGACGCTCTCGCCGCGGGCGCTCCGCCATGTCAGGGCGTCGTCGGCAACGAGGGCCTTCTCCTCGACGGCGCGCCGGCTCGACACGTACGGCTTTATCGGGCTCGGCCAGATGGGCTACCAGATGGCCAGAAACCTACAGTCCAAGCTCCCGCCATCGGACACGGTCCGGCTCTTCGACATCAACCGCGACGCCATGCGGAAGCTGGCCGCCGAGATGAAGGCGGCGTCACCGTCACAGGCTGGGGGCGCCGCCGTGGAGCTGGCCGAGAGCGCGGAGGCGGCGTCGACGGATGCGGTAAGCGGGGCTTTGGTGCAAGGCAAACAAGAAATGGAGACACGGCAAGCTAGGTGCTAACCAGGTTGGCGGCAATTTACACGATACAGGACACCGTCATCACCGTGCTCCCCGAACCGAGCCACGTCAAGTCCGTCTACGCGTCCATAGTCTCGCACCTACAATCCCTACCGCAGACGCAGCCGAGCCGGCTCTTCATCGACTGCTCGACTATAGACCCGGCCTCGTCGCAAGAGGTGGCGGCGCTGGTGGCGGCGGGCACGGGCGGGGCGGCGGTGGCGGCGCTCGTGGACGCGCCCATGTCGGGCGGGGTGGTCGGGGCGGCCGCGGGCACGCTGACCTTCATGCTCGGGTCGGCCGACGACGGGCTGGCCGGGCGGGCGGAACCCACACTCCTCAAGATGGGCCGGCGCGTGCTGCGCTGCGGCGGGCAGGGGACCGGCCTCGCGGCCAAGCTGGCCAACAACTACCTCCTGGCCGTGGCCAACGTGGCGGCGGCCGAGGCCATGAACATGGGCGTGCGCGCCGGGCTCGACCCGGCCGTGCTGGCGGGCGTGCTCAACGCCTCGACGGGCCGCTGCTGGCCCACCGAGGTCAACAACCCCGTCCCGGGCGTCTGCCCCGCCAGCCCCGCGGGCAGGGACTACGCGGGCGGCTTTGGGCTCGCGCTGATGCGCAAGGATCTGGGGCTGGCCATCTCGGCGGCCCAAGCGGCCGGGGCCAGGCTGGAGCTGGCCGAGAAGACGAGGGAGGTCTACGACGGGGCCGACGCGAGGGAGGACTGTCGGGGGAGGGACTTTAGTGTGGTGTATCGGTACTTGGGAGGCAAGGAGTGAGGGGGGAACCCGCAGTTCGTCGTCATGGTGTAAAAAGTCTAGACGGGGGTGTAGAAAACGTAGGTGTCCGAGGTGGTATGGCATCTCAATGGCATCGGAATGCAACATGAACGATTTCGGCACGACAGCGGCAACCAGCGGACCGGAGTTCGGACGAATCGCATCGAGGCTCAATTCCTTAAAAAACGTGGCCCGGCACAACCACAACCTACCAGACTCCAAGCTAACCCGAAGTAGTTGCTCGTTTGCACAGTAGCCAAGGGTTCTAGGCCACCAGCTTCGGCGTATTTCATCGTACTTTAGGGTTCGTACTCCGTATCGCTAAAATAACGCTTCTCTTGGCGGACACCGTCCCCTCCTCTCTGATCCGACCTCTCGGACGAAAGACACCTGTTTGAGTGGTTTCTCGTCCCAACAGATTGGGGTCCCGCCCTGTCATGATCCCTGTGGGTTTCCGGTGTGAAGGTCGTAGTTTGCCTGTCAACCGGTTACCACAGCGGCTCAAATGGGCGAAAACAACCCAAAAAAAAAAAAAGACGAGTGCTAGCAGATAAACACGGGCATGGCGGCGCGTTCCTGATTAGGGTCCCATCCATGCTCGCCTCGTGGCTGGCCCGGGATTATGGGACACAAGGGGCGAACCCGGAGAGTCGGGCAGGGAGGGATGGTCCTTAAACGGCGCAATATTGCGGCAGCAGGCCGGGATGTGGGTTGGGTGGGCAGTGGATAGCTGACAACCCCCGGAAACGCTGACATGCTCGCCGGCCATCGATGTATATACATACATACATGCCCCAGAGAGCGCATCGGTGTTGAGAATCCTACACATGCTGCCAACCTGGTTTCCATTCCTTATCACCGCTCACGCCGAACCGTATAGGGACCCCAAGGCAGACGTCGATGACCTGCCGGCGCCCACACAGTGCTTGCCCCAGCCAGCTCCTGTCGCTATCTATTAATCTTTAGGACCAGTTTTTCTTTTCTTTTCTTTGCGTTTCTCTTCTTTATTTAGTTCCACAATCCTCTCTCCTTTTGCGAGGGACTTCATCAAGCCACCACGGCGGGCATCCCGAAGGCCTTCAATGTCGGCGCCGCCAAACACCACCCTCGGCGCGGGGGGAGGCCGAGCGTACCGGCGATGCGATGAGGTCAGCGCCTTCTGCCCCGTCCAGCTGACGACGCTGGGCTACTATCCCAACCGGGGCGCCAACTACTTCTTCGCCATCGGCTTTGGGCTGTGCATCATCGTGGCGCTCGTGCTGGGGACGTGGAAGAAGACGTGGAGCTACATGGCCTTCCTGACCGCCGGGTGCGCGCTGGAGCTTGCGGGTGAGTTTGGATTGCCCCATTCTCCATGGATCTCAAGATGGGCGGCGGCGAGGATGACGTGACATCAATACTGACCGAAATACCTCTCCTTTTCCCCCAGGCTACGGAGCCCGCGTCGCGCTGGCCGACAACCCATGGAACAAGCACGCGTTCGAGACGCAGATCTGCGCCATCGTGCTCGGCCCGACCCTCATCTGCATCTCCATCTACCTCACGCTCAAGCACGTCACGCTCGCCCTGGGGCCGTCCCTGTCGCGCGTGCCGCCGCGCGTGTACCCGCTCATCTTCGTGCCGGCCGACGTGTCGTGCCTGCTGGTGCAGGCCGTCGGCGGCGCCCTGGCCGCCAGCGCGTCGGCGGGCGACGGCGTGCCGAACCTGGACCTCGTCAACGCGGGGAACCGCGCCATCATCGCCGGCATCTGCCTGCAGGTCGTGGTGCTGGCCGCGTTCGGCATCATGTCGGCCGACTTCTACCTCCGCGTGCGGCGGCGGGTGGCCTCCGGGCAGGCCGACGCGGAAGCTGCGGCGCTTTGGCGCGACGGCAAGTTCCGCGCCTTCGCGGGCGCCGTGGCCGTGGCGTACGCGGCCGTCTTCGCGAGGTGCGTCTACCGCATCGCCGAGATGGCGGGCGGGTGGGGGAACCACATCATGCAGGACGAGGCGTCCTTCATCGTGCTCGACAGCGTCATGATGCTCGTCGCCTCGGCCCTCCTGGCCGCCTTCGCGCCGGGCCTGCTCTTCCCCCAGATGGCCGAGGCCATGAACGCCAGACGGGACGAAGAGGCCAAGGCCAAGGAGGGCGCCGCCGCCGCCGCCGCCGCCGCCGCCGCCGACTCGGAGGTGAACACGGGGAATGAAAGCCAAGACACAGAGAAGAGCGCGCCCCCGACCTCACAGGGGGAAGCCAAGGTGACTCCATAGATGAAGGCTTCATAGCTTTGTTGGGGCGCTTTCTTGGGTGCAATTTCATGTTTGCCGGCTCACAACGGCCTCGTCCTTTCCATTTTTATTTTGATCTTGGGCTAGATTATCAGACTTGTAGAGGCTTAGTCGTATATAGATTGGCTCAGCATACGATGAGAACCTCAACGCGGCCATCATTTAGTATTCTGTCGTGATAGGGAAGCAAACTAGAGGATAGGGTGGTAGACATGAATTCAACATGGCGCGGAAGATTCTCGTCGATGGCTTCCTTCAGGAAGTGACAACAAGCAATATCCCGTGGGAAACGCCGCAACGGAGGCATGACGAGGACAGAAAGAAGCGAGCATCACTCATGGTGTGCAATCAGGCGCTGAGAGAACTAGGGTTGAAAACCCTGTGGGGGATATCTTAGGGGGTGTGCATCTGGGGGCACCTGGGTAAGGTATTCTGGGTTGTGGCTGTCGCAAAAAGGGGCCAGGTACCTTGGTCCTATTGCTTTGCCGACATGAGCTGAACAAATTCTTGGTCTGTTGCCATTGTGTTAGCGACAAGACCCTTTTGTATTATGGGTTAGTCCACTGACGGGCAACTTACAGTCGATGGATCCGTTGCCGTCCAGGTCGGCATGGTTGATCATCTCGGTGATCTCCTCGTCCGTGTAGAAGTCGCCGAGATGGCGCAGGGCTCGGCGCAGCTCATCGGGCGAGATGGAGCCGCTGCCGTCCTGGTCTATGACCTCGAAGGCCTGGAGGAGCTCCCTCTGCTCCTTATTTATATCGTGCTTCTGCGAGTTCGGGTCCAGGGCCTGGTTCGTCTCGGGGTGTGCCATGGCCCGCAGGAACTCTGGTCGCACGTGGTCGCACGTGGTCAGCGCCTGGCTTTCATTTTGGCAGACCAGATCAGAGCCTACCGTGAAAGTCGATCTGGCCATCCTTGTTGGTGTCAATGTCGGCGATGATGTCCTGGGCCTCTGCGTCGGTGGCGCTTAGGCCGAGCGACTCCATAGCATCGGCAAATTCCTCGGCCGAGATGCTTCCTATTTTGATGTTCTAGTCAGCGCCTGGAACAGAAGCGGCTGGCTGGGGACATGAGCCGATTCGGTGCAGCGCTTCGCTGCACTGCACTGGCTCATGTGCCGTTGCTAGTGCATTGCGTGGTGGCAGTGCAAACTCGCGTGCGTGGTGGAGTTGAGGCCTGGGTGGGAATTCGAAGCCTACCGGTTCCATCTTTATCCTATTGAGCACAGTCGCAGTCGCAGTCGCAATTCAAATTTTGCTTGTCAACAAACCCAGCTCCAATTTGACGTTTTTCAATTATTTCCATTTCTTCTCTCTTAGTTTCCGTCTCCCCGCCTCTTGCTTGCCTCATTCGCTGGTCCGTTGCTCACTCACAATGATATCAAACACCTCCTTCAGCTGCTTGAGCTGGTCGTTGGTGAGGTGCGACTGTTGCATGCAAAGAAAGCCCAGGCGCGGCCGCGCGAGGGGTTGTTTTTATTTAGCGACTCGACAAACGCTGCCGCGGTGTTCAATCTTGGGGGTTCGGCGTTCCTACCATCGCTTCCCTTTGGTTGGTTTTGTCGATGGTAACGCCCCTCTTGTTCACTCGTGGAATCAAAGTATAGGTATCTTCTCGTCGAATTCGCTGGCTGCTCTTGTCTCTGTTCTGCGGCCTGAGGGGTAACTGGCCAGGGCTTCAAGGGACAGACTTCCAAGGTGACGGGGTCGAGATGACGACTTTGCCCCCAAGCAAGTACGGGCGACCGAATCAGCAGGCCGGAACTGTCTGGTGGAATGCTGCAGGTGCCCGCCCACGCCTCTAGCTGCCGCCCAGGAACTGGCGGAGTCGCCTAATCACGTGAAAGTACACGCAAGCCACGAAATGGCGTCCGATCCATTGGCGTGAACTGGGATGGGCGTCCAAGCGCCCACCTTGCACTGCCGACTTTGCCGTTCATCCACCTGGAGTCTTACTGTGTTGCTCTACAAAGGAGCCATGGTTGGACGCGATGCCGCGCCAAGCAGTTTTCGCAAACACTGATGTCGGCCCTCGCCCGATGCCAAGCAACCCAGAGGCGGCGACTCGCCGCCACTGCGCCGGGAGCCCCTTTAGAGTCTGATCCGGCATGGAGAATCCCAGCATTGTTAGTTTGGCCTGGTGATGATATGCTTCGGGTGGTAACCAAATTAGGTCGCCGTCGGTGTTGCTAAGTGATGCTGTTGGTAGTGAGGATGGGTTCAATCAGTTATGTGAAAAGTGTAGTGGTGGTTTCTGTAGCAAAGCCTTGGCAGTATAATCACCCACGGTAGAATATACGCACCCAACCATGAGTTTGTGCAAGTTGTTTTGGACAACCTGGTCTCAAAGAATCCCTAATGAATCCCCAAATGTAGGAAATGACTTCTCCCTAGTCGCTAAAGAAATAACCCTCATCGTACTATTGGGAGATATCGCTCGAGGGACTGGCTGCGCTCAGAGTATACACAATGAGGCGAAGAAGCTTCCTGGTATTTGCAGCCCAGCCCCAAGACTCTAGGTTAGACTTACGCGGCACAAGTCCCCTCCCGAGAATTGTTCCTTCCGGCTGTGCATGCTTGGACATTGACTCGATATTGACCCTGGCAGGGCACGGAATAGTCTCCCGCCGATCCAGCAAGCGAGCAATGTGTGCAATTTGGCCGGCGAATCGGCGTCCGGAGCTTTTCTCTCGACAAACTCGGGACGAGATGATGTTAGCAAGGTGGCGGCGGGGCTTCCCTGGCGTTGACTCGTGGATTGTAGCGGTATTAGTGCTCATTGGGGCGAATTTAGATGCATCGTGGCATCGTGGTCGACGCCTCGTGAGGTAATTACCTACCGTCCAGGCGAACAGCGATCCTACCTTGTAGTTTGTCCGGGCATGCCGGGGGCCGGGAGATACTGTTCCTGATCGCCCACGCCCACGAAGCGCTCACTCATTCGCTTCTCTGGCAGAAGGCACTTCGCCTCTTGGGCACGTACGTAATATCCTGTATGTTTCGGTGGCGGCTAGATCACGATCGAGAATAGCAATTCTCCGCCCGCCCGACCAGCGCCGGAGCAGACGGCGATGTTGGCAGGCGGCGGGAAGTGTGTACTGTTGCATCCACCGGCGTAGCACCAGGTCCGGCAGCGGAAGCCGGGGAGCAGAAGAGCCACCCCCATGGGGAAAAGGTGCGCCGAGATGTAAGTGACGGGAACTTGTGTTCCGGCTGTTTGCGGCTGCAGGGACGTTGCCAGCCAAGCCCACGGCAGATCACCGGCCACGAGCGGATCTGGGTGTTTGTTTAGGCCTCCTTGGGGGCGGCGATCTGGCAGCCTCTGCTGGGCGGACTGGGGTAGAGCCAGGGCAGACTGGGGGCGGGGGTGGTGGTGTGCTGTCCGTATATCAAAAGTCCAAATATCCTACTGGCCTGGCCTGGGCGGCTAAAATGTCCAGAATAATGATGCAAGGGCCATTGGCCGCCCTGGCGTGCGAGACTCTGGCAGGCGAGCTGACATGTGTACAATACAATACAGCCGGTACGGGACACAGGAATGGGAACGGCGCAAAAACCTCCGAGAGGTTGCCGCATTGGGGATTATTGAACAATGCGCCCAAGCATGCCACCCCATGTTTCAACCACCTACCACCCAGACGCGCCTCGCCCGGCAGTTCAGTTGCGCGGGGCTCGCGCGCCTTGTCCACTTCCCACACCCTCCCCTAGCGGAGCCTCTCACACTGCGCCGTTTTGCTGCCACCACACACCATCGCGGGCTGCTCGGTTGATGAAAGGGGCCGCTGGACGTTTGTGTCGATATTGCCGTGACGTGTTTTGGTCCGATTTCCCCGCTGGAAGTGAGCAGAATAATAATTCCGCAAAACGAAAGTGGGCTATCCAGACTTGTGCCTCTGCTGGTGACGCTGGGGGCCCCTCCATCACCACCCCTGCCCCATGAGGTCCAAAGGAGCAATGCATCCGTCGTTGCACTTGAGGAGAGGAGGCCGTTCAGCCGCTCGTGTATAGACTGTGTCTGTATCTGTATCTGCATGTATATACATATATATATGTATATAGTGGCCCGTCCAGCTACGCTACCCTCATCTAAGAAGGACCCGGCTACCCAGGGCACTCATCCATTCACCTGCTCAAGCATCTCACACTTCTCCGGTCCAGGCACACAAAGTCGACTCGTCACAGCACAGGCAACATGAGGGGCCTATTCGCACTTCTGCTCCTGCCCCTGGCCCTCGCGGCCCCGACACCCGAGGCCGGCGAGCTCGTGGAGCGCCAGGCGGCCCAGAGCATCGACCGTCTCATGAAGGCCAAGGGGAAGCTGTATTATGGCACGGCCACCGACCAGGGCCGCCTCGGCCAGGGCAAGAACGCCGCCGTCATCCAGGGCAACTTTGGCCAGGTCACGCCCGAGAACTCGATGAAGTGGGAGTCGATCGAGAGGAGCAAGGGCCAGTACAACTGGGGACAGGCCGACTACCTGGTTGACGTACGTGATCCGGAGAGTTGAGAAGGACGAGGGGCGAGAAAATAGGAAATCTAGCTGACGGCGGGGGGGGGAATGGGCAAACAGTGGGCTACCAAGAACGACAAGTCGATCCGTGGCCACACCCTGGTGTGGCACTCGCAGCTCCCCGGCTGGGTCAGCAACATCAACAACAAGGCCGAGCTCACCAAGGTGATCCAGGACCACGTTGCCGCAGTCGTGGGCCGCTACAAGGGCAAGATCCGGGCCTGGGTAAGTTTGGCGTCAACAAACCAGCTCTCTTTTTTTTTTGCAGAGTACCCATACTGACTGCCCCCAGGACGTCCTCAACGAGATCTTCAACGAGGACGGCTCGCTCCGCAGCTCGGTCTTCTCGCGGGTGCTGGGCGAGGACTTTGTGCGCATCACGTTCGAGGCGGCGCGCAAGGCCGACCCGGACGCGGTGCTGTACATCAACGACTACAACCTCGACAGCCCCAACGCCGCCAAGCTGACGCGCGGCATGGTGGCCAACGTCAAGAAGTGGATCTCGCAGGGCATCCCCATCGACGGCATCGGCACGCAGGGCCACCTGCAGTCCGGGCAGGGCAGCGCGCTCGCGGGCGCCATCAAGGCCCTGGCCGACACGGGCGTCAAGGAGGTGGCCGTCACGGAGCTCGACATCCAGAACAACAACGCGAACGACTACGCCGCCGTGACCAAGGGCTGCCTCGCCGTCAAGTCGTGCGTCGGCATCACCGTCTGGGGCGTCCGCGACCAGGACTCGTGGCGGCCCCAGGGCAACCCGCTCCTGTTCGACAGCGGCTTCAACGCCAAGGCCAACTACAACGCCATCGTCCAGGCTCTGCAGTAGGCGGTCGCCAGTTCATGCGCCTTTGACAAGATTACCCGCATACCTAGACGCCTAGGTATCTCCTGAAGGGGCCTTCTCTGTATATATCTTTTTTGCTTATATATACTTCATCACCTTGTACATGTGCTCGCTGGCTGCTCAGCCACAGCAGATCTTTAGCCCGCTTATGAGTGTTTAATCTTGCAACCTTTGCGCTTGAAAAATTGCCCTGCCAAGGAAGGGGAGGTATAGGCTCGTGGTATCGAGCAAGACGACAACAGCCATGGCATTTGAGAAGGTCAAACCGCGACGGGTGAATTGCATTACTTTATGTAGAGACGCACGACTGCGGCTCCCTGCGGCCACCTAGAACGCGAAGCTATTCACGGCGTTCAAGAACAAATCCGGTCGCAGCCACAAGTCGTTTCCGCTTTTCAGCTACGGTTCCTGTAGTAGGGTGCCACAAGGCACGCAAGACCGCATCAAACTCGACTTCTACCCAACCATTAGCAGGGTACAAAACCCCTTGGGTGCAAAAACTGGAACCTATTGGAGCCTTACCGGTCATTTTGTCGATGTCCTGCAACTTCTGTGGGAACTGGGGAATGGAGTCGTTTGTTGCGAGGCCTCGAAGGGGATGCAAATGCTGCCCTCGACACAGGATTTTGTTCATTCCACGCGCCAGCGTGTTCCAGTTGCTGCCGCTTTTGGTCAATCATATGCATATTTTGGTTGCAAAATGCGATCCATCACATAGTCATACCTAGCCTCCATTTGCGTCTCAATATTGTCAAATCGCGTTCTGAACGAGTGCTCAATCTCGTCCAGTCGCTGCATGACGGCGTCCACACCTATTGCAGCAGGCAGGTTGGCAAACAGGCCGAGTTGTCGACCGATTTCTTTAAAGGACCTTTCGATGAGAGCAAAGTCGGGTTGCTCACCCAACACGGCCATGGCTGGGTAGTAGAGTGTAGGAACGCGGTGTGTGATGTTGGCAGTGGGTGATTTGCTTTTGGTTGAAACCGGTTAAATGCAGACCCAAGGTGCCTTTTAAAGTCCTGTCTAGCCTGGGGCGGGAAGTCATCTGCCATTAGGCTCAAGGTAAAGCCGAAAACAAGCTCTTGGAAACGTAAACATGGACTGGCACGAATATGGATTATGCTTGCCCTTTCAACTGGTGGCTTAAGTTTAATCTATGCGGCGGCCTGATGCTGCAACAACTGGAGGAGCCGCTGTACCTGCTCAGTGCTGCTCAATCTTTCGATTATCAGGAATAGGAACGAGCCCGGAGATCAAACCCAGCAGTAAATCTAGCCTGTAGGACCTATACTGTGTAAGTAAATGGCGGTTAGCATCAACAATACAACACGATTGGACGGCAGGTAGCGCAGCCCCCTCCTCGACCTAGCGTCGGGCCGCCGCGCAGCATAAAGTCAAGCTCACCAGTTCTCACCAGTTGGAAGAGCTTGCGTAATCCACAGTCGGGGTCAGTCCGCCACTCACCGTTGCCACTCTGAATCTCGCTGGCAGCCATGCGGCAGGGATCGATTTTATCGTGGCAGACGTCCATTGGCGTCGTCCATTGTTCTGCCTGCTGTTTCTAGTCTGAACGTTTTGACAAAAAGGGAGGAACGGGACGGCCCCATCAATTCTTTAGCTCGTCATAGAGAAATAAATTCTTTAGGTTGTTGCAGGGACATAACCAGCCACGTCAAAAATGGTGGTCAAGCAGAAACTCACACCAGAGTCCTTCCTCAGCGCTCCGCGCCGCAGCGTCGCCGTCCCCAACCAGGACGGCTCCCTCGCTCTCTTCACCGTCTCGAGACATGCATTTGGTGTCTGTGAGGAACGGGGCGGGGAGACGGCACAGGACCTCGTCGTCGTAAGTCTCGAATCCGGCGACACCTACACCCTGAGCAGCGACCCCGGCGTCCACGACGCGGTATGGATCCCCGGCGGCAAGCACGCGTCCGGCGCCGGTCCCCTGCTGTGGCTCGAGTCTGTCGCCAGGGGGCAGGGGGGATGGCGAAACCCGGATGAGGGTCATGATGCCGCGCCCTGCGTCATCGACGCCCGAGGCCGAAAGCATCGGCTCGCGCTACGTCGCTGGCGTTATCCCAGCCCCCGTCCGGGCGCTCAAGCTTTGCGCTCTCGAGGACGGCTCGGTGGCGTGCGCCGTTGTCGCAAAGGTGGCCCCCGATGGCAGCATGCTCAACAGCGCCCCAGTGAGCAAGAGTTTATCCACGGCCAGGATTTACGACGGATGGGAGATGCAAGAGGTAAGTTCGCCCCTTGGAGGCCCCCCTTCTTTCCTCCTTGTAGCAATGTTGTTGTTATTGTCGTCGTATTGCTTGCTGACAAGTGCGAGCCCGGCACATGCGCCAAGCCCGACAAGTATTCCATCTGGCATTCCAGGCTGGTCAAGGACTTGTACGGAAGATGGAAACTGGCCGGGCCGTTCCAAAACGCCCTTCGCGGCACGAACCTGGAAGCCCCTGACAGCAGCACGTACGACTTTGGCGACGCCGGCGCCGCCTACGATCTCGGCCCAAGGGGTATTGCCTTCTTGGCCCCAAGTCGTCAAGGCCCACCCGCGAGTGGCAACCGCATCTCTTCCTGCTCAGATGTCTACTTCTTGCCTATCGACCCCTTCGTCGTCGAGGAGGACCCCATGCCCGGCCTGGGCATCAGCGGCAACGTGCCGCCGTCTCGACGCCCGCAGCCCGTCAAAATCACCACGCTGGAACACGCACAAGAGGGGCGCTGCTCGAACCTGCGCTTCTCGCCCGACGGCGCCATGCTGGCCTTCCTCAAGGTCCCGGCGGCCGCCTGCAACCCCGAAACGCGTTTGTTCATCGCCCACGCCGACGCGCCGCCGTCCGCAACCTTGTCGTCCGACCATCCATACCCCTCCTCCCTGTCCGCGTTCGACGTCCTGTGCAACTGGGACCTGCGGCCGTCGCGGTTCGAGTACCACCCGTCCGGCCGGTCCATCGTCGTCATGGCGTCCGACTCGGGCTGCGTGGAGCTGCACCGACTTGCCCTGGAGGGCCACGCCCCCGTCGCCCCCACCCTCCCGTTCCGCCCCAGCGTCGGGAGCGTGCACGGGTTTCACGTCGTCTCCAAAGGAGCAGCAGCAGCAGCAGCAGCAACAACAACAACAACAACAACCCCGGCGACGGCCGGCCAGCAGCTTCTTCTCGTATCATCGAGCAGCCTCACCGACGGCGGCGGCGTCTTCCAGCTCGTCGGCTACGACAACATCGGCGCCCTCGACCACGACGGCTTCGAGTCCGCCGCGCTAGCCGCGGGGCCAGACCGCCGCGGCGGCGTCCGCTTCGACCTCTCGCGCGCCCGCCAGGTCTCCGAGATGTACTTCGAGGGCGGGGGCGACTACTGCGTCCGGGCCTTTGTGGTGCGGCCCAGCAACTTCGACGCGGACAAGAGGTACCCCTTGGTGCTCCTCCTGCACGGCGACCTGCCGGCGGGTGCGAGCAATGACATGTGGCACCTGAGTGTAAGTCTTTTTTCTTCTTTTTTTTATTTATTACTTATATACAACTGGCGCAGGAGAACTAATTCATGCCAACGGCCGCGCGGGGTAGTGGAACCCAGCGGTATTGGCCGAGCAAGGCTACGTCGTCGTCCTGCCCGATATCGCGGGCAGCCTCGGGTTCGGCGTCGACTTCGCCACAGAGACGTTTGGGGAATGGGGAGGCCGGTCGTACAATGATCTCGCCAACTGCATGGAGTACCTGAAGGATATCCCCTACATCGACATGGACAGGGCTGCCATCGCCGGCGCCGGCTCTGGCGGCTACATGGTAAACTGGATGCTGGGACAGCCCCTCGCCCGCAAGGTAAGCCTCGTCATCCGCCGCATGATTTGCTAGCTCTCTAGGAGGTTTATGCTCTGCCCTTTGGCGAGCCCACCCCGATTTCAGCGCTGACAGCCTGGAAATCCCACCCGCAGTTCAAGGCAGCCGTTTGCCAGAACGGCATCTTCGACACGGGAATAATGCAGCTGCAGCTGCAGCAGCAGCAGCAAGACTTGGCCGACGACGCGAGCGAGCTCGGTGCGCGGGCCCCGCCGACGCTCATCATCCACGGCGAACGCGACCGCCGCGTCCCCGTCACGGAAGCGCTGGCCGCGTTCCGGACGCTGCAGGTCATGGGCGTACCCAGCCGGCTGCTCACGTTCCCGGACGAGAACCAGTGGGTTCAAAGGCCCGAGAACGCGCTCGAGTGGCACCATGTCCTGTTTGACTGGCTTAAGCGGCACATTGGGCCTGGCTTGGATGCGCCAGCCGTCCCAGACGCTGTTGGCGCCTCACATCGATACTAAAAAGTGCGCAAATGACCCACGGGCTGCGCCATGATATACCGCAGGCATAATTCAGGTGTTATTGCTTTTATGACCAAACATGCGTCGCATGCTACATGGCACCTTTTGGAAGAGGCGGCCGAAGTAAAGACTGACAAGAAGAGACAAGGAGCATGTTTTAGGAAATCAGGGAAAAGAAAGCAGAAACCCGGGCGAAAGCGGGAAACCCCAGAATATCAGAGGAAGGCGAGGGAAAGCAGAAACAAGTATCCGGTCTGATGCATCTCTCAATCCCAAACCTCTATAGCTTACCAGCAGCACATAGGGGCACACTTTGAGTGATCGCGCTGCCTCATACAGCCGGCTTTTGTTCATATCTGGACCTCCCCGGTCGGTCTTTGCTCCTGCATGGACAGGATAAGCTCCGTGAGCCTGTCGATCTTGATTGACAGCTCCTGGATCCGGACGTCTGCCTCGCTCGGGACGTCGATCATGGTGTCCTCGTTGTGGAACTGGGGCATGGCCGAGTGGAACTCGGTCGAGCTGACAGGGCGGGGTGACCGGCGGTAGGAGCCGGCGTGGGACTGCCGCCTCCCCATGCCCGGGCGACCAGTCGTCCGCTTCCTGTAGGCGGGCATGCGCTTGGAATCCACACGAGGGCCCTTGAAGCCGGCAAAGTCGTCCATCTTGTCGAGATGGCCGCGGATGAGCTCGTAAAGCTTGATGGCACCGACGATGGGCCAGTGAGTGGCCTTGAGGAGCCAGATACGCGCAGCGCGGAACTTGGAATCAGAGGGGAGGAAGAGACGCAGCGGGCGGAATATGATGAGGGCAAGGAGATTGAAGGGCGGGTAGAAATGAGTGAGCCGGTTGCTGGTCGAGGCCTCCAACACGTATACCGAGTAGACGTAAAGGTACTCTTCGCGGGCGTGGCTGATGACGCGAGAGAAGCTGTTGCTCAGCATACCCGTGAGCGAACCCATGAGTAGGATTGAGCTGAGCGTGATGAAGATCAGCATGAGGGGAGGCCCGAACACCGGATCGATATCCGACATTATCTCAAAGCCAACGTAGCTGCTCCCGAAAAAGATCTTGGTTAAAATCATGGTCATGGAGGCCAGGGGATATCGGTCTCGGCCAATGAGAGAAAATGTCGTCAGGAACCCGAGATACACGATGACGACTTTGGCAAAAGTTAGCACACCGTCAACGCAGCCGTTTTAGCCATTCAAGAGAAAACTTACCAAGCACCATGAATTTGATGAAGTCCTGTGATTGCAGAGACGTTAGTCAACATGCTAACGAAGAGACGTAACAAACAAATATGAACACGGCAGAGAAATAATTACCTTGAGCATGGCTTTGAGGCATGGTAACAGGGTACCCCAGTATGGACTCAGACTCAGGACCGAGGCAATTCTGGGCACCATGAAGAGAGCCTCGAGCGAGAGGACGTCGAATGACAGTTCGATCAGATATCGGTCGCCGTTATAGAGCCCAATGCCGCGCAGTGTGGCAAATACAATGCCTATGAGGAGCATGATCATGTCGAAAAGATTCCAAATGTCTGTCGTGTAAAAGATGGACCCGGCATCCATCAGCTCGCTCATCTCGTCGTAGAAAAAAGCGGCAAACCAGATGTACAGCGCCGTTTCGAGAGGGGTGATGCGGCTACTGTCGCGCTCGTACAAGACGGCATAGTAAAGACAGAGGAACGAGGCGAAGAAGACGACCTCGAACGATTTCAGATACTTGGGCACACGCAGCCGCGAATAGGGGTCGGCAGTGCTATGCCTGTAGAAACGAGGCTTCTTGACGGTGTGGATCGAAAGCTCATCCCAGAAAATGATGTCTCCGTTCCAGATCCCCGTGACGATCTTCTGAACAATGTCCTGGCTAAGGAATCGCTTGGCGTCTGCGATGGCGGCGATCTCAAGGGCGTTGAGTGAGATGAAGGCCCTCGTGGGATCCTCGTCGTCCTCCACGGCCTCGTCGTCATCGTCCTCGCGGCCCATGGTCATGGTTAGGCGGGAGAGCGACTGGAGCAGCTGGTACTTTTTGGCGCTGCTGCCCGGACGAGACGGCGTGCGACGAGCAGAACCCGAGGTGGCAGGCAAGGCCGAGTGTGGCAGTTGTGGCAGCAGAACCGTGGTCTCGTCAGGGTTGACGCAGCCACTCTCCTCATCATAAGGCATCTGGCTTCTTCCATTGTCGGCCGGGCCGTTATCATTGTTGTTGTTGTTGCTGTCGTGCTCGTCATCTTCCGAGTCCGGGATCTCATAGAGGCAGTACTGGACGGCCTCCCTCTCGGAAAGGTGAGTGAGGAAACGCCAGGCCACTATCTCGCATGCGTTGGCACGGGCTTCACCGAGAGTCTTCTCGCCGCTTTCACAGTTGATGGTATAGTGCCACTTGAGCGCACTGTGATGGTGGGTAGCGAATGGGACGGGCCGCGCAGTTTGTCAGCAAACGGCATCTTGCATGTTGGACTGCGTCTCCCCTGGGTCCTCTTGGCGATATAGAACAGGTGGGAGAAAGTGCGGGGTGCAGGGGGTTAGGTCAAGCCAAGATGCTGGTTTCCAGCGCTGTGGAAATTGGCCGGGCTTAATGCTTGAGGGGGGTGGGAAGCCATCGCGTATACTCAAGGCGCGTCACGTATTACGTATCGCAAACACAGGACAGGGAGCCCACATGGGGCCCATCAACGGCACGCATCACACCCAGATAGCCCAATTGAGGGTGCACGCCGAGATGTCGCCGAAGAGAACCTACAGGAGAGCATTGACTATTGCCTTGTTGTTGCACTCGGCCGTCAGGTGCGAGACCAGGGAGCGAAGGCCGTCGCCGGCTGCGGTTGTCCGGAGCTGCTCAAACGAGCAAGGCAGAGTAACCACCTCGGCGATGTAGCTGCCCGCCGCAGGAGACGTACGTCGGTCAGCCATCACGCCCATGGTCAGGCAAGTACCCCCCCAGGAAAGGAAGAGTGCCCTACATGGAGACTTTCTTGACGACCACACGGAAGCTGTCATTGTCGTTGATGTCGGGCAGCTCGCACTCTGCGATCTTCTCGAGCGGCGACGGCGTCCGCTGCCTGCTTCCTGGCTCGGGTCGTGGCCGTGCCTTGACCCTGAGCGGCATTGCGCTGACGACTCGAGCAGACACGAGATTCGGGGGTTAATTCGCGAGCTGATTGTCTGCCCCAGGGACGGCAATTTGTCCGCTTCATGCGACGACGAGGTCGTCTCTCTTCTGGGTGGGAAGTTGGATGAAAAAGTAGGCCAGAACAGGAGCAATCGGCCGTGATGAGCATTCAATGAGGTCCGAGCACCCCCAGCACGAACGCCCCACCGCTGCGCAGGCCTCGATTGACCTAAAACCTGGTCTGCCCCGGCTTTGAACAGCGCTAACGTTTCCCCGCCGCTCACTTGACCTCTATCCAGCATGGGGCAGCGCGTCCTGGCCCCTTATCCCTGGTCGCCACACGTGCTGTGCTAGGGTATTTGGCCAAGTCGTTTCTCTAAACCGTTGTGGGAACCCTGGAAATGCTTGCTGTGTGTACTAGTGGAGAGGCGGGAGAAGGGCATTGCACTCGTGATGCCTTTTCTCTTTTATGCCGAGATGAGCACATCCGGCGATAAAGCCGGGCATCGTCACCTTTTCTTGCCTGGGCTTCCAAGCGGAATCCATCATTTCCCCTCTCCCGACAGCCACCTGCTGTTGTAGATCGCCGACAGGCAACCCATAGATAGCGACTGCCTCGGCCCAGGTAACCCAAGAATCCCACCTGCCTTTCGAGGACGGCAACAGGGGCCGAATGTGGACTCTTTCAAGTGCCGCGAATGTGCGAATGTGGTAGGGAATACAAATGCATGCCACCGAGTGGAGAGCATGGTCAAATCTGGTATAAACACATGTCGGCGGGCTCGACAGATTGACAAGATGCACGTCTCGTCGTCGTCCTTCCTCGGGTCGTCTGTCTCCTCCTCGTTGCGTGTAAGCTCATACCGGCCGCGACAATGAAGTTTCTCGGTGCCACAGCGGCTCTGCTGCTCTCCCTGGCTGCATCCGCCGCCGCCAGCCTGGTTGAGGAGAGGGAGACGGCGGTCGCCGCCAACTCCACCTTTCCCTCGGTGGACGGCCTCAGGTTCAAGATCGACGGCGTGACCAAGTACTATGCGGGAACCAACTCGTACTGGATCTCGTTCCTCGAGAACCCAGCCGATGTCGATTTGGTCCTCGACAACCTTGTCCGGTCCGGGCTGAAGGTGCTCAGGATCTGGGGCTTCAGCGACGTCAACACCAAGCCGACGAACGGGGCGCCCTACTTCCAGTATCTCTCCTCCTCCGGCTCCGAGATCAACACGGGCCCCAACGGCCTGCAGCGTCTCGACGCCGTGGTCGCCTCGGCCGAGAAGCGGGGGATCAAGCTGATCATCAACTTTGTCAACAATTGGGACGACTTTGGTGGCATCAAAGCTTACACCAGCGCCTTTGGCGGCGACCACAACGGATGGTTCACCAACTCCAAGGCCCAGGAGCAGTACCGCAACTACATCCAGGCCGTCGTCTCCCGATACGCCAAGAGCCCCGCCGTCTTCTCGTGGCAGCTGGCCAACGAGCCCCGGTGCAGGTTCTGCAGCACCGATGTCATCTACAAGTGGGCCGAGGAGACGTCCCGCTACGTCAAGTCCCTCGACCCGGACCACATGGTCTCCCTCGGCGACGAGGGCTTCGGCCTGCCGGGGGGCAACATCCTGACCCTGTACCCCTACTCGCACATCGAGGGCGTCGACTTTGCCCGCAACCTCGAGATCAAGACGCTGGACTTTGGAACGTTCCACTGGTACCCCGAATCATGTACGTGCTCACACGCATGGCTTGCGCTGTCCTACCCCACGCGAGTCTTGCGTCTTGCTTGCTGTCACGTACACCAGTTCCAAATTCTGACGCCTGGCTTATTTCAAACAGGGCTCCAGTTCAAGAGCGCCGGTGCCGACTGGGTCAAGAACCATGCTGCAGCCTGCAAGAAGGCCGGAAAGCCTTGCCTGTTTGAAGAGTGTACGCCTCGCCCAGCCCATCATTGCTCCAAAACTGCATTCCCCGTGCGCAGCACCAAAGGTGCGGAACGGCGACCAGGCAAACTAACATGGGGTATCTGTCGCTTCGATTCAGACGGCTCAAAGAACGAGCACTGCAAGAACGAGAAGCCATGGCAAGACGCTGCCATCAGCTCCGAGGGGAACGCCGTGGATCTCTTCTGGCAGTGGGGAGACACGATCAGCACCGGCAAAACCCACGACGACTCGTACACTATTTGTATGCTTGTGTCCCTATCCCTCACCTTGTTGGTTCGCCAGCTAACCGTGTGACTTGCCGGAAATGATAGACTACGGCTCGAGTGACGCGCAGTGCATTGTGACGGATCACGTTAATGCTATCAACGCCATGTCGTGACCGACATGACGACGGGACCCAGGGTATCTAGGGTGCTATCGCAATAATAACGGTTAGCAGTTTCAAAGAAGCTATCCGAGGTATTCGTCAGTCCAGACTAATGTTTGCAATCTTGTTGTCCGTTCAAACCCGGCAGGGTACACCTCATCATTGCCTCCTTTGCCTCATGTCCCTTGATGGTATCCAAGTCGTAGTAGTATAGGCAAAGCCAACCCTGTGGGCGAGCCGAGGTGACACATTAACGATCTAGTAAGCCCGGAACAACTTGTTTGTATGGCATACATCAAGGTACGATTCTTTATCTTCCGCATGCCATACAGCCATTCGCCATCCCGTGTGTTGTGTCGAGTATCTTATGGCTGTAACTCCAATTACACATATATCCACTGGTTTCGAGCTTAGGGAGGGTAAAATGCATAGTCCATACCCATCTGGGCCATTCAACGAGCATATTGATGATAAAGAACTGTAGTTGTAATTAAGACACGAAGGGAGGACTGGATGCGCTGCTCACGGCCACAGACCCGCTTGGCCGCCCCCCATATAGCCCCACCGCGTCACCATGGACGTCTAAACTTGCTCCGGTGGTGTAGTGGAATATCACATCGTTCTTATATTGGAGTTTTTCAGCTCCAGATATGCGAGGGTCCTGGGTTCGAACCCCAGTCGGAGCATTTGGTTTTTGCTCCTGTTCCCGTTCCCAGCCCCCCTCATTTCACACTCTCCGTCTTTTTTTTTTCGGCACTTTTTCTAGTGCTTTTCTATCCTATTTATCCATCAAAAATCGCAGACATGGACAGGCAACTAGATTAGATTACCGCCAAGCATGCTGATTTGCAGGTTCCATTTTGCTAAGTTTTACCTTTTAGGCATGCGTAAGTTGCCGCTGCGAAAATTAGGGCGCTGGCGTCACATGTCGCACATTTGTTTCCGCCCACATTGGTCCATAGCACTCCCGTAGCGCGCAGGGCGGACGGATTTCAAGTCCGTCGGTGACGATCCGCCTCCTGCTACTGTCGGCTTCGGCCGATGTGTTGGGCTGCATACTTTCGGTTGCCGATCTTGTAAGCCGAGGAGGCACCCCGGGCAGGTTTCTAATATTGTGAATTCCGCTGACAGGAATGAAGATGGTAGGATTTCACGGCCGTAGCAAAAACGTAGAATAGGAGGACAGAGAATTTTTGTCATGTTAGATTTGGAAAATGAAAGACGGGAATAACAAGGCCGCGAGAGCAGCCACGCAGCACATCACGGCTTCCCGTAATCGCCTCCCACGTCTGAAGTGCCCGCATGTCCTGCCGCAAACCTAAATTTTCGGACATGAAACCGGCCAACACATGCAGAATTCCGACGGGCGTCGACTGCGCTAGAGTCTCGGAGAAAATGCGTCGGCCACGCCTCGAAGTTGGGGAGACGATCTACTACCTAGTATACCGACGAGGGGGCGAGAGGCACCCAATCACTACCCCTCGATCGCTGCTTTATCGCCGAGGGACCAGCCGTCCTGCACCGGAGCAATAAGCTTGCGGTGCAGATGAGCACGACGGGCCGGAATGCAAGCACGTCGGAGTGAGACCGTTCCTGCGTCCATCTTGCGCGGCGAGGGCTGCGGAGGGTTACCAGCCTATTGTCGAGTCGGCCGCTGGTCCATCAGGCGGGCATGGCACCCGTCACGGCAACTCGACAGGCCAGGTCAAGGCTGGGGGACCTGTTATCATGGTCAAGATGGAGAAGCTACATCGATATGAGACTGTTGGTTGGTGCTACGTCGCAACGGCCATTCCACTCAAGAGGACGGCTGGAAATTCATGTCAGCAGCCATGGGGTTCTCTCTGGGCCCACTTGCAGCAATCGCGCTTCCGAGCAGGGTGAGATCAATCGATGGCGCCCAGACTGGGTGACAGCCGCGGCGGCAAGTCAGGGACAGTGCGGGTTCTGGCGTCTCGCGCGTCGCCGTGGGTGGTCGTCTTGAGGCGCCGCACTGTCGCACGCAGCCTCCGCCGACGCGAAAAGTTCGGGCGCCCGACGGGGCGGTGTTGGCCCACCTTCGGCACAGCCGCGACACGAGTCCGCGTGTGCGCATCGCTGATTGGGCCGACAGGTGGGCCGGATGGATAAAAATGGAAACGAGGCAGGGGCTTCGTTCTCCGACCCAGTCCCTTTCTTTTTTTGTTTTGTTCTCTCTCGGCAAGGCACCAACCGTGCAGATCTGAGCCACCCTACAAGCGCGAGATGCGAGTTCTGGCCCGACAACTGACAGTAGCCAGCGCCATGTGCTTGGGACCCGAGTGAGACCTTGCCTCTTTGTGCTCTTGTGCTGCCATGTTATCCCATCCTTGGGGTTTGCATGGGTGACGCTTGAATAGTGTACTCCGCGGCATGCGTGGTGGCCCTCCACTGGCTGGCAGGCAGGCCGCTAGCCCTGCTGCCAGCCCGCCTGTTTGCTGGCTGCCAGGGTCAGGGCCCCGACGCCGTAGGGCTCCTGGCACGTACCGAAGCCACTGCTGCTACCTTAAGAAACATGACGCCGCCCGGATCCCCGTCGCGTCTTCGCAAGCCGCTCGCCCACCAGCCTCCATTGAAATGTGGATGCTGGCCGACCTGATCTGAGCTCAGCCTGCCTGGTGTCGTTCTGTTTGCATGTCTTGTCTGCCCGTCCGTCTGGCCTCGTGAGTCCATCTTCTTCCGTTGTCCATCAGGCAGGTTCCTCTTCTCTTCGCCTTCGCGCTTGGTTCTCTGGCAGACATCAGACTTTAATCCTTCCCCGAGCCTCTGTTTCTTCCTTTTGCTTCAGCTTCCCTTCTGTCACGCGTGCGTGCGTGCGTTTGCGTGGGTTAGGTCTCATACTTACCAACCTGGTTTGGACTGCATGCAGTTAGTGGTGGCCTGATTCCCTGGTTCCCTGGTTTCCTGCCTCAATATTGGCTGTACCATCCCTCCCCCCCTCCTTCGTGCCGCGCCTCCTCGGTACCCCCCTACACGCTCACCCAGCCGCAAAACCCAATCTGGGCTGTCCTGCGTGGGGAGATCAGCGACCAAGCCGGCCGCATCAGCCTCCCTGGGAGTGACTTGAAGTGAGTTCTCAGCGCCGTGGCCCCTGCTAAGGTCGCTGCACAGCGCTTTGCTGTGCCTCCTCGCTTCATAGGCTGGCGCAATTTAACACCGCGCCCTCCTGCCGCCCTCCCTTCTAGGCCGCCCTCGTCACTTTCTTTTCTGCTCTTTCGAACCGCCCATCCTGCCTTCCCACGAGCAGCATACGCCTACCTCCGCAACGATAATCCCCGCCACAAAACAGTCGCGAACGAGCTGGCGCACTTCCCCGCCCGCGAGCGTGCGTTCGCATCTCATCACCACAACACGACATCGCCAGCATCATCATCGGCTGCTCCATGTCGTCTAGGCCACCGATGAGGGACGACATCTTCCAGCGCCTGCCTCGGGCAACGGCGCTTCTCATCCTTTCGGCACTGCTGGAATCCGCCCAAGCCTCAGCTCTTCCCAGGGCGACGGCAACTCTTCCTTATATGGTCCTCGACGTCGTCGCATGGCCGCCGCTTCCTACCGCCCCCGCCATAACGCCCAACGAGTTCCACGAGCTGTTGCGCCGCCAGGACACCAACACGGTCTGCGGCTACATCGGCGGCGACCCCAACCTGCCGGCAACCTGCTCGCCCGGCTCGCACTGCGTTCTTGACAGGCAGCACAATGCCATCGGCTGCTGCCCCAATGGCGAGGCGACCTGCTCCACCGGCGTCTTCACCGGCTGCGTCGACTTCAACAGTGGCCCCCAGACCATCGCCAACCCCTACGTCTACACGTGCCAGGGCAATGACGTATGCTACAAGAATGTTTTTGGCGGTGGCCAGTCCCAGTACGGGTGTGGTACCGCTAGCGCCCTCGGCACTACGGTGGAGGCGTCCGCGTCGGGTCTGACCGACGCCGTCTCCCTGACCAGCGTCCAGGTCAGCTTCACCGAGTCGCCCACCACGCTAGCCACGCCGACGACTATCAACCCGAGCACCGGGACTTTTACGCCATCGACTACATCGTCTAGTTCTGCATCCACATCCTCTGGGTCATCAGTCTCGAGCAGTAGTTCAACTAGCTCGACTAGCAGCTCGACAACATCGAGCACGTCGTCATCTTCCACTTCGTCCTCGACCTCCCGGACGACGAGCGCCTCCTCCTCCAGCACCGCAGGCGCTCCCGCCGAAACCACCGGTGGCGGCGCGGCGCCTTCGGCTGGCCAAGACGGCGATGGAAACTCCAAAGTCGACAAGACCGGCGCCATCGTGGGCGGCACCATCAGCGGCGTCGCCGTCCTGATCGCTCTCATCGCCGTTGCCATATTCTTCTGGCGGCGAAAGGCGGCCGCGAACGTGCGCAAGGGACCGGGCGCGGGCGGCAACACGCAGTACATCAGCCCCATGACCGGAGACCAGGGCTTCCAGCGCCTGCACGACAGCCAGGCCGCCTACGAGACGGGCATGCCTCCTGGGGCCGTGTCGGCGCTCCCGCCGGCAGCCGCCATGTACCAGCAGCCGGGGCAGCAGCCACCACAAGGGTGGCAGGAGGAAATGGCGCGACAGCAGGCGCAGAGGGAGGGACAGGGACAGCAGTGGCAGCAGTGGGAGCAACAGCAGGCGCAGAAATGGGGCATGGACGCAAACGCCCAGGTCGGCTACAACGAAAACTCGGGCACCGTGCGCTACGTCGAGGGCGACCCGGCCGCGGTTCAGGTCGGGCACGGGAATGTCGCCTACGTCGAGAGCGTGCCGACCCCCGGCGGCTTCGGGAACGCCACCGAGATCACCAGCCCCGGGCGCCCCGGCTCGGTCGCCCAGTCGCCGCCCGCCCAGGGCTACCACTACCCGGGCCAGTACCCAGCCGCCTACGCCGGCGCGCCCGTGGCCGCGGCCGCGGTGGTCGGCGGTGCGGCGGCGGCAGCCGCGGGCGGAAACCGGGGCGTCAGCCACGGCGCGACCAGCTCCGTCGGCGGCGCCAGCAGCTACTACAGCAACAGCCACATGGCCCCTCCCCATCCCATGTCTCCGCCCTCGGGCCCGGTGCCGCCACCGCCGCCGCCCAGCAGCGCGTACGGCGACGCGTCCGTGTCGTCGGTCAGCCGCGGCATGAGCATCCGGGGCGGGGGCGGCGGCAGCGGCATCCGGAGCAGCCACCCGACCCCCATAGCCAACCAGTTCTGCTCGGCGGCCTGGGCCTTGCAGATGCGCGGCTCCCTGCGCGAGTCGACCGACGACTACGCCAGGGGCGGCTACCCGGATGGGCTCGAGCGCATCGGCGAGGACGAGCCCCTGACCACCGGCATGCAGGGCAACCCAGTCGGCAACGACGGCGGCAATGACAATGGCACCGGCACCTACGCGGACAACGGCGCCGCGGGCTTCGAGTCGTCGGCCCAGCCCGAGGGCGGCGACCTGGTCTCCAAGGACTCCCTCATGTCCCGGGCCAGCGGCAGCAGCAACGCGTCCAGCAACGGCGGCAGGCCGCTCTGGCACCAGAACCGGCCGCACGGCCGCAACCAGATGTGGATGTGAGGTGCCCGTCTCACCTCCCTGAACGCAACGCTTGTTTTTCTTCATCGGTTTTTTTTTAGGTTTCTTGCATGTTACCGCATTCGTGCCCTCGATCACACCGGGCAGCGCATGTTAATTGGGACTCGGTATACACCAGTGCCATTTTTTCTTTGTAATACCTCCTCTCGTCGGGGTTTCTTGGTCAAATCGGCGCCATTTCTAGCGTCCCATTGCGCCGGAGTTACAGTTTTGTTTCGAATTGGGGCGTACAAAGGAAAGCAGAGTAAAAGATCAAGGCATATTCGATCGGCATTTTCAGCACCAGGGTTTGCATCATCGCAAGGCTATCTCATTTTCCTCCCTGTTGATATCAGTATTGGTATAATCTTCTGAGCCACCACCTATTCTTGTCAACTTGTCTGTGAAATCCGCGTCTAGTTTCTGGGCAAAAGTGTGGGTGTGTGCATGATATTAGGGCAACGACTAGACACCCTCAACATGTTCATGAGAGCAACGCTGTTGGTGGAGCGCCGCTGCTGTATTTCTTCGACGCAGGCATGTATGCTGTCTGGTGCGGCCTGGATAATAAATGGAAATCATCGCGTATCGCCAACATGTATGGGTTGGTTTCGTTGTTGTCCTTTGAACTTGTCATCTCTCTCACGTCTCGGCAGCCTTGATTTCAATGACTGAGAGAGGAGACCCAAAGACAACGATGAGTTTGATGTTTAGCCGCAGCACACAGTGGCCTCATTCGTAGCGCTTGTAAGTGACCGGTTTCTAGAAAGACAACCTAGTTAGTCTCACAACGGAGTTTGTGGTTTCAGTTGTGCGAAGGAAGCAAAGAAGCGGGAGTAAGGCAGAAAACAAGAAGATAGGTACACATACCCCGCAACCAAGGTTTCCCAGCCGAACACAAAGTATCCGAGGTAGGAGCCGATAAAGATGCATATGATGATGTAGCCGTTGTAGTACATGGCTAGTAGCATGACGAAGTAGGCGACGGCGAACTGCATCATGTGCAACAGCGCCCGGATGGCCTGCTGCGGCAGGGTGGGCCTGAAGGGCGCCGCGAGGATGGGGGAGCAGGTAGCAGCTGCGGCGGCTGAGGACGAAGTCACGACGCCGACGTCGTCGCCGGGGCCCTTGGTGCTGCTGCCGGCCGAGGCGTCCCCGCTGTCCGAGGCGGCGGCGGCGGGGTTGGCAGCCAGGTGCTGGCGGATCAGGAAGCGGTCGTACTCCTTGACGGACCGGCGGAGGAGCTCGAGAACCATGACGAGCAGGACGACGCCAATGCAGGAGCCGGCGAACATGCCGGCCGAGGTGACCCTCCACGAGCTCGCGATGAAGCAGCTGTCGATGGTGTACCAGTTCCAGAGCATCTTGGACGGTTGGGCGCGGCTAGGTTAGTGGGGGAGGTTTGCCCGGCAACTGCAAAAGGGACTTGTGCTTCGTCTGGGCATGACTTACGGATATCTTGCAGCCATCGCCCATGCCTCCCATGCCGCCGCCGCTGCTGCCCATGCTGGCCGCGCCGGTAGCCATGGACATGCCGGCTGAGGTGGTGGTTGTCATGGCTCCGTGGCCGTGATCCATTGTGGGCGTTGGTTTTTTCTTTCTCCTCTTTATTCACCTAGCTGAGGCGCTCACGGAACCTGTGGCCTATACTCTAACAACAAGCGGCGAAGTCCACGGTGTGTCGACCAAGTTTCGGGCGGGGGATATGAAAGGGCGGAGGGGATTTGATTTGGCAGTTGTGTGCGAACGTTGGTGAAGTATAAAACAAGGTGGCGGATAGTCCGATATATAGGCAAGAGGTAGATTAGGGCAGGCGATGGATCAGCCTAGAGAGGAAGGGGCCGATGGGAAGGATGATACGGCAACCACCCCTCCATCCCCCAGTCGTGCCTGCCAGATGCAGATTGAGGCTTGGGCTAGCTTTGCCGGGGAGCCACATGGCGGCGGCAGTCGTGGTGGTGAGGCGATGCCTAAGTTCTTGGCCGGGCTGGCCAACACGGGCTTCATGTCAGGCCGTGGCACATTTGCCTTGTGCGTTTCTTATTTGGCCCCGACGTAGGACGAAGTTCCCAGGTTGTGTGTGCTACGATCCCCAACAATACTCCGGGCACACCAGCCAGCTTCTGACAGGGGACAGCCCAGGCGTGTATTCCCTCGGGCTTTTGTTCGGATTGGGTTCACTCTCTGTCCGAATACCTGCAACCTGCCTTGGGTTGTCACGCCACGCCATCACCACCGAGGCCAATTTGAGCGAGTTTGCGCCAGTTGAGTCGCAGGGTCACGCTACCTTCCTAGTTGTGGCTTCCCTTTGGACTCCGAGTCCCAGCCGCCGGTGCCTCGTCGTATTTCCCGGTGCTTGTACGGCCACGACGGTCACCGGCCCCGGCAGTTTTCGTCCCTTCCCGCCCCAGTGCTCGAAAGTAAACACGTGCAGATCCCGGGAGACGGATAACGGTCTTGATTCAATGCAACGCAGCCGGCCCACTTTGCAAAAGTCATAGCGTCCAGCTCTGCGGTAACTATGATGTCAAGTCTTCATGTTGCTCTGTGCAAATTGAACTCCAAGCCCCTAGCGGATTGGTCTAGAGCTGTAGCTACAGCTAGAGCGGAAAGTAACGTACGAGCCCCGCATCGCGATGGAGAAGCTAAGGGGTACTTAAAGAGCTCTCCCCATCTTGTCGATGAGGATGCATCTCCCCCAAGCGCCAAACTTACCACCTTTCTTGCAATCCTACAAAACGAACATATCACGCACAAACCCACCCTTTCCTTGAAGATCCCCCAGTTCGAATTCTTCAAAATGTCTGGCAAGAAGGTTCTCGTCGTGCTGACCTCCCATGGCAAGATGGAGGCAGACGGAGTAGTGAAGCCCACGGGATGGTATCTGGTGTGTACCTATCTGCCGCAGACTTCCCCGCATACCCCTGCCCAGACACCCAAGATGACCAGCCAGCTAACGCGCAACCCCACAAACAGCCCGAGTTCTCCCACCCCTACGACGTCCTGGTCGAGGCCGGCCACGAGATCACCGTGGCCTCGCCCGCGGGCGGCAAGGCGCCCCTCGACCCGGCCTCCGTCGAGATGTTCAAGGAGGACGCCGCGGCCCAGGCCTTTTTCAAGAACCAGACCAAGCTGTGGGAGCAGACGGCCAAGCTGTCCGACGTGGCCCCCGGCGCGGCGCAAAAGTTCGACGCCCTCTTCTACCCGGGCGGCCACGGCCCCATGTTCGACCTGGTCGGCGACGCCACCTCGCAGGCGCTCATCGCCGACTTCTGGGCCGCCGGCAAGCCCGTGGCCGCCGTGTGCCACGGACCCATCGTCTTCGTCAACGTCAAGCTGCCCGACGGCACGCACCTGCTCAAGGGCAGGACCGCCACGGGCTTCACCAACGCCGAGGAGGAGATTGTGCAGCTCGTCAAGTTCATGCCCGAGCTGCTCGAGGACGACATGAAGAAGGCCGGCGCCATCTTTGTAAAGGCCGACGAGCCGTGGGGCGAGAAGATCGTCGTGGACGGGAACCTCATCACGGGCCAGAACCCAGCCAGCGCCAAGGCCGTTGGCGAGGCCATCGTCAAGGCGCTGGCGTGATGAGTTATGCTCTTTATTGCTATGGCTAGTAAAAACAAAACGAGAATGGATAAATAAGGCTCAAAAGTGTTTAGCGCCTACCCGGCCTGGTGCATTTGGTTCTCTGGTAGACCCAGCCCTACAGTATCTCCAAGGGGTATAGCAGCCAAGCCTCCCGAATCGACGTTGGTCTGACATGCTTTCTTAGGCCCTTTGAAAGTAATCCCACAAGCTAGGGACCTGATGAGGGCTCTTGACAGCTGCGACAGGAGTTAGGTCCACAGCCAACAGCAAAGAGGGTGGTGCGGCAGACATGAGCCGGGCGAATCGTCTCCCTTCCGTATCGCCCTGACCCAATGCTGGCGCTGAATCCTTCGAACTGTCCCCTGTGCCCAGTATCGTAGGGTCGAGGTTGTCATTGGGGAGACCAGCGAGTGGGCAAATGAACCCATGGACCAACAACAGCCACGAAACTGCAGCGAGCCCTTGTCGGACTTGCGCTTTGGCTGCTGACACATTCGAGCGGTGGCAGCGGAGCTAAAGGATTCCGGAATGGCTAGAGAAGTTGACGATGGCGATGGGAGTAAACAATTGCATAAAGAGAAGTGGGCGGCGCGGCCATCATGTGCAGAGAGGGCCTCTCGAGACACGCTCCTCTGCTGCCCCATCCACACTCTCTTCTCCCAGCGCATAATCTTCAGGCCAGCCCTTTCCAGTCCTTTCAAGATCTCAAACCCTTCCGAATTCTTTTTTTTCTCGCCATAACGACCCTCGCAACCGCCATGCGTACCAACAACGTCTTCGTGGCCTTCGCCGCCGTCGCCACCGGGGCCGCCGCCAGGCCCGGCAACCCTGGCCAAGCCATCGCCGGGCGCGACAGCATTGGCGGCTCCGTTGGACACCCAAACCAGCTCCCTGCCAAACGCCAGGCCAGGGAGGAGACGGGCATCATCGCGAGGGTTTCGTCTTGCGCGAAAGCCCTCGTGGCCATCGCCTCGGCCATTCCCAGGGACCTCGAACTGGAAAAGTCCATCGAGGAGTGGGCTGCGCAGCAGACGGTTAGTATCCCCAGCCGGCCCCCCCCTAAAACAAGTAACGCGCGTCATGTGTGAGGCCCGTCATGATGCAGCCAGCTGATGGCATATTTTGTGCCCATTTCACAGCCGGCTCCCAACGCCGACGTTTGCGATATCAAGGTACCAGCGCCGCTCACCTCGGAAATTGGCGAGTACATCAAAACCCTGGATGCTTGGGGATCTAGCAACGGGCCCGCCCACATCTCTTCCATGTCCGCAGCTGGCTGCCCCGTCGAGAAGTTCAAGGAGCTTGATGACAGGGTCAAGTCTGCATTTGCCGAGCTTGAAAACCTCTGCACCACGACAACGGGCGGCACAAATTCCAAGCCCACTCGGGCCACGTCCAATGCTGTTGCTGCGGCTACTACCAGCAGCACCAGCTCCAGCAAGGACGCTGCTCCGCGCGAAACCGGCTTCGTTGCCGGTATGGTAGCTGCCGTAGGTCTTCTGGGCGTTGTTGCGGCTTTATAAGCAGAGCTGTATTGTTTTCAGCACTTGTGACCATGACTCTGCGACGAAGGTGAGGGAGGGTATTGGCTGGCTAGATTCCATTGGTGACTTGATTTTCATGTGATAGGGCGCCTGTGCCTCCATTCTCTCTAGTTTTATACCAGTAATCCAGCCTCTGCAACTCGATGAAATTGGGGACAGAATATGCAGCTCTTTCTTCGTCCATGGCGCCTCTCTTGGACACAATCGGGTATATGAATAGACTGCCTCGGCAATGGTCGAAAAAGTTGAAGATATATCCAGGGATGAGAAGGCCGCGAAGATGGCATCTTCACGAACCCGGTTCCGTCTGTGGCACTGCCATCCTCATCTTCACCATTGCCAGCTCTGAGCTCTTGGCCCAGGAGCCGTCGGGCGTCTGGCGGTAGCACATGAGCTTCCCATCGTCCCCGACGCTGCCGAGAATCTGCCCGTCGTCGTCAAAGCCGACTCGCCACACAGGAGTGCGGTGCGTCTCTAGCCGCGACAGCTCTCGGACTACGTGTCTGGCCTCGCCGGGCTGGCCCGTCATGACACGGTCCGCGTTGGCACTCGAGATGGCCAGCTCCGAACCCAGCACGGACCTAGCCGGAGGAGGATTGGGCAAGCCGACCGGGTTCTGCGACTGCTGTTGCTGCTGTTGTTGCAGCGAGTTCCGCGAGCCCTTCGAGGCGCCGGACCTGGAACCCGAGGCGTCGTGGCTGCTCGTGCCACCTATGGTGCTACCGCCCTTGACAAGGTCCGACGATGACCAGGACCTGCCGTCGTCCGGGGAGAATGGCGTGTCCAGGCGCACGACGCGCACGAAGCCGTCTTGGCAGGCTGTGGCAACGATGTCGTATCCGCGGATGTTGCCGGCCGCCCAGGCAACATCGCGAACGAGACCTCCGTGGCCAGAGATCTCGGCGGCTAGATAAAACTCTCGCGCACACGGCCCGGCGGCGGATGAGGAGGCATCACGGGAGCGGTATATACGCACTGTGCGCATGGCAGCGACTACCAGGGCCAGTGAGTCGGTTTGGACGCCGGCGCGCAGGGCCGAGTAGCAAGGGTCCGGGTTTGGATCAAAGCGGACACGGAACGACGTCTCCTCGCCGCGGGCCGGGCGGGGATTACAGACGACCAGACGGTCGACAGGGTTGAAGTCGGCCAGATTCTCGGGCTGCTCATTCTCAAGCACTTCCAGTACACCATCAGCAGCCAGCAGAGCTAGGTGGGTGTGACGCGTCTCATCGTTGTGACGGAGTGAGAAGGAGCGGTAGGGCGCGCCGCCGCGTGACTTGTGCTCGTATGCGGCCTTGGCGTTCTCCTTGTTCCGCTGGCTGAAGCGCTTGCCCGGGGCGGCAGCCGGGTCCTCGGCCCAGAGCTTGAAGCGGCCCTCGATCCCAAGCGAGGCGATCAGGTTGGGAAATATGGTGGGGGGCAGCCACTGCAGCTCGAGAATATCGCCGCCGTGGGCAGTCCAGTTGTCGCACTGGCGCCAAGTGCCGTCCTGGTGGCGGTTAAAGACACGGATCTTGCCATCGACGGAGCCTGTCGCGCAACGATCGCCGTAGCTGTTGAAGGCAACGGCCTGCACGAGGTCCTGGTGACCGTGGTTCATAACGACGCGAACCCTCGCCTGGTCGCCCGCCACCGGGGGCTCGAGGACCGCAGGAGATGACATTATGGAATCGAATCCTCGTTCAGGGGCTCATTGGAACAGGGAGTGTTTGCCAGGCGCGGTTGCTAGTGCACCACACGATTCGAACTCGGGAGTGTGCAGACAGGTTCCGTAGGTACAAACCCGAACGACTAGTCCCTGCCTACCTAGATTCCTAGGTGGCTAGGTGTCTAGGTGAATCTCACCTAGCCGTTCCCCTCTAACTTGCGTAGATGCTTGGTGGTGCCTGTTGCCAGCAACTTGTGTTGGAGAAGGAAAGGAACAATGATATAATCGCGTACGTCGTCAACTGTGAGAGCGGAACCTGCCCCACGTGCCGCAGGTCTGGGCTGGTGCGCCCCACTTCCCCTGCCGAGACGGGGAAGCGCCGCCTAGGTACCAGGTTTATCGATAATAGCGAGATGTGTCCAGCTTTTGGTCTTTTTGGGCAGGTAGGCCTTCCATGACAGGGTTCCAATGGAATTGTTCCGTGCGGTTTCCATGCATCAAACGTCGCCGGCACAAACAAATGAGAACAAAAAGAAAAAGAATCCACATCCCGCTGCGACATGACATGATGCCTCGTGTCCACTAGTCTGACCAGCTCAAGGTGCACCGGCCCCTTGTCCACCCTCGCTCCTTGAGCCTCCCGCTCGCTTCTCCGGCAGTCGTTACCGCGTTCGGGTGCCCCGACCGTGCCTTCTTTCTTCACTGTAATTCCCTCCAGACTTAATTCAGTCCCCAACGGCAGACAGAGCCTCCTGCTCCAAGAGCACCTACCCCCACCCACCACACACCCGCAAGGATGCGATAGCACCTTTCCGACGCCCAACCATGTCAACTACGACCCATCTCTCCAAAAATGAGACGCTCGGCCTCCTGTCGCTGTTTGCGGCGTGCGTCGCCGTGCTCGCCAACACCTTCAAAGGGGACGGCGAGCCGCTGGTCGCCTCGCTCGCCCTGAGCGGCGTCGCCTTCGCCGCCAGCTACGCCATGATCCGCTGGCTGGGCCCGACTTTCATCAAGGCAGGCATAAAGGGCGTCGACCTAAGCAAGACGCACAAGAAGGAGATACCCGAGTGCATGGGCGCCATCTGCGCCGTCGTCTACCTGCTCGTCATCATCATCTTCATCCCCTTCCCCTTCTACAAGGACATCGTCGCCGCCACCAGCGGCGGCGGCAACCGCGACGTGGTGCTGCACGTCGAGCACGTCCAGGAGGGCCGCTTCCTGCACCGCTTCCCCCACAACAAGCTCGCCTCCTTCCTCTCGGCCGTCATCTCGCTGCAGTCCATCACCCTGCTCGGCATTGGCGACGATCTGTTCGACATCCGCTGGCGCCACAAGTTCTTCATCCCCGCCTTCGCCGCCATCCCCATCCTGGTTGTCTACTTTGTTGACTTTGGCGTCACCTCGGTCGTCATCCCCGTCCCACTGCAGCCATATCTTGGCGAGCTTTTCGATCTGGGCCCGCTCTATTACCTCTACATGACGGCCATCGCCATCTTCAGCCCAAACAGCATCAACATCTTGGCCGGCATCAATGGCATCGAGGTCTCGCAGTCCATCGTCATCGCCCTGCTCATCGCTCTCAACGACTGTCTCTACCTCTTCACCCCCTACCCGCACCCCGCCACCGACAGCCACCTCTTCTCCCTCTACTTCCTCCTCCCCTTCCTCGGCGTCAGCTTCGCCCTCTTATGCCACAACTGGTACCCGGCCCGCGCCTTTTGCGGCGACACATACTGCTACTTTGCCGGCATGGTCTTTGTCGTCGTCAGCGTCCTCGGACACTTCAGCAAGACCCTGCTCCTCCTACTGGCGCCCCAGATATTCAACTTCGTCTACTCGGCGCCCCAAATCTTCGGCCTCGTGCCCTGCCCGCGCCACCGGCTGCCGCGCTTCCACGCCCGCACAGGCCTCATGGACCCATCGGTCACGCCCTGGACCCCTGAGCGCCAGCCGCGCGCCCCCATCGCCGCGGCCCTGCGCCTGCTCGCCCGCTTGCGCCTGGTCCAGCTCACCACCGACGCCGACGGCCGCTTCGTCGAGACGTCCAACCTCACAATCCTCAACCTCTGGCTGGTCTGGCGCGGCCCCATGACGGAGCGCCGCCTCGCCACTGAGCTCACTATCCTACAGGCCGTCGCCGGCCTGGTTGGTCTATTCGTTCGTCACCGCCTTGCTCTCCTCGTCTTTAAGGAAGACAACTGGGGTGTGGGGGTCTGAGCCCGTGCTCTCTGGGACCGGGTCGACGCACGAACAACGGCATGACGATTGACGAACGGTGGGTTCATCGCCAGTTGTATGATATGATAGACAACTTTCCCGTTATGTTTTGTTTCGATTTCTCTTGGTTCATTCTCCATCATAATGGTCGGGGGGTTTTTTTTTGCCCAACCTAGCGATGCTTACCACACTCGGCTACCAGGTACCCGTGACAGTAGACACCCTCGGAGTTTCGTCGCGATTTGGCCATGCCTAATAGAACAGGGATAGAAAACACCTCGGGAATAAAAGAGCCGGGAGCAACAATGCGCCCAAACGGCTGACAGAATATATGCATACAGGCCCCTGTAGACCAATAGCAACACGTGGAAAACGAAGGATCATGGTTCTGCATGTAGACGCCCGTGTTTTCATGAGCAATGCCTTGCCCTCCTTGCACCTTGTATGGATTTCCCCTGGAGTGGTGGGATCAACACGAGCAATGTCATGTGCCACGTCGAAACAAAACGCCTCGCGGAAAAAAGACACGGCTTGAAGAGGTTCCCCAGTGGGGTAATACGCTGACAGCTGGCGAAAAAGACAAAGCCAAAGACCGCCCAGTACCGTTATTCCACCAGTGTCACACCAACGCCGAAACGAGCAAACTCCCAATCCGGGACCTCCGTCTTAGCCTCGTCATGTATGGGATACCCCCCACTTGAAAATAATCAGTAAAAAGTTGCGTATCGCATATAAATCCGAATAGTAGTAAGAAAGACATAGAGAAGAAGATCAAAAGTGCGCGGGCGTGACCGGCTTGAACAAGAAAAAAAAACACGCAATTCCCCACGATGCACATAGTTTAAACAGACGCCCCAGGGGTGCTAGTTGAAGGTATCAAGGACTCGCTCGCCTTGTCTGCAGAGGGTGAATCCGACGTGGAAGGCGTTTCTACACTTGTTGCCGACTTTGGATCGTCAGGATGCGAGGTGGCTGACTTGAGCGAGATGCCAAGTGAGGGGCGGCTGGCCGCTGCTTTTCTGCTCTTGGTGTAGTCGCTGAGGCTCAGCTTCTTCTTGATGGGGCTTGGGCCCGAGGCCATGCCACTGCTGGCACAAAGTGAGAAAGGACTCGAAACCGTGGTGCTCGAAAACGGCGAGTGGCCAATGGAGCCAGTGGCTGAAACAGGAGTGGTAGTAGTCGATATTGCTGGCGCATTTCCGTTGAGAACTGGGGGCGGCGGTGGCATCTCAACCTTCAGTTCGGGGACTTTGGCTCTGGTCCCGGCTGGAAGGTCGCTCGATGCAGCCTCTATAACCACAACTGGAGGGTTTGATAGTATTGATGGCGAGGCGGGTGCATCATCCATGGGCACGTCGGGTGAGTGTGCTTCCTGTGGCGCTGTTGCCACGGGAGTCTCGCTCAGGGTGGGGGATGGCGGCTGTGGCTTGGTGTCGGAAGCGGGCGATGCGACTGTCGCGGTGTCTGACGGACCACTCTGGGAGCTGAGCGAGCCCCGTTTTCTCCGTCTTTCCTCCTCTTCCTGACGCCGTATGTGACGATCCTCCAAGAGCCTCTTGGACAATGAGGTGTATCTTTTCTTTGGCCGCACCGCAAGAGCCGGGGAATCACTGTACCACTGCCCCGGTTCCGGGTCGGTTTGGACGCTTGCATCCGCATAGCTAGCCTTGGTAGTTGTAGACGCTTTTCGGTAAGTAGGAAGAGTAGAAGTGGTCCGTGAGGCAAATGGTTTGCCAGCTTGTGCCGCGGTCAGAGACGCAGTATTGACCGGGGACTGTGACTGGCTTCCACAGGTGCCGGCATCAACATATTGCGCCCCGTTTGTTTGTGCCGATGGTGTTTTTGCTTTGGTTTTGGACGGGGCGCTAGCTGGTGTTGCTCCATCTGACACGCGCTTCTTCTTGCGAGGCGGCTGGTGCTGCTCCATCCTCCGGAAAGAATCCTCAACCATCGCGACTTTCCTTTTGTCGCGGTCCGTGGGTTCAGTCAGGATCCCGAGGGTGTCAAATGAACCTTGGCGAGGGGCAGGCGTGGCCAAGGCCGGTGTGAGGTCTCGGCTCGGGGGCTTGCTGCGAGTGGAGCCGGAGACTGAAGCACCATCTCCTTCAGCCCCATCCTCCAAGCGCCCCTCGCTCGCTGCTCTGCTGTTCGTCGCATGCCCAGTACTGGTCGGGGAGACGGTGTGTGTTTTTGGCTTCCGCTGCTTCTTTTTGGCAGCGATTCGGGACTGTGACCTGGCGAGGTGATTTCGGTGAAAGCGAACAAAAGCGCAATTGCTACCGAGATCGCATGCGCAGCCCCCATACTCTGAGAGCATCAGGTGAACCCAGTTGTGAATGTTCAGATACTCAACGTCGTCTATCTCATACTTGTCGTGAGGACCAGCGTCCTCATCGCCGAGGCCGAGAAGGCGAAGCATGCGGGCCTTCTGCTGCTTGGGGAAGCGGAAGTCCCAGGGGATGGTGATTTGTTCGTTCGCCTTGATGTGCCGATCACTGACAAGCCAGAAGCGATACTCGGGGCCGCTCGAGAGGAATGTGTCAATCACCGCATTCGGCTTGCAGCTGCGCCTCACATAGCGGGCGCGAGAACCTTCGGATCTTGTGTCGATATAGAGCGGTAGCATTTCCAGGAAGAAAACGAAAGGGAGGGGCGAGGTGAATTCGTCCCAACGATTGCTCTTGTCTGCCGAGTAATCCTTCTGGAAACCGATCAGTCCGTTCAACTCCATAAGAGGGACGTTCTGTTCAACGGCGGCCGGGGTTGTGAGGTAGTTCCATTTGACGGTCGAGTCCAAGACCTGTAGCTCCTGGGTCTCCAACCGCACAGGGTGCTTCAGTGTATCGATGTCTTGCGGGAGAGACTGGAACACGTCGTCGTAGTGCGAGCCAGTCTCTTGGACAAGCTTTGAAGGCTCGCGCAGCCACAAGGACATGGTGTTCGAGACGTCCAGACTCGCAAACGAGTTCATTTGTACAATCTGGACCTTCTTGTCGTCGAACAGTGAGACGAACTCGGGAGTATAGGTATGGATCTCGAAGTCCTGCGGCAACTCTGGAGGAGTAGTGGCAGGGCTCGGGGGATGTCCGTTACTCACCCCGGCGCGGCTAGTCGCACATGGCGGGCTGCGCTTGGGGGCTTGCGAACTGACCGAATGACTCGACTTGTGCGATGTCTTTGATTTCTTGGTGGGGGGTGGAGGTGCGTCATAGGATGCGTTGTATTTGGCCGCATCGACCGTTGGGAGGTGACCGTTCGCTAATTGAAGATCTGTCGGCTTTGGCTTCTTCTTATGACTCTTTGAGGGGGGTCTCTTTGTCTTCTTGTCGGTGACCTGCTCACGGACCTCAACGGTGCCAGCGCGCAACCTTTGCCGCTCGAATGCCTGCTGTCTGTCCAATGGACGTGGCTTGCACTCGGCGCACGAGTGCGCAAAGTCGGGGCGGACAGCATCCTCCAGGTTATTTGGGTAGAAGCACTCGATGTGCTGCCATGTGTCGCACGTCTCGCAGAAGATCGTGTTTCCGTCATCGCCAGAGAAACTGCAGATACACTTGATGGTGTAAGGTTCCTCCTCCACCGTCTCGACCTTATGCAGCGAGGCATCTGGTGCTGAGAACAGGGTGCTGGAGAGAGGCGCGCTCTGGCTCGGAAGCACGATCGGGGTCGTTAGCGGCGGCAGCTTTTCTGTCATAATCTACAACAAAGCCTCGCGGATCCAGTACTGGACGGAGGCTCCGAATGCTAGTTGTGTTGTTTATCTGCTCGTTCGGGGTGTCATGACGACGCGCGAGCCGTGCCGTAAATGCTGGAACGATGAACTCTTGGGGAAAAGCGCTGCCCAAACGTATCTTGGTCATCCGATTGGAGTTGAGGTATTGTCGTCAAATGAGAGAGTGTCGAGCGGGTATGGAGGGTCTAGCCAGGCGAAGCGTCGCGACGGTCGCGACTGGCCCTCGACGAGGGCTGTGACAATCGCGAGGGCGCGCAGTCGACAATCGAAATCGTGCAGACGTCGAGAGTGAGCGATTCGGGCCAGATAGCGACTACTGTTATGAAGCGAGGTTGGTGGTCGTCTCGATGGGGTGCAGCGTGGCGACGAGCGGCCGGCTGAAGATGCCGGGGTCGAGGGGGTCGAGTTCGTCGAGGACACAATGGTCGGGGCCAACGTGGTGCGCGTCGACGACAAAGGCGGCCTGTGAGTCTTGCGGTGGAATGAACGGGTCGTGTGAGGCCAGACTTTGGCGTAAAGATCGAGGCCGGCGAGGGAAACGAGATTGGGCTAAAGACATTCAAGGAAAAAAAAGAGGCAGGTGTGATGGAGGATTGTCGGGGGCGGATGGAAAAGTAAAAAGCAGAGAGAAAGAGAGGGGGCAGCTACGCGAAAGGCCTGCTCGGTCCCCAGGAGCGGACGGCCCTTGGTCCAGTCCAGTCCAGCAGGGGAGGCAAGGCACCCCCAGTGGAGAGCAGTGTGTGAGAGCGCTGAGCCAAAAGGGCCGACCAATGAGGACCACGCTTGCGGGTGCACCGGGCACGGCACCTAGTGCCAGACTTCCCCAGCGTTTCTGGCTGCGTCGCCCACCCCAAAAACCCGTGCCGCCACGGCAATCGGATAAGACTCGTCCATTCTGGTCCTGTTCGTACAGTGTCGCTGCTGCACCTTCCCGCACTGGCTGGGAGATTGGAGGGAGCACAGGGACTGCCATGTACCCTGTACATCAAGTTGAAACTTTTCCTTGATCTATACGTGCCTTAGGCAACAGTGCCAGCACACCTGCGCCCGAGGTCAGCCTGGCAGAAAAAGAAAAAAAAAAGAGAAGGCGGACAAACCACACAAGTCGCTTTTGATCAGCGTGTGCACGCCGCACAAGAGAGCGACCACAGGAGAGGTCGTCCTTGGTAATCTGACATTACGTCGCTGCAGCCAGGAATGAAGGTTGCGATGTCGTCTTCTGGTACCGTCAAAATATAGATTTGTCTCGTGTGCTCTTCCTTGTCCTCGGCAGTTTGGCGACGTCCTTAGCATTCATACAAACAAGGAGACGGAAATGGGGAAGAATGAGAGCGCGCGAGGTCTGGACAGCGTGAGTTAGCAAGGGCAAAGGCGGGAAAGCCATGACCTAAAAAAGACCAAGGGGCGAAGAGTGAGGGGGGAAAAGAAACAAAAACAAAAATAAAACAAAACCCCCCTATGAAGGAGAAATGGGTCGAGGCTTTGGAGTTGGCATAGCACGCAGCACTTGAAAACATGGTTTCCACGGCAAGGTCTTAAAAGATGGAAAGGCGGGGGTGATGACGGCGGCGGTCGACAGGCTGCTCGGAATTTACTGCTGCTGCCGCCTCGTCTCGTTTTTTTCGCCTTCGCTGTGGCACTGATTGGTTCTGGGGGTGTTTTCAGGCTGCCGCTGCTGCAGGATCCTCCTATTCGTGTCCCGTCGGGCACCCTGAGGCAGGGTGGCACGTCAGACATCCAGGCCCAGCGCCTGATCTTCGCCCAGTGGGTGTGATTGACCCTCTGTGGGTTGGCGGTTGGCGGACAGAGTCTGGCGACAAGGGCCAAGCAAGTACGGCTTCAACCCCTAAAATTGGGGTTGATATCCGGAGTGACTCGCATGCGCCAGTGGAAGATGAGGCAAGTAGGCGAGGCAGGTACCGCACCTAGGTAGGCAAGTATGGATATGAAGGGATCTTGGGCAGCATGAAATGTGGGAAAAGACGGCAGGTACCGTCGGAAGCATGTCACCGGATCGTATCGGCTGGAGATGCACCCCCATCCGGGCTTTCCCAGGGCTTGCTGCTCACCGCCTAGAATTTACCTACAGGAACCTACAAGTGTGCGGCAAGTGGCTGCAATGGGTCTGAATAACATTGAAAAGTCGACATCTCACACATAACGACAAAACCGCATTGCCCCAACGTATTTCATATGCAACTGTTTCTTCGTTGGTTTATCTTATTGTGCTATCATGGTGCCCTGTTGCCTCGTTTGTGCGGTAATTTTATACAGAGCGCAGGGTCTTGCATCCCTATTCCGGGTAAAGGTTGAGTGGCTTCAAGTCGAGTCGTACGCAGCACTTGTTCAAAGTTTGTGAGTTTTCCTTCAGAACAAAGGACGCGACTCGAAACTGTGCTGTCGCTGAGACGAGACGTCAATAGTGTCTGGCCGGGGTGGCCCAACACCAGAGCGTGCACAATCAAGATCTGGACCATTGGCCCACCTCCCAACATGGGGGATCGCTTGTTATTGGACCCAGGCCATTGTGCAGGTGGAGTCGATGGAGAAGCCCACCGCTTTGTCCCAGGCGCTAGTGAGGGTTGTCCAATCATGTCAGTGTCCAGAATGGCATCGCTGCCTGGAGACCTCGATGGGCTCTGGCGGCCGGCTCTAGTCTGCAAGATGGGAGGCGTTACCCCTGACCGGAATGTTGCTCGGTAAGCACCCGCGAAGTGGCAGTAGATGTGATGGTTGCCGACGACTAGTGGCAACAAGCCCTCCAGCCACAGCTACTGTGGGAGTTGGGGCGGAGGGCGAGACCGCAGCTGGGGCCAAGCACAACTCGTCGTCAGTCGATGAAATTAGAACACCGAGAGACGTTCCAGTCGCAACAGCGCTTGGGCGCGCACGTTCCCCGAATAGAGAGACTGCGAGAGGAAGACGATTCTTGTTCCCCCCAGAAAATGAACAGCCTGAGGACATTTTAACCTCGTTGGGAGTGCCCGTTTTTGTTTGCTGCCAGGACGGATGGTGCATCAATTGAGCAGATAGAGGCTTGTGTCAGCAACGCCACCCCGCCTCGCCTCACTGCTAAATCTAAGAAGATAGGATGGCCAATGGCTGGAGCGCCTACCTATGCGGACCCACAATTACGCTGAACCCATGACGTCCCCTCGCGCATAGCCCCAGCACCGTGCTCCAACTCTGGCGCTTGAACCGGTACAGTACAAGAGGACATTGGTTGCTCATTCGCCGACCGACCACCAGCTGTAGTCCACCATCGAACTTCCGCGTCCATCTCCAACGGCACCACGAGCGCATCCTGTCGGAAACAAACAGAGAACTAGTGAATCACAGAAACGTCCGACCAGACAAACCACCGCCACGATGAAGTTCTCGACTGCCTTCATCGCCCTCCTATCGGTCGGCCTCTCGTCGGCCTCCAGCCTCCGCCTGGTCAGACGTGACGACCATGACATCCCCGGCGAGTCGCCGCTGAGGTTGTGCGATGGCGACCACGGTGACGACCTTCTCCAGATAACCAAGGTCGACTTGAACCCGAACCCACCCAAAGCGTATGTAATCCATCACGGCGAAGGTCCCTGACCGCTGCACCTTGGCTTCCCTCCTGGAGGATGGTCCGATCAATCACACATTATCCATAGCCTTGCCATATCGTCGCACGTTTGCTCATACTACCCCCCATTACACAGCGGACAGACTCTGGTCATCGAGGCGAACGGCGCCCTGTCCACCACGATTGAGGAGGGCGCCTACGTCAACCTCTCCGTCAAGTACGGCCTGATCCGTTTGATCAACACCAAGGCCGACCTCTGCGAGCAAATCAAGAACGTTAATCTCGAGTGCCCCATCGAGAAGGGAATACTTTCCATCGCCAAGTCTGTCGACCTGCCGAACGAGATCCCGCCGGTAAGTTTCTGCATCAACTACAATTCAGCCATCGCTGCCCTCGCTTTAATACTTGATGAGTTTCTGCGTCATACGCTAACAACTACTCGAACCTTACTAGGGAACCTACACTGTTTTCGCAGACGTTTACACCAAAGACGACAAGAAGATCACCTGCCTGACAGCCACGGTCAAATTCTCAAGGGAGAGCATCGCTACTCCTTGGGGCGATTTGTAAAGGCAGTTCTGTATCGATAGCGCTTGGCGCGAAGCATTCACTAGTCTTGGGGCGGTTGCGGAGGGCTCTCGCACCGGCTCCGCATAGCTTGTCGCATCTATGTCATGGAAACTTGAGGATACTGTTGTTTTGATTGTTTTCTTCTCTTTCTTCGTTGTTCCTGACAACGTCATTCTTTGCCCCGGTAGACCCATGCGACTTGCGCCCAGCCGCATACAGGCGTATGGTCATGTATATGGTTATGTTTAGCATACAGCATTTTCCAATTCGATCAATATACCCTTTGCGGAGATGTGCTAGGTTGCAATGTAATCACACGTCAGATTCGAGCCAAGTACTCCAGATGCTCAGCTGTCAAACATTGCATGTTCCAGCAGCTGTCACCCGACGCCTTTCCTTACTCGCCAAAGAGGCGGCGCACCCTCCTCAAGACGCTGTCCTTTTCCGGGTCGTAAGGATGGTCTTTGCTGGGGATTTCCAGCACGGCGGGGAAGGCGGCCGTGTACGTGTCGACTATGTGCCGTATCCTGTCCGCAATCTTCAGAAGCAGGGTCGTTAGTTATAGCGCTCCTTCTGCTACCGCAGGAGGCTTGTAGCATAAGAGGATCAGCTTACGTGCTGGTTTATCAGGACGATTCCGATGTCCTTGCGATCGGTCGTGAAGCGCTGGAACGCGGCTTCTATCGCCGAATTCTCGGTTTTGCTGTCCACTACCAGGAAGTTCTTCTGGGAATCGGGCGCGGGAGTTACATGCTAAAAGCGAGGCGCAGGCACCATGTCAGTAGGTGTGCGCGGAGCCGCCGGGCGATTTCGAAAATGACGAGGGAGGGAAGGAGACAAACGCCGATGCCGGCAAGAAGGAGGCCGGTAACAGAGTCCTATATTTATGTTAGTTTGATTTACTGTAATCATTGTCGTCTGAAACAATGGGTTCAGGAGAGTGCCGAGCATACCTCATCGCCGATGACAGCGAGAAACTCCCTGTTCTTCGAGTCGGCCTGGGTGGACATCTTGCCAGGCTCAAGACCGCGGTGGATTCGGAGTAAAGGCGGGGAGGGCTCGGGGAAGCGCGGGTTTGCGGACGGGCCAGTTTGCGACACGAAGAGCGGAATGGTGACGGTTGCGAGCAATGCTCCGTGGGATGGAGCCGAGGGGCCTGTCGCGATAGGGCCGCAGGCGCAGTTGTTGTTTTGAGGATGGCGTCGGCGGCTTGTCTGGCTGCCGGACGAATGAGGTCGGCCAGGAAGCTGTACCAAAGATGGAGAGCTCGAATGCCTGCGGCTGACCGCCGGCTGGCGATTGACGTCTTCCCTCCAATCTAGGCTTTGCAGGTGGGGAACCAGCGGGACGGCGCACCAGCCTGCCGAATCAGGCCTGAGCCAACCTCGCGACAGGCTTTTACCCCACTGTTCAAGCCAAAGCAACCAGTCCCTCCTTCAAGCCGTGCATGCAGTATTGACGGTGTGCATACTGTAGCCCCGGAATGTACTGGGTTCCGCATGCATCGTCTCCACAGTGCACGCATTCAGCAGGTGTGGGGATATGGATCTGGGCTTGGCGCCTGTACCCTGCCAAATTCTTTCCGTAGTTGGCGCTAGGCAACCCGACACCGAAAGCAAACAAAGTCTTCGCCAAGCGCGCACCTCGATACCGCCTCATCGCTCACCTTGTCCGACCGAGCTTTCCCGTGCCTTCCGTGTCGCCACGGTGCTGTCACTCCCACCACGGGACTCAGCCGCCCCGAGAAACGCGCCGGAAAGTCGCGATCCCCATCATAGGCGTCGCTAAGCCGGCGCCGATCCGATCGAGTTCGTGACGATGCCTCCACGACAGCGTCTTGTTCGCAAGCGGCCATTGCTCGAGCGCATCCGCGGGGCCCTGAACCCTTCCGACTTTCTGCTCTGGGCGTCCGAGGAGATCAAGACTCGGGATCTCGATGAGAAGCCTGTTGGCACTAGGGTCGCGCTGACCTTCAACTTCGTCTTCCTGCTCGCGCGCGCTAATTCCGGAGCGACCACGACTGGCGATGATGTCTTCTCCGAGGCGCGGTTTAGCTGGGTTACGCTTTTTGTAAGTTTCCCTTGGCTTGCCCAATAGTTTGACGGTGTACCTATGTCAAGGCATACAAAGTACTGACTTGGTTGTGTTGTCTGTCTCTCCAGGCCAAGCAGCTTGTCTGGTTGCTCGCTATTGCCTCCGTCGCCAATGCTGTCGCCCTCCTTTACCAAAAACGACACTACCGCCTGTTCGAGGCCAATGTCGAACAGGGCCCCAGTACACCCTCGGCACAGCGAGTGCGCGTTCAGTCCTCGCCCATGTCATCGTCTCCGCTGAGGCTTCTGGCCAACGTGCTCGGTTCCGACACGGCCGAATCTCGCGCACACCCAGACAGGACGCGGGACGTGTGGGAGATCGCCGTCTGGGACCCGGTCCCCGCTTGCTTGCAGGGTGTCGTCTATTTCAGCCCTGTGCACGTGCTCATGTACATCTTCGAGCTCCCTCTAGACACCCTAGACAGGCGACCAAGCGTCACCTTGTTCAAGTGTCTGGTCCTGCAGGTTTGTTTGTCCTGTATGCTGCGGACACTTCAGTCGACCAACGATCAGCGCCAGAAGGACTCTGCTATCATCCAGAAGGAGGTGTTCCGCGAGTACGACACCAAATTCGTTCACCCCCGGCTTCACCCTCTTGTCAGGGATGTGGGCACTCAGGCATCGATGGACGAAAACGGGCACGAGAATGACGTTATAGAGTTTGGCACACCGACTACGATCCTTCGCCGGGGCTTTCAGACGCACCCGAACCCAAACTACTTGAAGCACATCGACCCGGATAGTACCAGCCGGCCCGTTCAGACCACAAACCTCATGACTGCGCGGCTGTTTACCCCCGCCACGAGGAACCGCCAGTCAGATGCGTTCGCGGGTGGCCAGCAATCTACACAGCCAAGGCCGCGAAAAAGCATGCCGGCTGTGGCTCACAGTCCCATGGTTTCTGCGTCAACGTCGACGTCAACACATCATCAGCCGGGCTCGAACGCCCCCAGCCCTGCGCCCGCAGCGGGATCCAGCAACACCACCACCAATTTCGGTGGGAGCATGGGCGTGTACACCCACGCCAACTCGCCACTTAAAAAGGCGACAAGCCTGGGGGATATCAACGGTTCAGGCGGATTTGGCTCACCCCGCAACTCGCGCGAAATGGCCAGCCTCGAGCAACAGCAAGCCTTGGAACGCCAGCGTGTGGGCAGGGCGGTAAGCCCGCTGAAGCAACAGCTTTCGAGGCCCGAGGGCGCTACGGAGGACTCGATGATCAACTCAAATCCTTTTGCGTTAGGGATGTCGGGCTCGAACCCATTTTCCAATAACCGGCAGAACCGCCACACGATGGAAAGGTACCCATCTAGATGGTAGCGTTTCCCAAATGATTCTACCATAAGGCCGGAAGGGCGAGCCGAGCGGGCCACTGCGTTCTACTCTCCTTGTGTCAATTTACGCTCCCAATGGTCTCATCCCTGATGGACCATCTCTCCTTTGATCACGTCTACTGCATGTTAGGGCGTTGGGAGGTGATTTACATTTGTTGTTTTCCTCCTGCCGGTCACCAAAATGCCCAATATCAATATCTACCATAGGGCGCCGGGCATCGCCGTGAAAATGGAGACATAATTACCTCACATCACGATAGCAAGCCATCTGGCCCCGTTTAGAACTACCATCCCTCGCTCGTGTCATATTGCCGTGAGGCTAGAGTCCTTGTACATACCTACATACTAGGTAGGTATCTAGGTCATCACCTACAGAATCTGCACGGGCTGCACATTGCTCCATGGTACCTGCAATTCTGGACGGCCCGATGGACTCAGCGGTGATGCAGACTGCCACATGGAAAGATCACCCCAACTGTTCATGGGCGTCACGACTGGGCATGTACGCACACACCTATCTGCCCGCTGGGTTTATTACCACGCCAAGACTGTAAAATATTTCCTGCAAGGCTCCTTCCACACCCGCTGAAGCCCCCTGCCTGGTGATCCGTGGCTATGGGAACGTAGTAGTTGATGCTGTGACTGACGCAATCGCTTCAGTTGGGCTCCCAGATCCGTGTACCAGACGGCCATTCCGGTTAGCGCCAACAAATTGCCTTCACCACCACCTATCTTCACTCCCAGCCGCAGACATCGAAAAGCGATCCCCCTTGGCGGCGGAAGAGTATCACGTTCCTTGTTGCGAGATTTGATTGCCTGTCTCGGACAAACTTGTTCGACCGCAACAGTGCTGTGTTTGTCCATCCTTCCCTGCAGACCGAAAGTATGGGCTATGGGCGCACCATCCGTCTCGCATCACACTGAGGTCTTTGTCCGCAAGGGCTTACTCTCGGTTTGTCTTCTTTAGACACGATGTCCGGGCCCGATCACAAACGGGCGACTTCACTCTCTGGATTCGTTTCGAAGCTTCTCCCCAAGAATCGGCCGGAACGTGGTGGCACGCTCCGGAAGCACAATGAAACACCGCCAAAGCCCGTAGCTATTCAGTCCCTGGATGACCAGGCCGGTCAGAACCCTGACAAACTCACACTTTGCATCCCCCAGACCGTCACTCACAGCTCCAGAGGCACATCTCAGGAAGTCAGAGCTGATGACCTCGCGACTCGGTCGGACCCTTTCCCAGCCATGGCGCATCATAGACGGCCGGCTCTGCATGTGACGTGGAGGAACCCTCCCCCGCCGTCTCCCTCGAAGCCGTGTCCAAACAGATACAGAATGCCTGCGACAGGACTCGGGCCGATGCGCATGGGTGGCCCATACCCGATCGATCCGAACAGGCGGGCACAGGCAAGACACCGGCGGGAAGCCCGCAGGACGCTGAAGGCGAGCGGCGACTACCTAGGCCCTCAGGGGTTCAACCCCGATACGGGCCTCCTCGACGTCGAGACCACAACATCGAGTGGGAGTCAACCCAGAGCGAATCCCGCCCAGGCTTCTCGCGAGAGCCCAGTTCGAGAGCGTGGACGCGCAAAGGCTACGGTAGCCGGAGGCGCAGTGCATAGGACCCAGATAAGAACTCGCTGGAGAAGAGACGAACATCAGTGGTCGTCTGTGGCAGAACCGGCCCTCAGTCCTATTCCGTCCCTACATAGCGGCGCTTCATGTAAGAGGCAGACGCCCCACCCGGCACTCCATTCGTTCTTATTCTTTATCTGATATTGCCAGGAATTCGCTGACGGTGCACTCCTCCCAGCTCTGGATATGCCTGAACCGAAGCCGGGCGGAGCAGAGAAGCTTATAAGCCTGACACCCGCCGGCGACCGTTTCAACCAGTCGACGCATAACGGGCGATCATCCTCGGAGACAACGATCGTGCGCTCTCCCTCCAGACGTGACTCGCGCGCTGTTGGGCACTCGGCACAGGAACTGCATTCTCATGGAATTCTCATCGGCACGTCACCTCGTGATCACCAGGACGACGGCCGGGAATTGAGTGGCCCTTCCTCGAATCAGCCTGCGCGGACGCCAAAGCCTCAGTCTTCCCCTCGGGCCCTTTCCAGAGAGCAGGCCGCGGCGGCGTTGAGGCTAGGGCAGCCACATACGGGGGAGCCTTTTTTAGGGATTCGATCGCCTCCCCGAGCCGTCGGCTTAACAAGGCCGTTCGGAGGAGGCCCGTGGGAAGTGACCGCATCCCTCGCGACCCGCACAAACCAGCCGGCCAAGGTCCGTCCAGCGACCGTGACCTGCTCGGCCGGAGGCTTCAAAGTCCCAATCTCAGCTTCGATCAGACAGGAAGCGGGAGCGTGGCAGCAGTCCCGCGGCCCGATCTCGCCCACCGAATCCCTCGAAAGCCCGTCCCGGCCAGAGCCGCCGGAAGCCCGACAGCAGCCGGACGGGGCAGAGGGGGAAGAACCTACAGCGACCTCATCCCCGTCGAAGGCGGTCAAGCTACAGCAGCCCCCGCCAGGCCCCGCACGGCCAGCTCCCCGCCTCAGGCTCGCAAAATCGACCAAGGCCGTGATGACACTCGGGCAGCTGGAGACGTGGCCGATGCCGAAGCTGACGGGCAACAGCAAGGCGGACGGGCAGCCCCAGTTCATGAGCTTCCCGGGGATGCGGCCGACAGACGTCCCGGCCCGGGAGAGGGACGACAGGTGCGGCCATTCCCCGGAGAAGGCCTCGCAGGACACGACGGCAGGGATCAGCGGGTCTGCGTGCACAGACATCACCACCACTACTGGCAATGGCTCCGACCTAGAGCTCCTCTCGAGGACCTCAGAAGTCGCTATCGAGAAACAGCAGAGCAGGAACGAGACGCGGAGGAGCCAGGACGAGAGCACGGTGATGCTCCGGCAATCGACGACGGAGTCGGCGGACAGCACGGCAGAGATGGCGATATCCAGCCCGCCAGCTCCTGGCCTCAGAGACAGTTCGCCGGCGCCTTCCCCGCCGAGGCAGCCACGGAGCTCCTCGCCGAGCAGGCCCGACCGCCATGCCGAAGCACCCACGACCGCACCTACTACTACTACGTCGCAGCACCAGCTCCAGGCGACCAAGTGGCGCGCCCAGAGCCTGGTGCGCCCCAGGCCCTCGCCCGAGCGCCGGATGGCGGTGGTGGGCCCGCAGCGATCCATGTTCACCTCTACATTCACGCCGGAAACGCCGGCCCCACGCTGGGCCGCGTGGGGAGGAGCGCGGCAGCGGACGGCGACGGCGACGCCCGGGACCAAGAAGGCGGCGGCGGCGGCCCACGCGGGCCCGAGGACCCTGTGGACGCCGTCGGTGGAGGCGAGGAGGGCAGCCGCCCAGGCGGTGCTGGCGAGAAGCGGCGAAGCACAGAGGGCCAGCGATGCCGCCCAACCGCCGGCGTTGGTGGTGGCGACCACCCCGGCTCGGCAAAGGGATCGCCCCGACGGCGGAAGGGAGGACATGACCGAGGCGGCCAAAGGAAAGCAGAGCCCCACAGACACCCCAAAGGAGAGCCAGGCGGCGGCAGTAGCCAGTGAGGACGAGGCTAAGAGCGACGGCGGCGGCGGCGAGCAGCACGAGCTAGATCAGCAGCCACAAGGACAGGAGCCCCAGCAGGACGAACAGAAGCAGCAAGAGGAGCAGCACCGACAATGGGCCGTTCTGTTGGCGGCAGCGGGTGCCTTTGCGAGGGCCGTCAGGGCGCTGCTGGCGGACGTATTGTGTGCGTTCTGGGTGTTCATAGCCCCGGCCTTCGACGGCGGCTCGGCGATCCGCCAACGCTACAATGCGAGCCGCACGACGTGGCCCGACCTGGCCGTGTTCGCGTTCGCCTCCGCCTTCGTCATGGGGGCGGTGATGGCTGGGGTCTGGGCGGGGCGGGCCGTCTTGTTCGCGACGGAGGTTGCGCGGGTCGGCGTGATGGCCTTTGGCACCGCCCTCGGCATGTAACCTTCTTGGCAATGTCTGCGATGGGGGTGGGTGGCAATGCATCTCGTCGTTGCATCGACCCATGGGATGAGGTATTGATACTCATCTAATTGGGTTCCGGCTTTGGTTTTGCTCACCGCCTGGTGTCTCGGGGAGCCTCAAACAGAAGCTCATAAATGCGTTGGTTTCTTAAATCTTTCAATGACAGCGAGCAAAATATTTACTCGGCTCTTGTGGGGAGCCTGCGTATGTTCTACTAGCCTCGTTCTCTACACACGCCCTTCTCCCCTATTTTATCGCTTTCTCTTGCATCACTTTTTCTTCTTTGTTCCTCGTCCTAGAGTATCGATAGGCAGACTCCTATTGCTCAAGGGATTGAGGCATGGTCCCAGGGGCGACAGGGTTTCTTTAGAGACTGGGCTGTTTATTAGGTGGGTCCTCTCATCTGTGCTCCGGCATCGGGGGAGGGCGACGTCGGTCTTGGGCACGCAAAACCAAGACGAACATCGAAGGCCACCCATGTTGAGCAACCCAGCATGTAGCAGAGTTGGACTAAACAAGCACCCAGGAACGTAAATAAACAGCCGAGTCCAATTACCTACATGGGTACCGCTGGGTATCTCGAATCGGCATGGACCTGCCTATATCGACAGCATACCCAGCGGTAAGTATGCCATACTCCACTGGCTGCATAGGTACATGATAGGAGCGGCAGAAATATCGGTATTGGTCCTCACGTGAAGCATGCTGCCAGTTGCAGTGCGGGTCATCGGTGATTATTCTGGGAAGGCTTGGGGACGGCACCCTTAACCAAGGGACAACCGCGCGGGCGTACATACCGTACCAGGTCCCTAGGTACCCAGGTACCTGTACATGCACACATCCACCCTCGCGCTAGGACTTCCGAGACAGGTCCGGACCGGAGATTGTAGCAGGCTCCTAGGCAGATAGCATGAGCTAGCCAAGACACCCGGGGCTCCTCCGCTCAAGGATCGTACTGTAAATGTTACGAGGCCATGTGCCCAGAATACGGCGGATAAGCAGGGCTCCTCCTTGTGTGGGAACAAAGGCTACCGTGCCGGCCGGTCGTAGCATTCTCCCCCAGCTAACCCAACTTGCCTCCATGGTAACTTTATCGCTACCTGACAGTCGGTGGGTGGACCGGCCGGCCGACCGGGCTGTGGTCGGAGCTCCGCAGCAGCAGCATCAGCGGTGGGTGGAGGAGCGGCAAGACGCGGCACTAAGTGGGCGAAAGATGGATACTAGCGTGCGTTGCTGGGGCGAAAGGCTCCAGTTGTTGGTCACATATGACTGCAAAAAAGAAGCGGAAACAAGTCGAAAGGGAAAAAAGGAGAAGAGAAAAAGAGAAAAGGACAATCCACCATGGCAAGGATACGACAGGGCTGGCTCCCTGGCTCGCCGAAACTTGAAGACGCCGGTACATATTCTTTGCCTAGCCATTGAAAGATGGAGATGAGCTATGTTTTGTTGGTGGCCCGCAGCGCCTGGCCAATCCTGTGTCGTCATTTTCAAATCCAAAGCGGCTACCCCGCGTTCCGGCGACCGGACGAGGTGGCCAGGGCTCCGATGATCGGCGTAGCAGCGCGCGAGGGCGACAGGGAAGCTTGGGACAAAGCCCATGTCAGGAGCAGTTGAAAACGAAGTCTTTTTTCCGCCGCTGGTGCCTGTGTTGTTTTGGAAAACCTGGTCTGCTTTGTATCATTTCTTTGCATTCGAGGAAGGAAGGACCGGTCCTCTTGGGAGAGTCGCTGGAAACTGGAAATCGCATTGTGCCACCACCACGCTGAGCAGCCTCCTCGGGCATCGTCGTCGCCTCTTGCCACTGCCACCACCACCGCTAGCACCTAACCGCATCCTCTTATCTCCCGACAACTCTCGCTGCAATCAGAGTGGGTTGCGAGACATCGTGTTCAGCTGGAACGCATAATATCATCAGCCACCCGCCCCTTTCATTGTTCTTCCAAGTCAACTGCTCCAATCTCCCTTTCTCTACCATTGCTGGCGCACCAAGGACCACAACACCAGAAAAACAGCTGCAAATATGCCTGCTGCCGAGCGTACCCCGCAAACCCTTTACGATAAGGTGCTTGAGGCGCACATTGTCGACGAGGAGCTCGATGGCACCATCCTCCTCTACATCGGTTTGTGTGCCCCGAAACCGGGTCCCCCGCGCTTTGGCTGCAGGCAGTTGCTGACGTCTGTTTGTCGGGATCGGTAGATCGTCATTTGGTCCACGAAGTCACCTCGCCTGTATGTACTCCCGCTCTCGGTGATCCCCTTTTCATCTTGGACTGCTGCAGCTTCCCTCCTATGAGCCCATCTCCAACTAACACCCTCGCGTTTCACCTTGCAGCAAGCTTTCGAGGGCCTGAAGAATGCTGGCCGCAAGGTCCGGAGACCGGACTGCACCCTTGCGACTACGGATCACGTAAGTGCCCAGCTCCCCCAACGTTGGACCACACAGCTGTTCGCACAGCTGTGTCCACAAGCCAAGCTCCAGTTTCTAACACCCGATTGGCTGCCTTGAACAGAATGTCCCAACCACCTCCCGAAAGGCCCTCAAGGACATCGCCAGCTTTATCAAGGAGGACGACTCCAGAACCCAATGCGTGACCCTCGAGGAGAACGTGAGGGACTTTGGCGTAACATATTTTGGCCTGAGCGACAAGCGACAGGGCATCGTCCACGTCATTGGCCCGGAGCAGGGCTTTACACTCCCCGGCACCACCGTCGTCTGCGGCGACAGCCACACCTCGACCCATGGCGCCTTCGGTGCCCTCGCCTTCGGCATCGGCACCAGCGAGGTCGAGCATGTTCTTGCTACGCAGTGCCTCATCACCAAGAGGAGCAAGAACATGAGAATACAGGTCGACGGTGAGCTGGCGCCCGGCGTCAGTTCCAAGGACGTTGTCCTGCATGCCATTGGTATAATCGGCACCGCCGGTGGCACCGGTGCTGTCATTGAGTTCTGCGGCTCCGTCATCCGAGCCCTTAGCGTCGAGGCCCGCATGTCCATCTGCAACATGTCTATCGAGGCCGGCGCCAGGGCCGGTATGGTCGCCCCCGACGACATCACCTTCGAGTATCTCAAGGGCCGCCCCCTGGCTCCCAAATACGACTCGCCCGAGTGGCACCGTGCCGTCAGCTACTGGAGGAATCTGCAGTCCGACCCCGACGCCAAGTACGATATCGACGTCTTTATCGACGCAAAGGACATCATCCCAACCCTCACATGGGGAACGAGCCCCGAAGATGTTGTTCCCATCACCGGTGTCGTCCCCGACCCCGAGACCTTCGCCACTGAGTCCAAGAAGGCCGACGGGCGACGCATGCTGCAGTACATGGGGCTCACAGCCGGCACCCCAATGCAGAGCATCCCCGTCGACAAGGTCTTCATCGGATCATGCACCAACTCGCGAATCGAGGACCTGCGCGCTGCGGCTGCCGTGGTCAAGGGCAGGAAAAAGGCCGCAAATGTCAAGAGCGCCATGGTAGTGCCCGGTTCCGGTCTCGTCAAGGCCCAAGCCGAGGAGGAGGGCCTTGACAAGATCTTCATCGAGGCGGGCTTCGAGTGGCGCGAGGCTGGCTGCAGTATGTGCCTCGGCATGAACCCCGACATTCTGGCTCCTCAGGAGCGGTGCGCCAGCACGAGCAACCGCAACTTTGAGGGCCGCCAGGGTGCCGGGGGCAGGACTCACCTCATGTCGCCCGTCATGGCGGCGGCTGCCGGCATCGTCGGCAAGCTGACAGACGTGAGGGAGTTGGCCGAGTACAAGTCAAGCCCGCACATCGATGCGTTCCGGCAGAATACGGCACCTACCAAGCCGCACGTGGACGAGCGTGTCGAGGAGGATGCGGCTGAGAAGGAGGCCATCGCGGACCAGCCCGAGGACAACGCGCCACATACCAACACCTCGGCGGCCGCCCATGGATCCGCGGGCCTCCCCAAGTTCACCATCTTGAAGGGTATCGCGGCCCCCCTCGAGAAGGCAAACGTCGACACGGACGCCATCATCCCGAAGCAGTTCCTCAAGACCATCAAGCGCACTGGTCTGGGCAAGGCTCTGTTTCACGAGATGAGGTTTAATGAGGACGGTAGCGAAAAGCCCGAATTTGTGCTCAACAAGGAGCCGTACCGCAAAGCCAACATTCTGGTCTGCACGGGTGCCAACTTTGGTTGCGGCAGTTCTCGAGAGCACGCTCCCTGGGCGCTCAACGACTTTGGCATCAGGAGTGTCATCGCGCCATCGTTCGCCGATATCTTCTTCAACAACTCGTTCAAGAACGGAATGCTTCCCATCCCAATCAAAGACCAGGCCCATATCGAGGCCATCGCGGCCGAGGCGCGCGCCGGCAAGGAGATCGAGGTCGACCTGCCCAACCAACTCATCAAGGACGCGGCCGGCAACACCATCTGCAGCTTCGAGGTCGAGGAGTTCAGGAAGCACTGTCTGGTCAACGGGCTCGACGACATCGGCCTGACCATGCAGATTGAGGACAAGATTTCCGAGTTCGAGCGAAAGATGACCAAGGAGACTCCTTGGCTCGACGGCTCTGGCTACCTCAAGAGGAAGGGTCAGGGCGGCAAGCTTCAGGCCAAGGCAGTCCCTGTGCCGACCACCAACCGCGGCGAGGCCAAGAAGGAGCCTCTCGACTGGTGAGATTGTTGGCGACAGGGCAGCTTGGGATTGATATATGGCGTTTTGGGACTTGATCTATTCCTGTTTCTTTGAAAGTTATCGCCTGCCATTAAGTTTATTGGGTTGAAAATCTAAACCCTGCAGGGTCTGGGGCTACGTCCCATGCCTTCTAGGCATGAGCATTATGCGTTGGAAGTTTGACTGCCTCTCTCTTCAGTCGTTAGAATACGGCTGGTTCCATAAAAAGTTAGCATTGTCCAGAGGACCATTCATGATGAAAGCAACAACATTGTGCTTTGAGCCTAGCCGTCTGACACTCGAGTGAAGTTGACGTTACGATTTTGTCCCATAGGGAAATCTCCATAAGCACCGACCTCGTAGTGGACTGACACGCCCGCCGTAATTTTGCTCCTCATCAGTTATTGTCTGCTCTATTCCACCCTCGAGACTTTCAACTCAAATCTTTCAGTACCCCAACGTGGACCACGAATCCAGAGCTGGAACGCAGGCCCTGCGGCAGACTCTCGTCGGGTATTCTCCATGCATGGAAGGAGCGGCAGAAGCGCTTGACCCAGCTCTCGAATATCTCGGGGTCGCGGAGCTGCTGCGCCACCACGCAAACACATGGGGCGTTGGCGGCGGCGGCGGCGCCGCCGCCACCTTCCCCGGCGGGCGCCCTCCCTAGCGCGCAGGCGTCGACGCAGGTCTGGACGAGCGGCTCGATCAGGGACTCGTTGTAGATGCAGTCACAGGCTATGACGAGGTCGAAGCTCCCGGCCCGGGCGGGGCCGGCGAGCGAGCCCGTCACCTCGTCCGTCTCCCAGTCCAGGGGGGCGAAGCGCAGGGAGGACCCCGCCGTCTGCGCGCCGGACCCGCCTCCGCCGCCGCCGGCCCTTTTGCTCTTGGCGGAGGACCTACCACCGCCGCCCGAGACGAGGGCAGCCCGGTTCTCCTGGATGTTCTGCTCGACCAGGCGCGACACGTACGCCTGGTCCGTCAGGGTGTAGGACGACACGGCCGGGGCGAGGACGAGGCCCACTATGGCGGAGATGCCGCAGCCCAGCTCGAGCACGGCCGAGGACCGGGACAGGGCGCCGGACCTGGCGAGGATGTTGCCCGGCGAGGCGGCCCAATCGGCGAAAAGGGGAGTTACTTTCCAGACGACTGCAAAACAGGTTGCCCAAACAGAAAACCAGCGAGCGGGTCAAGGGCCGGGCAGACAAAGCCACAAAGCGAGAGATAGAAACCCCATGATTAGCAAAAATGGGCCACACTCGCACACACACACACGCACATCAAGCACAATTACGAGAAGGACGCGGTGTGCCACGGTCAGCTGAGGCGGCTGACCGGGTGGCGGTCACGAGGAAGATGGCGTTGACCAACCTGCTCCGGTTGTGCCGCCCGACCGCGTCGACGAGAGTATGCCCGGAGACTGGTGGACGGTCAGGTCCTTGCCGGCAACGGTCAGCTCCAGACTGGAGGCCGCAGAGTCGACGAAACCGAGGTTCTGCGACGGTATGTCTTGGGCGAACAGGAGGAATGTCTCTGGCAGTTGGCTGGTCAGACTCTTAGCAAGTCCAGAGGAACGACAATCTAGGTGTAAAAAGTACCAAGAAAAAATAGATATAAAAAAGATGGAAAAGTAAAAATAAAAATAAAAAAGGCAAAAGGAGGCAACTGGAACATCCTAACCCTCATCGGGATCCTCGATTTCAGGACCGAGCTCCTGGGTGAAGAAATCAACGGACGCCATGGTCTGGCAAGGTAACCACCACGGCGTGGCCGGAACTGGAAAGCCAAGGGAGCGGCGCCCCGCACAATCAGCATTTGGGCCTTCTTCGCTTGCAGGCGGCGGAGGCGGCGGCGGCGGCGGCGGCGGCGGCGGCGGTGGCAGACATCGGGATCAACGGGCGAATGGGAACAGACCGCGAAGGGGGGTTGGTTGCGCCACCCGACACCACTCCTTGGTCAACAGAAAAATTAAGGATAAGAGAGGATGTTACCGAGAGTGCAGACGCAAGAAGTGAGCTTTGGTAGGATTGGATGGGGACGGCTGGGCTCGGCGGAGTCGCAGAAACGGCTGAATGGTCGCCTCGAAACGACACAAGAGAGATGGTGCAGCCAACGGGCTATACCATCTGCAAGGGAAATACACCATAAAAACCCACCTCTCAACAGGGGGTTTAAGACAGGAGGAGGCCCACAATAACCGGGGTACGCCCCGGTATGTACTTTTTTCAATTTTCACGGCCAAATGGCCTGGTTAGTACATGCAGCCCTGTCCTAGCCTTATGGCCGCGTTAATTTTGGGGTTAATTTAACCTCCCACTTTTGCATTTCCCTTTAACTTTTTCGTTTTTGCTTTTTTTTTGCTCGTTGTTGCACCCAATTAACGAGCTTTTTTTGGCTTGTGCAAGCACAATGCCAACCCTTTGGGTTAACCCGTGGGCGCCGGCGCCTCCTTTCGATCCGGCCGATCCTTTATTTCTTTCGCGTGCTTTCGACGGCCTTGATTTCGACCTCCCTCCGGCCGGCCCGAAGCTTACCCAACGGGCCAAAAATACAATTCGCGATTAGCGCTTTATGATACGGTCCTTACGGTACTACGCCCACTTCAAATATCACGATATACAAGCCGCCCTCAACGTTACGAAAAACCAAATCCAACGGGCCCTCGAAAGGCTTGTTACGCCGAAAAAAGCCAGCAAAGTTGGCCGGCCCTTCCTTTTTCGCACCCTTTACCGGGAAAGGATCCGATCCCTTTTAGGAAACCCTTCCAATAAAGAAATCCGAAGCATGCCGTGGTGCGATTTGGTTTGGTACATCCAATAACAATGCCTTAAAATACCGAAATTTGGCTACGGGGCCTTTAAAACGTGCATGGGCGCTTTGGGCTTTACCCAAAAAAAAAAGAAACGAAAGATATACCTATCCGCCGGGCACAAGGCGGCCCGCCTCGCTTATGCCCACGAACAGCTTTACTTACGCCTTGCCCCGGAAGACTGGCTAATGGTTGTTTGGTTTAACGAAAAGTGGGTTACCAACGAGCCTCCAGGGCAGGGCCGTAAAAATCGGATTATTATACACCATACCGAAAATTTCGATAACTTTAACTGGAATCGAAAGAGCAAAGCTACCGCTTTTTATATATTTTGGGGTTGTTTTGCCGGATTTATTCAAAGCCCGGGTTATTTTTGGCCCAAAGGACAGGGAAGGGTTAACTTTTTTAAGTATAGGGATTAAATTTTACCCAAAGTTTACCAGTTTTTGGCACAAATAAGCTCGGATACCTTTATGCAGAACGGATTTTCTATGCATACAGCCCATATTGTACGGGACGCTTTTCAAGCTTCGGGGGTTACAGTGCTTAATTACCCTTCCAAAAGCCCTGACCTAAATCCTATAAAAAACGTTTGGGCTTGGATGGGGAACGATATAAAGACCCGGTATCCGGATATCCAGGCTTGGAATTAGCACCGGTTGGAAAACGAGGTTTGGGCGGCCTGGGGCCGGATTTAAGCCTCCTTTTTGGATACGTTGGCCAAATCAATGATTACGCGCTTGAGGATGGTTATTGCTAACGAAGGGGCCCTTACCAAATATTAGATATTTGGCGTTAAAGTTGTTAATTTACTTTATTTTGGCCGTAATCTTTTTGGGCCGGTAGTGATCGTTGTTGTAGCAGGAAAGAAAAAATGAATTGGCCAAAAAAAACGAGAAAAAAAATCTGCATCGACTGACACATGGCCTAACCGGGATCATGTACTGGTTCTATCTATTTTGCAGTGAAAAGACATGGCCGGGGGTAGCCCCTAATGACCCCTAATGACCCTTGTGTGGGTGGGTTTTTATGGTGTATTTCCCTTGCAGATGGTAGTTGCCAAGCACCTCCTTCAGGCTAGGGGGGGGATGCCAAGGGAGACGAGCTTGGCGTGCCGAGCTGGCCAAGAAGGCCCAGAGATGCAAGTGGTCGGGGCTGGGGAGGGGGTGAAGGGTGCGTTTAATTTGGCCTGGCGGCGGCGGCGCATCGCATCGGATTGAAACTGGCGCGGCAACGCTTGGATTTACGGTGGGGAGCACAGGTCTTGCCTGAAGTTACTTCTTCTTCAGGTGGTTTGGAAGCGGACGATAATGGATGAGAATTGAGATGGGCGGCATGCGTTTGATGGCCGGGTATTGGCTGGCCGCCTCAAATCCACTCATTGGCTCTGAGCAGGCGATGATCTATCTGAACCTTTGCTAGGTGCAGAGGGAGGTCGTTGAGCGTCCATTACTGACAGGACCTGGACGCGGGCTGGAGGTCCCCCCGCCTCCGTACCAAGCCCAGCACCGCACGAAACCCCTCCACGAAACCCCGGAATTCTTGGTATATTGAGCGAGCTAGGCCGATGTGGGAAATTCGAGCTTCGACGGCGCATCTTGGCTCTGTCTTGGGCGCGACCCCGTGGGCCACGATTCCGCCAGGGGCTGAGCACTGAGCTGCGTGATGCTTTGTTTGCTCGAGAATATTGAATCACACACATGCCAGCAGCAGCCTCGGCGGCGAGCCAGCAGGTCCCAGAGGTGGCGATTGCGCGCCCACTCCCATTGACCTCCAGGTTGCATGTCCGGACAGGCCGAGCGGCCGCGGCGGGCTCATGAAACCGTTTGGCTTGCCTTTCGCGTGGTTTCGTGCGTGCTGTCGGGCCATGCCGGTCCAAAATCACCAGGACAGACAGGACATGCCGCTCATGTGAAAGCCAAGCCAGGGAAGCCGAGGTGATAGCTGCATGCATTATACACCCATTTTTATAGCGGCAGCCTCGTTACTCGGCACTCTGACCATCTGAAACAGGGATTAGACTCAATCAAGAGAGTGCAGAAGCCATTGTGGCCCTGACATGGGAATTCTCAGCATAGACTGGAGACTGCTTGCCTTCATGAAAATATTAAAAAAAATTAAAAATTAGAAGTTAAATAAATAAATAGAAATTAAACAAAAAATAAATATTAAATTTTTTTTTTTTTTAAAAAAAAACGAGGATGCGGCTTTTCGGCCCCAAAAAGCCAAGCAGACGATTTTGACAAGGGAGCCAGGGTGTGGCAGACCACTCTGATGGCTGAGCAGGCCGTGAGATGCAGATTTGGCCTGGAGAGCCTGGGCACGTTGGGGAAAGGGCTGGGTTGCCGAAGGGCTGGCGGGTCTGTCGGTTGGTGCTGACGGGAGCCAGCTGCCTGCGCGCCCAGAGTTGAGAGTTGTCTCCCAACAAATCGGGGAGTCTGGTTCAAGACAGGCACAAGAGGAGGGAACAAACACTGGTGACGCAGGCACGCATCACCAGTGCGACCTACCGGACCTCTACGTGCTTAGGTTCCGAGGGGTACCTTCCTAGGCACAGCCACAGCCAGCGAACGAGCCCGCAGGCGATCCCATCAATTTGACTGTGGAGCCCTGCACGTCTCGCTGTGATCCGAGAGCTGTCTGGCTCCATTTTCGCGGCCACCTTGGACCCCGCCCGCTACCACGCTTCCCATTGGACCCCTTCTATGCTGTCACCAGCAACAGCAGATCAAAGGCCGTGCCTCGCCAAGCACCTGCATGTTCTTGGTCCTGGACACGCGCCAGAAAAGTGCCCTCCCCTTCCCCAAAACGATCCAAGCCTCCCCACTCCGACCAACGCCCAGCCACCCCAAGAAGCCGACCGTCGAGAGGCAGCAACGCAAAATAGCCTTCCAGCAGGCTCCAACCTGAGCCTCGGTCTTCCCTGAAAAGTACAGTTTTGTCCAGGCCTCCCCCGGCCCATTGATCCTCCCCTGCCCCGTCGTCCTCCTTGGCCGTTCCTGCGCCGTTTGCTTTCCTCCCCTTTTCTCCACCCCTCAACCGACCGCACGCTCCTCTCCCATCTGCTCCCACATACTATAACCCACGCGCAACCCATCCACATCCAGGCCGAAGAGGCGAGGACGACTTGCTGACCCTTGGCGAAAGCAAGCAAGCAAGCAGCAGCAGCAGCAGCAGCAGCTAGCCAACAGCAAATAGCAGGCAGCAGACAGCAGAAACCCACACAACCACATACGCCCCGTCGCCACCATGCCGGGCTCAAGCGAGAAGAACCTCATCCCGAGGATGCAGGCCAAAGGGCCCTTCTCGATCGAGGTCCCCGGTGCGCCAGATGTCCCCGGTGAGACGAAGCCGCGCCGCCACCCCCAGGCCGCCACGGAGCTTTTCTCGAAACCCGAGCCCAACATCGCCACCACCTACGAGCTCGTGCGCGTCGGCGTCGCCAAGTTCGGCAACGCAAAGTGCGTCGGCTCCCGCAAGCTCGTCCGCACCCACCAGGAGACCAAGAAGATCAAGAAGGTCGTCGACGGCAAGGAGACCGAGATCGACAAGCAATGGACCTACTTTGAGCTCTCGGGCTACGAGTACCTGTCGTACAATGAGTACGAGCGCCTGATGCTCGACCTCGGCTCCGGCCTGCGCAAGCTCGGCCTCACCGCCGGCGACCGCCTGCACATCTTCGCCGCCACCTCGCAGTTCTGGCTGGCCATGTCCCACGGCGCCAGCTCACAGTCCATGCCCATCGTCACGGCCTACGACACGCTCGGCGAGGAGGGGCTGAGGCACTCCATGGTCGCGACCAAGGCCAAGGCCATCTTCCTCGACCCCCACCTGCTGCCCACCCTCGGCAACGTGCTCAAGGACGCCACCGACATCCAGCATGTCATATGGAACACCCAGAACAAGGTCAAGCAGGAGCACATCGACAAGCTCAAGGAGACATACCCCAACGTCAACGTCATCAGTCTCGACGACCTCATCACGCTCGGCAAGGAAAACCCCGTCGACCCCGTCCCGCCCAAGCCCGAGGATCTCTGCTGCATCATGTACACCTCGGGCTCCACCGGAACCCCCAAGGGCGTGCCTCTGAAGCACAGCAACGTCGTCGGTGCCGTTGCCGGTGTTGGCGTTGTTGTCGGGCCCTTTGTCGGCCCTGGCGATGGTGTCCTGACCTATCTCCCCGCGGCCCACATTCTCGAGTTCGTCTTCGAGAACGCAGCGCTCCACTGGGGCGCCACGCTGGGCTACGGCAACCCCAAGACCCTCTCGGACGCGTCGGTCCGCAACTGCAACGGTGACATCAAGGAGTTCAAGCCCACGGTCCTTGTTGGCGTCCCCGCGGTCTGGGAGAACGTGAAGAAGGGTATTATCGGCAAGGTCAACGCCGGCAGCCCTGTGGTGCGCAACCTGTTCTGGGGCGCCATGTCGATGAAGACGGGTCTGATGAGCACGGGCCTGCCCGGCTCGGGCGTCCTGGACTCGGTCGTGTTCAAGAAGATCAAGGAGGCCACGGGCGGCAAGATGAGGCTCTGCCTGAACGGCGGCGGACCCGTCGCCAAGGAGACGCAGCGCTTCATCTCGATGGCCATCTGCCCCATGATCATCGGCTACGGCCTGACGGAGACGTGTGCCATGGGCACCCTCCAGAACCCCCTGGAGTGGTCCATCGACACTATGGGCGCCATGCCCGGCTCGGTCGAAATGAAGCTGGTCGACTTCCCCGACGCGGGCTACCATGTGACCAACAAGCCCAACCCCCAGGGCGAGGTTTGGCTGCGCGGCCCCACCGTCATGAGCGGCTACTACGAGAACGAGAAGGAGACGGCAGAGGCCCTGACCGAGGACGGCTGGTTCAAGACGGGCGACATTGGCGAGTTCTTCCCCAACGGCCACCTGAAGCTCATTGACCGCAAGAAGAACCTCATCAAGACGCTCAACGGAGAGTACATCGCGCTCGAGAAGCTCGAGTCCATCTACCGATCCGCCCCCGTGGTTGGCAACATCTGCTGCTACGCCGACGACTCCAAGGCGAAGCCCGTCGCCCTCATTGTGCCCATGGAGCCGGCGCTCAAGAAGATCGCGAGCTCGGTCGGCGTCGAGGGCGACCTTGAGGCGCTTGTGCACAACAAGAAGGTCATCAGCGCCGTGCTCAAGGAGCTGCAGAGCCAGGGTCGGCAGGGCGGCCTTTCGGGCATTGAGATCATTGACGGCGTCGTGCTGTCGGACGAGGAGTGGACCCCTCAGAATGTGAGTGATGGCAGATCCAAACTCGACGTCTCGTTTCAAGAAAGCAATATGGCTAACCTTTAAAATTCTTGGTCATACAGGGACTTGTCACTGCCGCACAGAAACTCAACCGCAGGGGCATCCTCCAGAAATACAAGAAGGAGGTTGCTGCCGCGTACGGCGACGCGTAGTTCTCGATCCGGAGTAGCGACCCTGTTGTCACGATATTATTGCTGAAGACAAGCCTTTTCTGACTGCTGGTGCTTTATTTCCTTCCCCATGTGTTCCTGTTTTGGTTTTGCTGCTGCTCTTGGTCTTTTTGTTTGTTTGTTCTTTGGTCGCAATATCGCAGGAGGAAGGCGTTCCAGAATACCAACACTATGATCCTAAGCCGTCGAGGCATGTTGTCTGCTCCCGAGCCTTTTGACTTGGTTTTGAATTCCAGATGAGCCACGAGAACTATAATGAGATTTTTTTTCTTCTTCGCCTTGCTTTGCGCGGCTCTTGATTTGGGGCCAAGTTTCAGCGTTCGAGTGGAATCTAGACAGCATGACTATATGGTGACTGCGACCATGAGTGGCGTCTCTCCAAGGCCAAGGCCCTTCCGTCTCCCAGTGCCCCCCCCCCCCCCCCCCCCCCTCGACTCAATGGGGTACTTTCGTAGGTATACATAGATTCACCTATAGACGGCATGGGTCAAAGCAGGTTATGCAAGTCAACATGACGGCGCCATCGCGCTCGTCTAGCCTTGATGTGCCCCTCTCGCGACGCCCTTGTAAGCGTCAAGATTGTGGGTGCGTGGGAAACAGTGGGAGGATATACAAACAGCCCGAAAAGGTTATAATAGCGCGAGAAAGACAAGCACAGCAGACAAGAATCAGCCCCTATCGGCTCGCTATCTTCCAAGAAGCTTTGAGGATCGACAGGGGGGAATGCGTCGGACTTCAAGGGTCGGCGCGGAAAAAGGTTCCAGGGGATCGCTAGGTTTTGAGGGCGTGGAAGGAGAGCAGTACAAGTGGAAATGGACGTCTTTGAGGATTAGGATTGGGTTTGTTTGGAGAGGATGGATGGGTGAAGGAGCCGGCTAGCCCGTTGTATCAGACTAGGCCGTCATAGAGAGACAAGGCGGACACGATTGTCTCGTCTCTCTTGCTGCCCTCCTTGAACTCCTCCATGTCCAAGCTGCCGTTCTCGTCCTTGTCCATCATGCGGAAGATCTTGCGCACCCTCTTCTCGGGTGTGTCCTCGTCCTCGGGGAGTTTGACCATGGATCCGACCTGTGTTGGGAGGCAGTGTAGAGTGTCAGCCAGATCAAGAGCCAGAAAGCAGGTGTCCACAGGGCGACCCGGCCGGCAGGCATTCTTCCATACGCACCATCTTGTAGATAGCCTCGACGATCTGTAACATTTCGTCGTAGCTGATCTTGCCGTCGCCATCAATGTCATAGAGCTGGAAGGCCCAATCCAGCTTATCCTCCATCTTCCCGCGGCTGGTGACGCTCAGGGCTACGATGAACTCCTTGAAGTCAATGGTGCCCGACTTATCGCTGTCGAATACATTGAATACATAGTCGGCAAATGATGATGGATCGCCAAACGGGAAGAACTGCCGGTAGATCTTCTGGAACTCCTCCTTGGTCAGCGTCCCCGAGGGGCAGTCCTTAAGGAAGCCTGTAATTTTGGGGTGAGCCGGCTGGAAGCGTTAGCCAGGTGTTTATCGAGCGTTGAGTGATCTCGTGTAGATGGTCGTCCCATCCCCCTCTTGACGTCATTGCTGAGACTGCCGCAGGCCTGCACTCCACCAATCCTTAGCTCGCGACTTCGCTCGCATCTGGTGGCGGCCGCAGACGTCTGGCGGAGGAGCGCGCCGGCGTGCGAGGGGGGTTGAGGGCGGGGGGTAGCCACTTGGGGTGGCAGGGGCAGCAACAGCAATGCAGAGCAGGTCACGGCGGGGCAGGGATGGCAAACGCACCCTTGTACCATTGTTGCAGCTCCTTCTTGTCGAAGTGTGTCGACTTCTGCAGTTCGGCCAGCTGCTCTTGCGACAACTTCGACTGTCTGCGGCGGGCAAGCGTTTGTCAGCCAATTGACCTTTCTCTTGCTCCGCCGCCGCCGCCGCCGTCGCAAACCCCCTTCCATGGCCTTGGGCGATGCTGTGCGATTACGCCATGGCCCTTTGACCGCTGCGTATCTCCTATAGCTTTCATTCCCAACCGGCAGGTTGTCGAGGCGCGCGCGCGTGGATAACACGGAAGGCAGGTCGGCGGCACGCGGCACAATGCGGAGTACAAGGCGGCGACTGCTGGGGCAAGGTCGGGCGACTTACGATTTACCCATCTCAAACAGCCGCAAGCAAACACGTGACACGAGAGGGAAAAATATAAGACGGGAGGCAAAGGAGGGCTCTGCCAAGCTGATCGAGACGGCGGCAGCGCGCAGGACAGGCAGCGGTCGTGTCGTCGGATCGAGGGGCGGGGCAAGCGACGTTTGTGGTCTAGTTCGAGGGTTTCGGGGGAGATCTGTTTGTTTGTATGGTTCGTTTCGTTGCTGTTGGGAGCAAGAAAGGAAGGGAGAAAAAGAAGGAAAATCCGGGTCGCTCGGCCGGGATGATTTGGATGGGAGCGCGAGCGGCGAACAGGGAGTGAGTGAGGATTGTTTATTTTTGTGTCTCGGAGGCGGCCCAGGAAAGGGAGAAATGAGGGGTTTGCGACGTGACAGGCGATGTGAGGCAGGGACCCCCGATGGCGAGCGGAACCGTGGGGAAGAGAGGTAGGTAGGGTGGCTTCCTTGTGGGCAGGGAACCCCGTCGTCGCAAACGCGTCGCTTTGGGTTTCAATCTTCGTTATCACGGCAGTCTGTAGTTGGAGACCGAGGAGAGCAAGGGCGAGGCAGGCGTCGTGTCAATTCTCCAATGCGGAAAAAGGGGGCAGACGGGCGAGGGACCGAAACGGTTGCAGCCAGCCAGCGGGTGGAGGCCAGGTGGAATGGTGGTGTGGGCTACTGTAGTGGGTTGCGGTACACCTGGGAGTGAGTGCTGGGAGCGCTGGGCTGCTGGGTCGATAGCCAACTGTTGGCTGGCAGGCTACAGGCCATGCACATCACCATCCATGGAGTTCTAGCCAATTGGGGATCCAATGGGGAGGATCCAAGATCCAATGGAGTGGCGTCAGGTCACACAGGCTGGTGCGAGCGCATGTTTCCAGACACCCAGATTGGCACAGCCGAGGTGGTGGCCTTTTATTCTTTTTAGTAGAGGTACATACATACCTTACCACCTGCACCTACCTAATATACAAGACCCCGTGCACGTGTGCCTGTGTGCGTGCGTGCGCGTGCATACGGCGCCGCCGCAATGATCGAGCACCGATTGCCTTAGATTCCGTCCACGTCTTCTGCGTCTCCAGCTTGATGACGCTGCCCAGAGGCGGGCTTTGTGGGTCAGAGACCTCTCCGCCATGACCAACCGAGTCAATTCCACCAAAGCTCACCTTTTGCCCCTCTTGGCTCGCCGCGGCAACGAGCGAAACAACTCTTTTGAACATCAGAGAAGAATGCAAAAGCCAACACCTGGCCAAGGGATTCCCTCCCAACCTTGCTGATCGCCTCTGGTGGCTATGTGCCATAGCACACAGCACATAGCACATAGCACAGCAAGTCTGCCCGGCCCTCCCAGTCGGCACTGCGCTCTGATTGGCCGGCCTGGCCTCGTGTGACGTGCCTGGAAATGCGTGGGAAAAGGGGCTGTGCAAGAGAGCGAGAAAAATTGCAATGCATGACCGCCGAAATGGAACCGGCCCTGGATCCTACGCAAACGAAAGGAAGACGACGGCACGAAGACGGCACGGCAGCCCTGACTGCCCGCTGCGGCGCACCACGATGGATACCAGAGGTAGGTAATGGTTGAGAAGTTTGGTAAGTGGGTACACCTACGTAATTCTTTGACCAAGATACTGTGATGGGGTCGCTCTCCTCTCGGAATCTTGATCAGAGCACATCAGGCAAAAACACCACACCTGGTTCTTTGAATATCCTGCCTGTGTATATTTCGTGCATCCCCAACCGGGTCGCCTGTGCTTAATATCGTTCGTCGTACTCGCAAGTCATCAAGTACGAGAGGAAACCCCAACAACGCCATAGCCGTGACATGTACATGATATTAAACAGAAAAGCCATGCTTTGTTGCAAATGCCCTCATAAGTGCTCAACCATGCCTCCGTCTATCCACCCATCCATCCATCCGTCCGTCCATACAGTCGGCATCAATCAAATAAGGCGTGATCCATGACGCCCCCAATCCAGGTCGACGCCAGGCAGTAAAAATCAGGCCTCCGAAGAGTAACCCTATTAATATCGGTGACCCCCTGCCCCCTTTTTTTCTTCTTTTCATCCCACGACCGCCTTCATGCTCAAACTTTCCAGGAACCCGCCCAGGTCTTCCTTCTTGACCTCGACGACGCAGTGCTCGAAGCTGTCGATCCTGACCCGCGCGTTGGTCTCGCTCACCACGTCCTGGAACGCGTTTCCGAACCTGTTTAAGCCGTGGCCCCTCTCCTTGGGCGCATCGTCGTCGTCGTCGTCGTCGCTGTCGTCGTCATCCGAGTCGGAGCCGCCGTCCGAGCCCTCCGACTCGGTCTCGACTTCTTCGTCTCCGCCGCCCCCTGCCGCCGCCGCCGCCGCCGCCCGCTTGGCCGCCTTCTTCTCCTCGCGCACCTTCTCCTTGGCCCTGCGGCTGTCCTCGCGGGCCTTGGCCTTTGCTGCCTTTGCATCGGCCTTCTTCTTCTTGTCCGCCAGCAGGTCCGCGCCGCCCAGGGAACCGGCGCCTCCGCCACCACCGGTGCCGACCACGACGTAGACGCCCCGCTTCTCGTCCAGAGACGCCGCCACCAGCGGTGTGCCCCTCCCGCCGTTGCTAAGTTTTCCCGTCGTGTCCTTCTCCTGTTCTGCGAGCGCCTCACCGATCCAAAGGGCCAGTTTTGTCAGCGCTCCAGGGTGGTTAAAGACGGCCGCGTCGGGGCTGTCTTTGACGATGCACATGCGAAAGGCGCGCAGGTGTGAGATCTGCTTCTTCTTCAGCAAAGTCGTGCCCGTGTTGAAGATTGCCCGGTGGAGAAACTGGGCAGTGGGCAGTCCTTGCTTGAGAGCTTCGATACTGTTCTCGAGAAATCTGGGTCAGCACAACATGTTTGGAATGGCCGTGCCATAGGGGGTGACGAGTAGGGAAAACGACATACTCCTCAAGCGCGTCGTACGCCTCCCAGAACCGCGGGATCCACTCCTCGCTCTGCATCTCCAGGTGGTTGTCCACGGGGTCCTGGTACAGCTGCGAGGGCCCCCCGTCCCCGGACCCGGACGAGGAGGACGCGGCGGCATGCTTGCCGACCTCGAGCAGGGCGCCGATGACGACGCCGACGTCCTGGGCGCTCAGGGTGGCGCGCCAGCCCCAGCTCCGCACGAAGCCCCAGCCGTCCTTTGCGCCGCCGCGGTCCCGGCCGTCCGTGTCGATGGTGGGCACCATGTCGTCGAGGTTGTACAGCGACGCGTACTTGAGCAGCTTGACCCGGAGCTCGCGCTTGAGCACCATGTCCATGTGCGTGTAGCTCTGCCGGCACTGGACGAGACTAACGCCCATCTTGGCGAACAGCTTGTGCAGCCGCTTCAGTCCCGTCTCGCTCCACATCTTGAGGCGCGAGAAGAGGTAGGGCGAGTGCAGCATGCTGTCGTAGAGGCTCCAGTGCCTGATGAGCAGGAACTTGGGCTCGGGCGAGAGGCGGATACTCGTGTCCTCGGGGCTGCGCGCCGTCGTCGGTATGATGCCCTGGCCCTCGGCCGAAACCTTGCCCGTGCTGCTGCCACCTATTTCGGGTGGGTTCAGGCGCCGCACCTCGTCGCGCAGGAGTTGCCGTATGCGCGCCCCACGCATCCCGAGCCACCCCGACGCCAGCCTGGCCTCCGAGCTCCGTGCTGGTACGGCCACGCCGGCCGACGATCGCCCGTAGAGCTCCATCGACGTCACCCCCACAATGGAGAGCCACAGCAGGTCGTTGTCCTCCCGTCCCAGCTCTGAGGCAAGCGAGTACATCATCGAAGACACGGGCTCTGAGTAAGACGTTCCCAAACGGTAATAATGGCGTAGGGTACCCTCTTTTTCCCGTCGCAGTCGCAGCAGCTGCCTCCTCATTTTGCGCGCGGACGGAGGTTTTGGGGGTTGTGCCCCTGACGGGATGTCGTTCAGATCGCTGGAGGAGAAGACGGCTGAGTCCTGGAGGGAGATCAAGCCCCGCCGCGCTGGGCGCGTGGGTGATTCGGGGATCGAGTTTGACTGGGCCAAGGAGCACGGTTAGAACTGCAAACACACCAAGAAACGTTACATGCGTGGAAGGTATATATAGGTCGACAGTCAAAAAAAAGATTGCCTTACCGAATTGCTCCTGCGTCTCTGCCTGGGCCTGTCATCGTCGCCACTGTCCTCGTCGTCCTGGTCTGGCCAAGATTTGCGCTTTTGCCCCGCGCGGACCGGCTCCTTGTCTCCGCCGCCGCCATCGTCATCGTCGTCATCCTCAGAGTCGCTGTTGTCCAGATCCTCGCCGTCATCGTCCACCTCGGGCATGTCGACCAGCGCCATGTATGCGTCCCGCTCCCGGCCGAGCCCGTCCTCGATGTCCCCGTCGTCGAACACGACTATGCCGCCCCTCGAGGGGCTGAACGAGTGCGATATGCGACCGCCCGAGACCCCAGGAGGGGCGCGGGCGCTGTACGGGACGCGGGCGCCGCCGGCCCCGGCCGCCAGCTCCGGCTCGGGCTCCAGGGGGAAGCCGCCAAAGACGTTGCCGAGGTTCCAGGGGCGGTGCGAGTCCATGACCCAGACCTCGACGCCGCCGTAGGGGGCGGCCTCGTCGCCATCGCCCTCGGGCTCGAGCCCCAGCATGGCACCCAGGTCGACGGTGCCGCCGACGCCGAGGCAGACGACAACGCCGCCCGAGCCGCCGCGCGACTCCATCATGGGGCCGACGAGCTCGCGGCCCACGCGCTCGAGGTCGGCGTAGCCGGCCACGGGCTGGATCTTGTGCGGTATGTAGTCATGCTTTAGCAGGCGTGTCAGGATGCGGCACGCGCAGAGGGCGTCGGGCTCGAGGGCGACGAGGAGCAGCACGGGTGGGGCGAGGGCGTGCCGCGTCTTCTGCAGGTGCAGGTAGAGCTTTGAGATGAGGGAGCGCGGGAGATGCATGTTTGCCGGATCGTGTTATACGTGCGTGTCGTGGTTTTCGTTGTCGTCGTCGTCGTCGTCGTCGTCGTCGTCGTCGTCTTCGGGGGTCGCGTGCTGGGGAGGCTCATGTCCTGTTGCTGTGCGGTAGTGGCGAGGCCTCGTCTCCCTGTCCCAGCCTTGCCGCCGAGGAGCAAGCAGGCGAGAGCTCCGAAGGCAGCACGGGCACAGGATGCTGGGCGAGCAAGGTGGTGTCACTTTGAGGCCAGTCTGGACGGGAGGTGACGCCGGATGGTCGTGATTATAGCCTGAGCTGAGGTGTGCGTGAGTGTCTGTATATGGCAAGAGAAAAAAAAAAGACATTCAACTATAAACAGAAACTCTCGAATCCCAAGATGGCAGTGTTGACAGGGCTGGCGACGGCGGTGGCAGGCGGAGACAGGGGGGACCCGCCTGCAATTATCTTGGGATGCTTGACGCTTAATTGATGTTGTGCCAGAGACGCGTTTTACGGAGCCACAAGACGCGACTGGCGTGCGTCTGATGTGCTGCGTCAAAGCGCGATGGCCCGTCAGGTGGGGTCCACTGGTGGGGTGCCCCAGGTGCCAACTGCAAATTGATGTGAACCTTTATTGACTCGGCGCGTCCCGCTGGGCAACAGCATTCTGTGTGCGTGTAAATCGAGTCATTCATCTACTCTTTGATTGGACATGATGTTTTTACTGCCACCATATACCCCTATTCCCATCCCTCCTCCAAAGTTGCCTCGTAGCATTATTGTTCTTTTCCCCTAAGCCTCCTCCTCCCCGCCGCCCTCACGGTTTCCGGCCGTACGTGACATACAGCGGAAAGTACGCGTGCTTGCGGGAGTCGGCTATGTCGGCGCGGACGCGGGCGCTGAAGTCGACGACCTCCTCGCGGGTCCAGCCCAGGTGGCGCGTGAGGAGCGCCATGGACATGGCCTCGCAGCCCTCGACAAAGTTCTCCTCGTTCCAGCGCCCGATCTGCTTGAGCCGCTGGTCGCGCGGCCACCGGTTCATGGGCCACGTGTAGGGCAGCTGCACAACGTCAACGAAGCCGGCCTGCCTCATCATGTCGGCCGCCTGCCCGCACGTGTCGAGCGCGAACCCGGACCGCCGCCCGGCCTCCATGAGCAGGTCGCTCCATCGCCTCAGCGCGCAGTCCGCGGGCAGGCTGCCGTCGTCGCACCGGACCGGGAAGTCGATGTCTTGCAGCTCTAGGTAGCCGCCGGGGTTGAGGAAGCTGTGTGTCGAGACTGGTGTTATTTTGCCTCTGCTCTCACTCTGTCTCTGTTTGAGAGCGGATAATGACCTACTCGTATGCCTGCCCCATGAACCGAGGCCAGTCCCGAAACGCTCCCGTCATCATGGAAGCGTGGACATAGTCGAACTTGAAGCTGAACGTCCATGGCTCCTCGAGGTCATCGATCTCGAAGATGACGTTGGGCGGCATGCTACGGCCGGTTTGCGTCAACGAGGAATCATGTTAGCTGCGAGGATGCCACCCGTAACCAAACCAGAACCGAGCCCGGGTGGCACTGGGTACGCCTACAATGGAGGTTGAATGGGTGATAGGTCGATGCCAATCACCTAGTGTGTCCTCCGTTTTAGTAAGCACCCCGTCGCCGCAGCCAAGTATCAGTAGAAGCGATGGCGACGGTGAGGGCTGTTGCGGCCTGTTGCTCTCCCTACCTTGGCGTGTGGATGTTTCTCCGCTTCGTGTTGTCGTCAAGACGGGACGGGGTAAGCAACACAGCCCACGCTTTTGACCGCACACGGGGGCAAGGACTCTCACCGAAATCTATTGCCCAGAATCCTATAAGTGTCTCGCAACAGTGTTTGGTCAGAACGCTCTGTTCGGCAAGTGTGGATGTGTCTGCATTGAAGGGAGCACTCACCGGGCCCGCATCCGGCATCGAGCACCCTGTGGGCGTCCTCGACGGGCGCGAAGTTGAGCTTGTTGTCGAATGTCTGTAGGCAGAGGTGGTACTGGAACTCTGTCAAAGACGCCCCGTCACGTTAGATTTTCTTCATTCAGGGGGTCGGCTCGGTGAGGCGCCCCATGTGATCGAGGCCATTCTAACGACCTAGACGGACCTTGTCTCTCTAGTTCTGGCTATGAGACCCGCGACGTTCGTTTCGTATCAGTCATCTTGGGCGCCAGGCAGAATCAAGGGATGAGCCTGCTGCGGTTCCAGCCGTGAGAGCAACAATGGAGCGCAAGAGTTCAAGCGATGACCAAGGAGGGGGCCTGTGTATCTACGATGCCTACAGGCCTATCGAACAGGCAGGACGTACCTCATCCATTGGAAGGATGTACTTCCCATCCTTGTATCCATGGTATTTCCGGCCGTTTTCCTCAAGTTCTCTGAGGACGCTCGAGCTCAACGAGATGGTTGACGACAACACGGATATTTCCTAGAAAGCACGCGGAGGCTTGGGAGATGTCCGTCATGGGTTAGCAACGAATCCCGGTTCCCTCTCGTTCAGAGTGTAGATCTGCAGGTAGATCTCCCTCGCCAACACATCATGGGCATGGCTCGGGCGCGCCCGGTGTAGACAGGGATAGAGACATGTCATTAGAACGACGGCGACTTGCATCTCCTAGTGCAGAGTCCGTATCTGCAAAGTCGAATTCCTCCTGCACATTAGAAATGTATTGGTCAGCACCCAGCGTATCGATGGGGAGGAGACTATATGGAATGAAATTGCATGGAAGCCAAGGCGTGCAAAACCATCCATGGTGGGAGGGACCGACGGCGGAGAATGGAGCCGTCCTGAGGACCCGGATCCCGCGTGTGGTTGTTTTTAGGGTCGACAGGGAAGGCTGGGCTTACATCAACGTCGATCCCGACTGGTGCGGGATTTGGCTGTGCGATCCAATGATCATCCATGGCTCTGGAATCCCTGCCAGGCTCACAGTAAGCTGTGGCTAAAGGCTTTCGGTAGAAGGTTCCTGCGTGTGCGCGGCGTGTTTGCTGGCCTGCTCGGATGGTCTCCTGAGTGGCTGACTCTGGGCGAGATTGTTGCAAGGGGGCTGCAGGAGGCTGGCAGAGGATCTTCGGGATGTCGACTAGATAAAGAGACACTCCCCGACCGGGCTGTTGAACAACACGGGGGAAGTTTCCAAGTGGGGGCGATGGTGCCGTCCGCCCTGTCATCCATCCATGCTTGGTCGCGCGGGTGAGAAGAAGGGCCGCCGGGAAGGGGAAGCAAGGGCGAAGGGCGGGCAAACAGAAAAAAGAGGCCACACAGGTTCCACCAGCAGGCCGCGGACGGAGGGTACATGAGCATCTGCCGTCCAAAATCATCTGGCCGGCACCCAATGGGTGTTGCGGGGAGGGCGGTAGGGGGAGATGACGAAGGAGAGCGAGGGAACACATGGCGGTTGCGGTCGTCGGTTGGACACGTCTTGTGCTCCTCCATTAACCGACGTTTGCTTCCCTGCCCTCTCGCGCTCTGGTCGCTGCCTGGGGCAGAAATCAAAGGGGGCCGACGGCAGGCCACAGTCACCGTGGCCTGGCTAGGCCCATGCTTGTGTAGCGTCCACCCGGCCGGGCTCCCCCGTTTCCTTCTGTTGACTCTGGGAGGGGCCGCGCAAGGCAAGCGGTGATGAAATCCATCCCTTGCCTGTGCCCCGTCGGGAGATGCGCTGTCATGCCGTCTCCTCACCCGTCAAATCGAGATAGACGTCGGCAAAGGGCTGCCACCGACGGAGCAGGAAGAAGCTGATCCAATGACGAGAGAAAGTAGAGGAGACGCAAAATGTCAACAAAAAAGTGCTAGTTCGGCCGCCCCCTCACCCCACGCTCCCTCTTGGCAATTCCGTGGGAAGCAGGTCGGAATTCTGTGACGAGTCTGACAGGATGCTTCTTCTGGGGTGACACGAGCGGACCGGGATCAGCAGCCAGGGCGCTCGCCTAAATGACGGGAGGAAAATGGAAGATGACAGACCTACCGACTGCTGTTTGCTCAAGGGGCTTCTGGTGGCATCCACGCATCCCAGTGAAATCCTCGTCCCGGCCGAACGGGTAGGTGCATGAGTTGCCTATGACGGGGGGGCCCAGTGAGACAGCGACGACAGAAGAAGGTCTTTCCCGCGAAGGGTAGAGGCGTATCGAAGGGCATGCATATTCCCACCCTCCCAATACCAAGAGGTACCTATGCAAGCAGTTCACATGCCATGTCCTCATTCAAAGCCCCTTCGGATCCGGAGCTGCCTGTACGTGGCTGGTAACACAGGCTCCAAGTTGCCGCAATCGCCTAGCGCCTCTCGAACTTTTCTTCTGCCCTACCACTGAGACAAGCCGGAGTGCCCTTTGGGCGCGTGAGCTCCTGGTCTCCCTCATGAGACGGCCGACAAACTAGGGAATACCCAAACTCGCTAGGTAACTCCCTGGCGCTAGATCTACTGTCGTGCGAGCTTGGGCGGTCCTGGCCAGTGGGAGGTAACGCGTAAAAGCCGTCGTATGCATGCTTCTCGCCCGGCGAGCGTACGAGCAAAGAAACGGGGCGGTCCCAGATATAGTCGATAGCAATGAAGAGGGTGCCAGCCATGGCCAGATTCTGCACCTTCTAGCTGCCATGACAGGCTCTTCGGTGCCCGATACCACCACACCTCGTGTGCGGCCCACTGCCCAGCCATGCGGACCATCTAAAGAAAAGCAAACGAGCAGGCATGGGTACTGTGCATGTCTCCAAGGAGCTTTCCCGTCGCATCCAAGGCCAACGCCCGCAAGGCCCGAAGGAAGGGCTCGGCAGATGTGGGCGCATGAGGTGTCGTCTCGCCTAGAATGCGCCCAGGCGCACAGGACAGGAGCAGGAGAGCTGGCAGGCAGTAGAGTGATTGCCAGACGGAGTGGCGCTGTGCAGAGCGGCCTGACCCAGTCCCAAGAGAGTGGCACATGGGTGCAGAGTGCTTAACCAAGCCGTCGGGTGGGTTCCACATCTTCTGGGTGTCTTGGCGGGACACGAGAAGGGCACTCATGCGTTGTGTATTTGCCCCTTGTTATGCAGGCACCCTGACAGGTCCAGGGCAGCATGCCTGGTTGGCGAGGGCCCGACGGGAGAGACAGGGAAAAGGAGTAGGGGAGAGAGCAGTCACGAGTTTTCTGCTCAAGCCAAGGAGGGGTTCCGAACCTTAGCCAGAAGGTGCTGGTCCTGGAGCGGACCATAGCCTACCTCATGCAAGCGACTGTGGGACAGGGCGCTCGGCGGGGGCAGCCTTTACGCCTGGTGAATACTGCCACCGTTTCCAAGGAGAGCTCCAGGAGAGGTCGGGCGTGTTAGGTGTCCAAGCCGCTAGAAAACACCAGGCCTGCATTGAAGAGGTGTCCAGGTTGGCCCGATCGGCTCGGCCTAGCCATGTTTGGAGTCCAGGTGGTGGTGGTGGCCGCCAGGGAGGTAAGAAAACCCGGGAGAGCGTTGAGACGGGATGGATGATACCGCGCCATGCTTGACACCCATCCGAAGGGACAGCCCACTCGGGCTGATGAGCTGGGTCAGATAGGCTCAGCTGGCAGTCTGTTCGGCACTTTAAAAGAAGAGTGGACTCGTTCAAACCTTCCTCCCTCGAACGGATCCAAGAAAACTTTGCATGTCCTCAGTCCCTCTTCTCTTCCTGAACCCATCGCAACCCTAGCATCTTTATCTCATTCACACCAGTACCCTTCATAAAAGACCACCCATTTTCGTCGTCGAGGTGTAGCATTCATGTCGAGGATATACCATCTCGACACAGTCGTGCCCTTGGCGCTGTCCGGGGCGACCGTGCTCGCCCTCCTCGGAACCGCGCTCCTGCTCGTGCTGGCGCTCTGGACCTACTCGTCGTGGAGTAGGCTTCGACATATACCTGGCCCGCCCAGTGCCGGCCTGAGCAAGTGGTGGATGTTTCGCAGCTCCATCAGCGGCAACATGCACCTCGCGCTGAAGGACGTGGTCGACAAGTATGGCAAGTACCAACCGAAGCCCGGTCGATTCCGCAGTATCCAGGGCAGCAGTGCCGGCAGGCTCCCCGTCCCGGGCGCCTGGGATCCCATGGTGGCACCGGTTTCAACAAGAGGGACACGAGTGCTAGGGGGTGTTGCTGACAGCAAAGCCGGCGCGACGCAGGACCCCTCGCACGTATCGGACCCAACACGTTGGTGACCAATGACCCGGATGTCCTGCGAAAGCTGTGGGCCGTGCGCTCGCCGTACAAGAAGGGGCCATTCTATCAAGCCGTTCGCTTTAACCCCGATCGGGACAACTTGATATCGATGCGGGACGACGATGAGCACCGCGTCCTCCGTTCAAAGATGGCAGCCGGTGTAAGTCACCCTCGTCACAGCCGTCCTCCTCCTTGTGGCCCAGTAGACCTGCGTCTCTTTTGTATTTCCGGGACGCCATCTCCGAGATCCGGTCTTGCCGTCGTCGTTGAGCACTCGCTTAATATTTACATTCTCGGTGGTGTCACTCGACAACGCAGTATGCCGGCAAGGACGTCGATAGCCTCGAGGCCGTCATTGACAAGGGCATCAGTGCCTTTATCCGCCTTGTAGAGCGTCGGTACGTCTCGGAACCAGGCAGCTTTCGGCCGATGGACCTAGCGCGCAAGGTGCAATATGCGGCCCTCGACATCATCGGCCTTCTCTCTCTCGGCGAGCGTTTCGGCTTTACCGACGAGGACACCGACGTTCACCAGTACATCAAGATCCTCGAGGAGAGCATGCCCGTCATGATCACCTTGACCGTCTTCCCAACCCTGGCCAAGGTGCTACAGTCCAGGCTCTGCCGACGACTGATGCCGTCAGAGCGCGACAAGATCGGGCTTGGTGTTTTCATCGGGTGAGTGGCCCCGGTGCGGCAAAAGGTTCGAAAACGGGCTGACACGAGAGAAAAAAAACCATGCAGAGTGGCCAAGCAGATTGTGACCGACAGACTTGCTTCCGGCAACCCTTGCCGCGGCGACATGCTCGGCTCGTTCCTTGCGCATGGCCTCACGCGCGAGGAGGCAGAGGGCGAGATGCTCCTACAGATCGTGGCCGGGTCCGACACGACGGCCACGGCGGTGCGAACGACGATGCTATACATGCTCAGCTCGCCCAACGTGTACGGACGGCTCACAGCCGAGGTGCGGGCGTGGGCGGCGGAGAAGCAGCAGCAGCAGCAACAGCAGCAGCAACATCAGCTGCCGCAGCAACCACCCTGCTCATCGCCACCGGCAACCAACGCCGAGTGCTTGGCGTTGCCGTACCTGCAGGCGGTCATCAAGGAGGGCATGCGCATGCACCCGCCCGTGGCGGGGCTCATGGGGGTCATGGTGCCGCCGGGCGGCGACGTGCTGTGCGGGCTCGGCGTGCCCGGGGGCACCGAGGTTGGCTGGTCGGTCTTTGCGCTGCAGCGGCGCGAGGACGTCTACGGGGACGATGCGGGCTGCTTCCGGCCCGAGCGCTGGCTCGAGGCCGACGGGGGCCGGCTGAGGGCCATGGAGGCCACGTGGGACCTCATCTTCAAGTACGGCAAGTGGCAGTGCCTCGGCAAGCCCGTCGCCCTGATCGAGATCAACAAGTTATTCGTCGAGGTAGGTCGTGCGTGCTCCTCCCTGCTCGGGCGTTCCCTCAGCTGACTCCTGGTGGTTGCACCGCATGGGCAGTTGCTTCGCAGGTACGACTTTGCCCTTGTCGACGCTGCGCAGCCCATGAAGTCGGCCAACGCCGGCATCTTTCTCCAGTCTGGCCTGATAGTCAAGATCACCCGCGCGCAGTGATTTAGGGGGATATCGACTGTATAGGTATCGAGGTGGGTGGACGTTGTTGACATCAATCGAGGGCGAAGTTATGGGAGGAAATCAAAGCGTTGAATTTCGTTGGTTGTGGAGAGAATCCTTTGCAGTTGAGGGGGGAATTTTCACGCTGTATTTTAATCGCCCTGTGACTTCTTACACCACACCTTCCACATTTAGCCCCAAAGTCTTAAAGCCGCGACAAATGTCTGCAACACCTACATCGGAGTGCAGAAGTCGACTTCTTGGTCTGTGCCTTACGGCCGCTTTGGACATCTCGTCCGAAGCCGCCGCCGCCGCCGTAACTGCCTCTAATAGCAGTAGCAGTAGCGGTAGCGGCGGTGACACCCGAGCTCGCCACCCCCTTGCTGGCTGCGGCGGCCCGCTCGTCAAGCTGCTGGGCCGACAAGCCTCGGTCCTCACCGGCCTCTGTCTCGGACAGGCCCGAACCGCCGCCGCCCAGCGCGAGGCCGACGTCGAGACACCGGTGGACGCAGACGGCCACCATGACGCCGCGGCGCCTGGGTCTCCGGGCGAGGAGGAGGAAAAGGAGGAGAGCTGCCGCCGCCGGCAGCGGCGGCTCCTCCACTCGCGCCTGGACGACCTGATCTCGCTGTCGTACGGCAGGTTCTACGCGCACGTCTTCAGCGAGCTCCCCGCCTGCTGGAGGCAGCTCTACACGGACGCGAGCATACTCAAGTTCGCCGCCTGCCTGCTGGAGGCCCCGCCGCCGCCGGGGGGCCTGCCCGACGACCCTGCCATCGACGCTCTGCTGGACGAGCTGGTCAAGCCCCTGGACCTCGCCCTCGTCCTCGCCGGCGGGGCGGGACACAAGCGGGGGCGCGAGTGGATCGACCAGGCGCTCGACCTGCTCGACACCATCTACAACAACCGGGCCGAAGACAACGACAGGGCGGCGGCGTCGCCAGACCGCACCATCCCCACCACAGATGACTACCCCGCGCCCCGGCCCAAGAAGCCGAGGCTGAGCGAGGATCCCCGCTCACGCGGCGGCGGCGGCGGCGGCGGCGGCTGGGAGGGCTCGCCGTCCTTCTCAACCGCGGAGCCCTTCACCCCGCCCGTCAGGAGCCCGGTGAGGCGCGTCCCGAGGCTCTCCATGGTGGCGTTCCAGACGTACATGAGCAGGCCGCCGGACCCGTCCCTGGGGCCGGAGCCGCTCGTCGTCGCGGGGCTGACGGACGACTGGCCCGCCCGGACGACGCGCCCGTGGAGCAGGCCGGCCTACCTCTTGTCGCGGACGCTGAGGGGCCGGCGCCTGGTGCCCGTCGAGATCGGCAGGAGCTACGTCGACGACGGGTGGGGCCAGAAGATCATGCCCTTTGCCGACTTCCTGCGCACTTATATCGACGCCACGGCGGCGACGACGACGGCAGAGGCGGGAGTGGGTGGGAGCGACAGTGGTGGCAGCGACGGCAGCCCGAGCTCTACATTACCTCGTGAGCAGCAGGTCCCTGTGGCGTACCTCGCACAACACCAACTGTTTTCACAGCTACCGCGGCTCAGAGATGACATTCGCATTCCAGATTATGTACGTCCAACGCACTTTACACCCACCTGCCAGCTTCTATCCACAGAAAGAAAAAATCAACCAAAAGTCCGACTCTTCCTATTGCTAACCATTCCAAAAAAAAAAAAAGTGCTATACGTCACCGCCGCCGCCACCCCCTTCCCTCCTCCACGGCCCCGAGGCGGGGCGGCCGCCGCCCGCGGAGCTGGACGAGCCGGTGCTCAACGCCTGGCTGGGCCCGCCCGGCACCATCACGCCGCTGCACACGGACCCGTACCACAACGTGCTCGCCCAGGTCGTCGGCCGCAAGTACGTGCGCCTGTACGCGCCGCGCCACTCGCCCCGCATGGCCGCCCGCGGCACCGAGGCCGGCGTGGACATGGGCAACACGAGCGCCTTCGATGTCGGCGCCCTCGAGGGCTGGGACGACGCCCCCGCCGGGGAGGAGGAGAAGGAGGAGGAGGAAGGCGACAACGCCGGCCAGGCAGGTCGAGATGCGGCCGCGGCCGCGGCCGCCTTCCGCGAAATACCCTTTGTGGACTGCATTCTCGAGCCCGGCGACTCGCTCTACATACCCGCGGGCTGGTGGCACTACGTACGCGGCTTGAGCGTCAGCTTCAGCGTGAGCTTTTGGTGGAACTGAAACCAGCGCCGGCCAAGGCATGAGCACGCGTCGACCAAGGCAAATCGTCACTTCTAGAAGAGGTGATTCATCGTAGATGTTCAAATAATACCCAGTATTACGCATATGGATATGTCGTGGTAGAGCCCGGATTTCTGGTTCTGGTCCTAAACATGAACCGAGAAAGGGACAAGAAAAAAAGCGGTAGATGAGAGAGAGTGGGAGATAATAACGGAAAAATCAATGACATCGGAGAAAAGGAAGATGAGTAGTAAGTGGTAATATAAGACATGAGGCCGCTCCAGTGCGGTTCTCTCTTGATGAGGAAGCAACGAGGGTGTTGGGGTCGTTCAAATGAGCTCCGTCGCCAACCGCAATAGCGCCAATGGCCGAGACAGTAAACAGAGAGGACTATCGGGAGTGACGAGCATCTCCTCTCGAGCTCAGAACGCTTTCCACTTAGCTCGCCAGCTTTGTCTCGGGTCGGAAGAAAAGGAGGGAAGGGTGCTGTGGTGACCTCTGATCTGATTCAGAGTCTACCCGTCACCACCTCCTTCTCAAAGATCCTTACTCCCCAAACGTCGTAGAAGTGAACGCCCTCAATGGTCTCCAACCTGATCCTGGGCCGCCTCGTGCCATCATGATCTTCGTCAAAGTCGTCGCTGTCGTCGTCGCTGCAGTTGGCGCTGCCCCCATCTCCCCAGTCATCCGCGGCCAGGAGCGGGAAGGGGTCGTCGTAGTGCGAGTTGAAGCCGGGCACGTGTCCGTGGCTGCCAAAGATGGGGACACTCCCGCCGACTTTCTCTTTACCCTTCCCCTTGCTCTTCCTTCCCTTTTTGGGTTCGTCCGAAATACGGACAATCTTCTCTAACCGATCGTCGTCGTCGATCGAGATCCACTCGAGCTTCATGTGCTGGTGGTGAGACAGGTTGTCGATAAGGAACTTCTTGGTCTCGCGCATCACCCATACGCACGTGTCTTCGTTGCGAAGGTGAATCACATGCAGTGCATGTAGATTTGCTAGGCCAGCCATATTTTGCATGAACACGTGCTATATGCATCATCGCTGTTAGTAGGACAAGACGCAGGGCATACAGTGGGAGGTGAGCAGGAGTGGACAGGAGCAAGAACGAGACTCACAATCGCCCGGATGTTCATGCTTATCGCCAGCTCCTCCAGCACCTTCCCTTTTCGGCAGATGAGCCTGGTGGTCTGCTCATCTATATCCCAGTCCATGCTGTCCATGTTCTTGATCATCAGCCGCCTCAGCGTTGAGATATGCTTCTTTAGGACCAGCTTCCGAATCTGCTCGATGGTGGTGGTCGTCTTGGCTGCAAAGCTCTCGGGCTTGTACTTGTGATCTCTCTCCAGGATCATAAACTCGCGGAGCTCCTGGAGCTGCGAAACGAAGTTGAGAAGCGCAGACGAGACGTTGTCGGTGAAGATGTTACGCAGAGGCAGCGACTGCACCTTGTTCTCCTTGGCGAAGAGAGCCCATATCGGTTGCTGCGGGCCCACGTTCAGTAGTGTGATGTTTCGCAGCGCTCGCAAGTCGATGGCCTTGCTGAGCACCGACGCCTTGACTGGGACAAGGTAGACGTTGAGTGATTCGAGCCCGATTCCCCGAGTCGCCCGAATGTATTCACGCATGCGCCCATCACTTGGTGAGTTCACGGTCACCTGGCCCGACGGCACAGCGACGGGGGCTCCTTTTTCTGTCATGGCGATACCATTCTCGCCGGCGTTCTGCAGTCCCGCGTGCGATGCGCCAGTCTCCTTATGCGCCTCTGCCGCGACCCTGCCGCTTGAGCTCTGCTCCGACTGTTGGGGAGCACCTGCAGATCTGGCCGTCTTCGATATTTCGCAGTCTGGGTCTGGTGTCTCCGTGGGGATGGAAGTGTTTGGACCGTCTGGGGCGTCGAGAACGAGCTGCTCCTCCGGCTCCTCGATACTGACATCCTCGGGTTTAGGATTTTCGCCCTTGGTGCTGCATGTGGTGCGGGCCGCGGTGGTAGATGAAGTGCCAGAGGTGCTGGTTTCGGGCGCTGCGATGGTCTTCTTGGATGAGCTGCTTTCGGCGGTCGACGAGGAGCCGACCAAGGTCTGATCCTGGGCCACTCCGCCTCCAGAGGAGCTCGCGGCGCTGAGGGCAAGACTCTCGCCCTCGATACTGGGCTTTCCCTCCACAGAAGCAACATATCTCCTGGTTGCTGCCACTATCAAGTCCAGAATTTCCCGCTGCTTGGCACCTGCGTCCGGGGGCGCACCAGCCTCTCCCAACCTGAGGTCGTTGAGCTTGCTCGAAACTTCGGAAATCTTGGTGAAGAGTTCCTTGGCGTGGTCCTGGGTGGCAGGCTGCCCCTGGGGTTCCTTGGTCTCGCCTGCCTCTTTTTTCTTATCCTGATCTTTGGAAGAGGCTCTCCTTGGAGGCTTCTTGGCAAGCATGGCCTCGACATCGAAAATCCTCCCAAGAACGGCCTCTTGGCACTTGCGTTCCTCGGCAGCTCGGTAGGCTCTCGCGGGCATGCTCAGGTTGCCGTCGACGTACGGGGTGGGGTGCGGGGGCCCAGGCACGACTTGAAACTCGTCGTCCGGGTCCGAGTCGTCCAGTTCGGCTTCTGGCGGAGGTTTCCTGGCCTGTGATGCTAGTTGGTCCGAAAAGGACAGCTTGAGTGTGGTCAGTGTGGAGGATGAGTTTCGTATGCAGGTGCGGATCTCCGAGACCACGTCTAGGGTGTCCATATCCAACACCGCCAGGCTTCTGAGCCTTTTGAAGCCAGACAGAGTCGGGGGCTCCTTGGACAATGCCGATCTTTTTGTCTTGGTTCTCGAGGGCGACTTGGGCGCCAACGGCGGCGGTCCAGACCCGGGCACCACCGCAACGGGCACGAGAGAAATCCCGTCGTACAGAATCTGCGGAGGCGGCTGCACATCAAAAGCTGGCATCTGAGAACCCGCACTCGTGCCCATGTCGGGCAGGTGCGCATGAGACTGCGTCGGGCTGCTGTCGGGTGATGTTGCGTACGGGAGCGGCGGCGGCGTTTCGTACATGGAGGGGCCGACCTGGAACCGGATATGGACGTCTTTGAGCGTCTCGATGGCATGAAGGGCCCGGTAGACTGGACGGCTGAGCTCAACCCTGATGTTCCACCTGAACAATAGACACAAATCATCAGTATTTCGGAGGAAAACGGGAGAGGTGCGATACAGTACGAAGGCGACGGTGGCTAGGCAGTAAGTAGTGCGGCACTGACCTGAAGGCCTCCAGAGACTTTGACTTGCGTAGCGTCAGCAGCAGAAGCGTGTTCATGAACTTGCCGCAGCTGACGTTGAAGAGATAGGGCTTGTAGGCGGTCTCAGCCTTGTCCCCGGCGCTCAGAGTGTCAAGGGACATGTCGCGAAGGTGCCTCGCATAGTCGTAGTCGCTTGTGACAAAGGTGTCGAGACCGCCCGCGAGGCCGTCTATGGGCGAATCGTAGGCGGGATCATCCTCATCGGGGAAGACGATGTGAAAGTTGCGGTACAGCTGGGCGGCAGCCAGATCGCGGAAGTGTCTGGAAACGAGGGAGAGGCAGATGAGGTCGCTTTGCGAACACTGTAGCGGTCCGACACGACAAGCAACGGTTAGCGTCAAACCAGCACCGGCACCAGCGGCTAGGGCGGGGAGTTGCGCGCCGGCGGTCCCCCGCCGGCGGAGGGCGGTGCGGGGAAAACAACGGGCGCCATACCTGTGCGATGATGGCCTTTTGGACCTCTCGTGGTAGGTTGAGGAAGGCGAGCGGCTCGCCTGCGACCCCGCGAGACGCGGCAGCCTGTTCCGGAGCGCCCATGGTAACAGTGGCCGGCACGGAATCGGATCGCGTGATGTCGCAACGACCGGGGCGACCGTCGAAGTCGACGTCGCGATGGACGGACAGGTAGTGGGAACGGCGCAGGGCTCCGACTTTGCGCGACGGGACCCAGGAGACGACGCTGGGCGGAACGGGGTTTGCGGGTCGGTCGGGGGGCCAGTACCGGGCAGTCGTCGCACGGCGTCAGGCCTTGGTGCCCTGCGCTGGCGCTGTGCGATGCGTGCTGTTGTGTCACTGCGCCGGGTTCCGCTGGGCGGCGGGCCTTTTGCTGTAGGTGGAATGAGGGCGTGCTGTGTGCTGGCTACCAGGTGGCAGGTGCGTCCTGATTCGGCATATCAGCCGTCGAAAGCACGCGAACGAAGGAGCTGTTGGGGCTGTTGGGAGAGGGCAGCCTAGCAAGACCCAATTGTATGGCGATGTGCGAGGCCGGGTTGCGCAACCAGGCTCCCGATAGTGGTGCAGCGAGGGTTGGTGTCGTTCAATGTTGCGAACCAAGGCCAGTGGGCACAGCCAGCGGGCATGGAACCTGGAGAGCGGCAGACAAAGACCAGGGCCTGGTTGACGAGAGGGGCCGGCGGCAACCTCAAGCGACAGTGTGGAGCAGCCAGTCACGACAGCCTCCAATCAGGCGCACCGCCCACCGTACGTGGGTGGCATCCACCGTTGGGAGACACTACAAGGAATGACAGGGTATTGCCTCCCTCTTCCATCGGGCTGTGGACGTCGCCCGTCGCTGCTTTGGCTGCCCCCACGCACAAGACAGCCGTCCGGGTGCTGCGCCTGCTGCCTCGCTGAAGACACGGGCGAGACAGGGCTCTGGTCGCTCGCGTCCAGATTGCCAAGAAGATGCGACGAGGCAAGCTAATGCAGTCCTGCCTGTAGGCGCACAACCGAAAACACATCAAGAGCCGCCTCTCGGCATCCAAGCTCCCAAGTACACGAGGCGGCTCCATCTTGCCGCCTGGGCCACAGAGCTTCCAATCCTGGTATTGGCTTCGTCCGGCCCCAAACGAGGCTTACACAGACGTCTGCGAAACTCTCTGCAACGTGAGCTGGTGAGATGGGACATGAGATAAACACAACACGTGGACAGATGGCGACCGCAGGCATCCGAAGGTCGACAAAAATGACATCGTCATACAGCCCCGCTCAAAAAGTCTGAGTGCAAACGCAGTTTCCCACCAAACCTCACGATTTTCGAATGCAAATAAAATAATAAAAATAATCGAAAAATTAAAATTCCATAATAATTTATAAAAATTTTAACATATTTTTTTTTTGAATTGTATAACTTATCGTAAGCTTTTAACAAATTTTTAAAATTAAAACTAAAAAATGAATCCGTTATAAATAAATTTAGCATCCCCTAAAAAGCGCTGTAGTGATAGTTTTTTATTTTATTTTATTTTTTTACGCGCCGTAATTTACGCCCCCAATACTTAAATTAATTAAAATTAATGTATATATTAAAAAGGATTCCCAATTCTTAAATGCATTTCGAATTTTTATTTTAGCATTTTTTTCTGATTTGATATAGCGGTTGAAATGTGTTAACTTTTGTATATAACTTGGTGGCGTGCATCCAGACTTTTTGAGTGTGACTGTAGTATCGAAAGGCATTTATCTCTCTCGATATCGCCCAGGTCACCACCTTGGGAGTCCAGGTATCGTTACCTAAGGACCAAGGCAGCCGTGTAGGTAAAATACATATGTAAGGTATGTGCATACCACTCTAGGAAGGTAGTTAGGTAGGGTACCTTCGCAATGGAGGATGGACTAGACAGGAAGGGAAAGAGGAGAGAAGGGGGGAAAAAAATAGAGGTGCACAACCGTGCCAATGCAGGATGATAAATCCTCCTTGCCCGATGCGACCAAAGACGCATTCTTCCCACGGCTGAATAGACCGTCATAGCTAGCGCCACCAATTTTAAAAGTTCACATGGACGAGCTCAAAACCCATGGTAATCGCGCCCAAAGGATTGTCCCCTCAAGCTGAATGTCCGATCCTGTGGCATTACTTGCTCGGAGCCGGGAACCTTCCTCGCTCATCGCCTCGCAGTTGATGGCTGGCGTCCAGGCGCTCGAGCTGCATCATTGCTGTGACAAACTTCTTGTCTTTTTCCGCCACGATAGCCATGGCCGTGCGCACACGGCCCATGAGCTCCTCGAGGTAGTCGGCTGCCATAACCTTGGGGTTGTGGCGCTGTTGCGACTTTCTCTGCGGGATTCTGGTGGGGGGATGGGACTTCGGGACCCTTCTGTCGGGGGCCTGCGCAACGGGAGAGCCACATGGCGACGACTCTGGGCTTTCTGAACGGCAAACCTGGCACAACCTCTCGGCCAGCGGAGCATCCTCGCCGTCGCGACATGTCCACCACCCGCCGCGTATTCGTTGACTCTCATGTGCCCAACCGGGGTTGGGCTCATGAAAGTGATCATCCCACGGCGCTTTTCGGGCACCTTGTACTTCGGTCTGCTGGCGCCTGACCTCGTCCTCCAGCCTCGCCAGCTTATTCAGCAACTCGTCGAACCGATTCTCCTCACCCTGAGATCTGAGTCTCACCCAGCCCTTCTTTTCCAGGAGACAGAACCAGTCAGGGATGCTCTTTCCCGAACCCTGGGCCTCCTTCGGCGTGCTTTCTGCGCCGCCAGTGTCCGGGTCTTTCAGAGCACACGAGGACGAGGGATGCGCGATGGTGATCGGCTCACCCCCATTCGCATCATCCTTCGTCTCGAAATCCAATGTCCTGCTCTCCAAGATTCGTGATATGGTGCCCTGGACCTCGGTGTGCCTGACCCAGAGAAGTTTTAAAAGCCTTGAGTGTTCTTTGTTGAGCGCGCTTTCCTCGAGCCGCAAGGCATTTATCTTATCCAGGACTCCTGGTGAGATCTGGCCCTTGGAGCGATTTGGTCCGAGGTTCCGAGTGTCTTGTTGGACGCATACCATCTTCTCCTCGAGCTCATCCAGCTTGTTAAATAGCTCCTGACGGCTCTCCTGCTCTTTGCTGGCATCCTCAAGGTAAGCCCTGACCTTCTTTCGGTTCTCGTTCACCAGCGGCTGAACATCGATCCCGTTCGAGCTAGCGCGGCCATACTCCCACTTCTCTTGGTCCATCCAGCTTGGTTCCTTGGGCAGGTCAGGTGGGTAGACCGCCCGCAGGTGGTCTCGGAACGAAGGCGAGATGATGCTGGGGTTAGAGACAATCCATTCGTTCGCCGCCTCGAAGTCTGGGGCTCCTGCGACCGCATTTCTGCAATGATTCCAGCCTGGTTGCGTATCGTCTCGGGGTTGGTGGCCGTCTGCTATCGCCGGGGTCGGAATCGCCTTTGAGGGCCTTGGGTCCGGCAGTCCGTCAACGGCGCCGGGACTGGGAGGTGCGGACACTCCACTATGGTCTGTGACTGCTTGGCTTTGGCCCAACAGGGCGGCGATAGCCTCGTGATTTGTTTTCAGTTGGTCGGTCATCGCCTCGGTGTGCATAGAGAATGTGCAGGATAGGAGGATTCGGTGTGTAAAAGACGCAATGGAAAGGGTTGGAATTCTCGATTAGCAGATGGCTACGTCTAGGTTGAGAGGATGGGAAGCCCAGGTTTCCTTGCGGGTGGTCCACAGGCGCGCACGGTATGCGGCATTGATATCAGGCGGGCAAGGTGGGTTGGTTGGGTCGCGACTTCCTCAGTAAGTGAGTGCCCGCTCGGGGTGATTTGAGGTGACGAGAGTGCACGAGCTTGACGAGTGGCCCATCGTCTGGACATATTTGTGAATGAGGAGCGAGTCGTTATTTTGTCAGGGCTGAGATATACTATAAAGGTGTTTCTTCTGCCGCGCCTCTCGACAAGAGGTGATTCCAAGTCACACCCGGCGCCGGCAGGTTTTGTGAAGGCCGCATACAATCAACAGATGGGCGGGTAAGAAAGCTCTAGGAGCCCTCATACAGACTATGATTCTCTGCCTCAACTTGCTACTGGGCCTACAGTCACCGTCTCACGACGCCTGCGTTCCTCCAAAGCAAGCGCGTGCTTTTCCTTGCGCCGTGTCTCCGCCTTGATCTCAGAAAACCGGCCACGTGCTCCATGCCTGATTTTGGTTATCATGTCTGCAGCCTTGCCCTTGGTGATGTCGCTCATGGTAAGAGGCTCCTGTTTGCCCCTAACCTTGTTGAGGAAGTCCAGCTGCCCCTGAGTTGGGGGCCCATTCCGCCACTTTTGGTTTGTTGAAATGAACTGGAAAGGGAAGATCTCGGACGCATACTTGTCGCAACCGTGTACCGCGTCGGGGAACGTTGCCGCCTTGAGAATCTCTCTCGGGGGCGCGAAGGGACTCTTGGAGAGCGCAGGCAGCGGAAGGTGCCGCACCTCGACCGCTCGGAAGCATGCCTCGGGCAGCGGGGACTTGACCTTGTCACCCATCTCATCCACAGGTATCTTCTCGATTCTCAGATACGTCCCCGTCGGGCCAGAAAGGATGTAGCGATCCGGGCCCACGTGAACCCAGCCATACGGGCTGAGCGCGCGGATGAACTTCTCCCCAGAAGTGTCGGATATCAGGTCAAACACAGAGTTGTAGTCCGTGAACGACACAGAAACTGACGGGTAATTCTGACCACCCCCTGGAACAGCTTGGGCCACTCGCTCGCTCCTCTCCTTCTCTTCAGATTTACGTTCTTGCAAATTCTGAAGGTCGTCTGCTGTCGCGTCATCGACAAGCTCGCCAGGATCGAGCCCAAACAGCGTTGGGGTAGTGACTATGCCAGTCTCGAGGCTGGATACCATGTCGATTATCTGACAGTTGACTTTGTCCGGGTGCAGTCTCATTCCCCTGCCAATCATCTGGACAAGGAGGTTCCGTGATTTGGTTGGCCTCGCCAGCACGACGCAGTCGATGTTGGGGATATCGGTTCCCTCGGTGAACACCCCGCAGTTGACAAGAACAGGGAACTTCCCAGCCTTGAAGTCTTCTAGCCTTTCGCTTCTTTCGAGCTTGGGTGTGTCGCCGGTGACGAAACGGGCATCGATGCCGTACTCGCGAAACCTCTGCGTCAGGCCAGCGACATGAGCCAGGTCGACACAAAAGACGAGAGTGGACTTGCGACCTTTTGCCTTGGCCAGCCAGCTGCGGACGGTAATCTCGTTAACTTGATCCGTATTGACGGCACGAGACAACTCCGACTGCAGAAAGTCGGCGCTGGCGCTCGACCGTGCCCTGGAGATGTCGGCAGAGGACTCGACCGTTGTGAAGCGCACATCCGAGAGCCACTTGTCTTCAATCATGTCGACGTAGTCACGGTGGTAGACAATCTCGTCAATGGCGGCCCCAAGCTTGAGGCCGTCGAACCTCGAGAAGGTGGCCGAGACACCAACGAGATGCGGCGAGTCCGGGCGCTTGGTGGCCAGGCCGAAATGATCCAGCGTCCGCATATAGCCTGGGGCGACGATGTGGTGAGCCTCATCCACGAGCAAGAGTTTGAACCGGCCCGGGTCGAACTTGGACAAGCGGTCCCCCGAGGTGATGCTCTGGATACTGGCCACCGTGATGTCGGCGACACCTGTGGAGTGGAGTGAGCCCATCTCGACCTCAACGGTCTTGTCTGGATAGGCATGGGAACAGTGCCGAGCCGCCTGCTCGACGAGCTCGCGCCTGTGAGCCAGCACCAGCGTCTGAGTGCCAGAGTCGGAGACGGGTGCCACCCTATCAATTAGCTGTGTGAATATGACCTGTTGCCGTTCCGGTGGTGTCAGCCCCTCCTGAATACAAATCCGCCCCCTGTTGATCCCGAGGCCTGGCTCATTCTACGCACACAGTACCTACTGTCTTCCCACTTCCCGTGGCCAGAGAAATGCCCAGACGCTTATGGCCATTCTCCAAAGAGGCGAGGACAGCTTGGATGCACTCCTCCTGGTACTCACGCAGAACGACCTTGGGCAGGCTTGCGTGAGGTCGATGCGGCATTACAGGCAGCAAGCTCGGTGAAAATGTGGCCAGGCCGCGTCTGCTAGCCGGAGGCAGCCGCGGGAGGAGCCATTTTGTTACATGCTGGAGCATGGCCCAACATCAAGAATGTTTGAGAGGTTTCAATTTGTTTGTTTTCTGCGGCTGACCTTTTTCTCTCCTTTTTTTTCTTTTTTTTTTCGTTGGGGAACTTGAAGAAGAATCTGGGTGCGATGGATGGAGTTTGATTCCATGATTCCATGACTCCCACTGTACCGCTTCTCATCCTGTTCCTGATTCGTGCCAACCCCGCTGCCCACAGCACGGACCAAGACTGCGTGCGGAATACCTACCGGGATTCAGCGAATCACGACCATTCCACCATTTCAAGCTTCCATTGCATTGCTCTCGCCTCATGCATTCTGCGTGAGTAAAAGGATGGATATAAAGCTTTAGGCAACCTCGAACTCACGAGAAAGGAGAAGAACAACATTCCGACGTTCAAGAAAGGCCTCATCTATCAATTCTTTGGTGATTCGCGTCTGCCTCGACAGTGCCTTCCTATCTCCACCTAAAAAAAAAATGCTGCTCAGCCCAACCGGCCGCCTCAAAACAAAACACTATTCTCGTCACAGTCAGACAATATCAGCATCAAGGCTTTATTGGCGTTGAGCCTAGTATTCGTGTGGCGTGAGCCGAACCACATAGTACAGAAGCCATGAACTCACCCATTAGCCGTACTCGAAGCGCTCTCTGGAACAGCCGAATCGCAAAACCCCCGGCTCTGGGCGACAGCGGCGATGGCAGTGACGCTCCCGAAACGCCACATCGAAGAGGAGCGTTAGGAAACAGAGAGAGGCACGGTCCAGAAATAGATGATGAAACCCAAGATTTGGGCTTCGGCCACTCCTTGGACGAAAACGGCGATGTCGAGCTCAAGCAGGACCTGTCACTGTCTCGTCCCGCGCTTCATCAAGACTCCGACAGACCCCCATCTTCGCCTTCGGGATCGGCCTACTCTCCGGATTCCGGGGACTCGGACGCCTCTGAAGCGACCAAGAGCGGCAACAAATCACATCAGGAGTTGCAATGGGCACTGGGAGGACCAAACGAGGAAAACAGGCGACCTTCGAAGAGAAGGTCGCCATTGAAGCGATCGAGATCAGAGGCAGCCCGCTCACAGGACCCCTGCGATGCACCGAGGCCCTTCAAGCGTGTCAAGGGAGTCATTAACCACCAGTACGTTGCTCTTCTGAATGCTGATATCGAGGACGCCCGTGACCGGCACGTTCCTTACCCATGGCCTGAACTGCCGTCGTCCCAATTCGGCCTCACCTTTTGGACGCCCGAGGAGAAACATTCCTTCTTCGAGGCGCTTGACCGTCTCGGCCGCCATAGGCCTGATCTCATAGCCGCACGGCTAGAGACCAAGAGCGAGATGGAGGTCCGCCAGTACCTCAACCTCCTAGAGCGTGCTAAGCGCGAGCGCCGCAAGGGCAGCCAGTTCGATCCTGTCCAGACGTATCAGATACCAGCCGCCATGGAGCTCGGTCAAGAGTGCGTCGCGGCCCTGGAACAGGCGGGCGACTCTATATCTCTTCATCAGGAGGCGCACGAGGAGGCAGCCGCCCTATCCAGGCACAAGGACGGCCATCTACTATTGACAGCCGACAACTGCCGGGAACTGGTTGAAGAAGCCAAGCTAGATGCAGAAATGAACAACACCCCTCACCTGAACCCCCTCGTCCTTTTCAACGCCCCACGCTGGCTCGAGCTGTCAGAGCGGCTCTTTATGAACGCGTCGTTCGAAGAAATGAATTGGCAGAGTGTTTCGCATGAGCCCCCCTCGATCCGGCTTGTCGCCCTCGACGACTTCTACTCCATTATCAGGGCGGTGACCCGGAAGCTCGTCTGCGAGGCTGTGTTCAACGCCCGGACTTGCTCGCGCGGCCGCAGCCACAGGACCGCGGCCAAGGGCCACATAACTGTCCACGCCAGGCATGTGCCGTCACCAGAGCAAGTCGTGGGCAAGCCTGGACTCGCTGGCCGGGAGCTTTTCTTTGCCGGCTGCGCGCGTCGGCTCCATCTGGAAGTTGTAGATGACGAAGCCGAGGAAGTGACGCAGGGAGCAGACTACGACGAGCCAGAGCCCATGTCCTACGATGAGGTTGAGAGCGCACTATCCACTATACTACGAGAGAAACACAGAGCGGCAGCGGCGGGGGGTACCTCCAGCCGTCGGGATGCCTCTCCGCTGTCCTCCGTCAATGAGGCATCTGATGCCGATGATGGTGAAGATGCAATGTCAACCCAGACACCCGTCGGCGCTGGCAACGGTGACGGCACCGAAGCCCCCGCCGATGGTGATGTTACGGACTCGGACTCGATTTCCACCATTGATCTAGCCGATTCGGACCGGGATGTGGAGGAAGAAGTGGACGAGGTGGTGATATATTCGGCATTTGGGATAACGGGGACCACCAAGGACAAGAACGCTCTGCGGCTCCGCGTCCGAGGCGAGAGGGAGCGCGAGGATCTCGCCGAGGCAGTCGACTGCCGCGCCAGCTATGTGGAGGAGCGTCGACTGTGGGCAGAGGTACTTAGTTACTCGCCCACAGTCCCTCGGGAAAGGGTACCGAAGCCAGATCTGAAAGCCAGGTCCGCCGCCGTTGCGGTACGCCGGAAGCTTGCGGTTGGCGACCTAGTTGAGGAGCTGGCGTAAAGCAGCTGAAGTGGAGGGGTGGTGTTTTGATGCTGGTCCACGCTAATTATAGTTGTAGACACGAAAAAAGGTGAACGCAATGGATGATACTATGGATACCTAGGTACAAATTTTAATGTCGATTGTAAGTTTGAGCGAACCATCGAGCCAACGATGGATGATATAGGAGCAGGAAAAAAAAAACAGGAAACTAACATGGGATATATTAATGCGCGAAGTGTGGGGAAAAAAAAAGACGATCTAAGGCAGGGTCAAATCAACAAGGTCATACTGGGAATCGAACCCAGATCCTGAGGAGGTCTGGTAATCAGAACCTCATGTGCTAACCATTACACCATACGACCAACTGAGCTTGCATTGCTGATGGTTTCGGGGTGGAGGGCTGTGCGATTATGTTCGGGTGGATATTCCACCACTGATTAGTTCGGCAGGCGACTCTTTGACGAGGGGGTGGCGAGTCAAGCCTGGGAGCAGCCCTTGTTGGTGCTCTCGTGCTGTCTTTCTGGTAAAGCCGGCAAAGAAACAGGCCACAGATGTGCAGACATTAACAATGAGGCGCATAGATTTCCAGCGTACTCGGCAAGACGCGTCACATCCCATTCGTTCGCTGGAGATGCAGGGAGTTCAACGGGCTCAGCCACGACCCTAGAATCTGTAATTGGCATGGAATCGAGCACGGTTCAATGCGCCAGGCTCAGCCCCAAGGCTTGGAACCTGCTGCCTGGGGGCGATGACGACTTTCGGCCTTGCACCAGCCCGCTCAGGGGATAGAGATGGCTGGACTGGTGCTAGATTTGAGCAACGAAGCGCGCTGTTTACAACGTGCTGTCTATAGGCCTTGTCGATAACCTTGACGCTCTGATAGTCGGCGCTCGTCCGATTCAATTAGAAGAAGAATTAGCCCTCAGCAAAACAGACACCGTCATTGGCATTCAAAAACCGTCGCATCTGTTCCAGTTCCACCGCCGCCGCTGGCTGCTCAGCATGTCGGCCTCCGCTCCCACGGCGACGGAGGAGAAGCGTCAAATCCAGCAGCACCACAGCGAACTCGACCACTCGGCGCAGACGGGGGAATCTTCTTCAGCCGGCCACCCTTCTGCCTCGACCAGCAACCCGCAGAACCCGACGCCGCCTCCGTACTCGGGCCCCTCGAGCCCGTCGCCTCAGGATGGCGAGGCCGACTCGGAGCAGCAGCAACGGATGCTGCAACAGCAGCTCGAGCAGCAGGACGGCGGCGCGGAGCGGCGGCGGCAGCCGCAGCGCTACCCGGGCCTCCCACGGCTCGACTACAGCCTCTACTCGCCCGCCACCTTTGAGCTGCAGCCGGGGGCGGCGGCCATCAAGTCGACGGCCACGTACCTGTCGGCCAACGAGCAGGCGCTGGTTAGCCTGGTCCGGAGCCAGGCGACGGTGCCGCCCAAGCCCGTCATCGAGATACGCGGCAGCCGCGGGCGCCACGTCGACTTCCACGTGCGCTGCAACCTCATGAGCCTGCTCGTGCCCGAGGACCCGGCCGGGCGGCTCGACTACCTGCGGTGCGTCTCCCCGGACGAGCCGGCACTGCGCGGGGGTGCCAAGCCCAAGACGGCGCCGCACCCGGGCGGCGGCACGCTCGAGGCCTGGGCGCGCGCCTACGTCCGGGACCAGAGCCACAGCAAGTGCTTCGTGCTGGAGCGGCAGGTCGTCAACCTGGACGTCAACTTCATCGAGGGCCAGATCCGGACCATGGTGGCCGCCATGGGCTACCGGGGCTTGCTCACCGTCAGCGTCCCGCTCCTGCACTCGCGCGTCGTAGTGCAGTCGCCCGACAGGGTGAACCGGTTTCTCACCTCGGTCACGACGCTCTTTACGGGCCGGAGCACCTACGAGGTGGTCAAGGCCGTCTGGCCGTTCGCGACACACCCCAAGGGCGAGCCCGGCCGGCGTTGCGCCGTGCAGAGCGAGGAGACGTGGTGGAAGGAATGGAGGGACCCCCTAAAATTCGCCATCGCGACGAGGCGGAGCGGCTGGGTCACCAACGAGGACAAGCTCGAGTGTATAATGGAAAGTAAAGGTAAAGGTGTGGCTGTTGACTGGGGGCCGGACAGCCTCGAATGAGATGCTGTGTTTTAATCTTTTTTTTCTTTGACTTTTTTTATTGGTCAACATGCTCCATAGCGAGAGGTGCTCACATCATAAAGATATCCAAATCTAGGGCATCTAGCTTATGGCAGAGCCCACATTCTACCCCCAAAGAATCCGGCAGCTCACACAAGTAGAAGAGGAGATGAGAAAATGGGCAAGCAAAAACAAAACACCAAAAAAGTTCATGATCAGAGTGGGACTCGAACCCACGCGGATTGCTCCATAGGAAGACTGTGATATCACCTTAATCCTACGCCATAACCAACTCTAGAGGGGATGTCAGTACGGGACTGCGATGGCAGATGGTGGAGGAGGGACGCAGATTGTGACATACCGGCCATCTGACCACCTGATTCGGGGTTGGAGGTGCTGCTCCACTGCGTGAGCGAAATAGTCAGCCTTGCTTTGGTCAATCATGGAGCGGTAAATCATGAGAAGCCTCTCCATTTAGAATCGAAACTGTGATATGAAGGGAAGCTCATTCTTGAGCAGCCCGACACGGCCAGTCTTTGGCCAACAGTGCCCCCAAAACCCGGAAATTCGATGTGATGAACTGGAATGATTCATCCTGAGTGCCTGCCGCTATCACTAAGCTCAGCCCCTGAAGCCCCTGCTGGAGGCTTGCCTGTGGCACCCGCAAGCTGCCCGAACGAGTCAGATTGATGGCTAGGGTGCAGGGCTACATAGGACTTCGTGTGGAGGTCGCATCGTGACTTCGCCTCGCCGCACGATGTGAGCGGGGTGCACGAGACGATGATAGATTGAGAATAAATATTTGTATCTTCCCCTGGGAAACCATTATGTGCTTTTTTGCCTCTCATAACCAAACAGCCTCCTAACGCACACTCTAACCAAGAATCAAGACGACCAAAGCCCTTTTCGTTGGGCACACCTACCAATATCACCCCCACCCTCATCTCGTGATATCCCACCGGGCAGGGACATACTCATGGCGTCTGTTGAGCCATCAGCCCCCGAGGCTCTCCAGCCCATCTCAACATCCTCACACGGCACTGCCCTCTGCATCATCCCGCCACGCGATTTGTGGCCATCCGTCGACCGGCTGAGGGCCCTCTACGACAAAGCACACAAAAAATGGCCGCCGCACCTCAACCTCGTTTACCCCTTTGCCAAGGTCGAGAGCCTCGAGAGGGCGGCCGACGAGATCGGTGCCGGCCTCGAGTCTTGGAGGCGGCAGACAGGAGACGACAGTAAGCCTAAGATCCGGCTCGACTCCGCGGACGTCTTCCCCCACCGGCGGGACAACACCATCTTCCGCTGTGACAGCGACGAGGACCGCAGGAGGGCGCTTCAGGAGACCCGGGCAACCGTGCTCGCGGCCCTGGGCCAGACGGACAGCGCCAGCCACCACCGGCTGCACATGACGGTTGCGCAGAGCGACGACCTGGGGGCGAGCGCGCACAAGTTCCTCTATGAAAAGGTCAAGCTGCTGCCAAAGATGGAGTGGGAAGTCGACACCCTCCACATCCTGGTGCGGGAGCGCACGACGCTCGAGAACGGCGCGTCGTCCAGCGTCATGAAGGCCTGGGGCACCGTCGACCTCGGAACCGGCGCCGTGTCAAGATTCCCGACGCCGCAGGGCTTTTACGAAGAGGACGCCCCTGGCGCCACGGAGGAGGAGGAGGAGAACGATGCGAGCGTCGCACTGGGGGCGCGGCTGCCGCCGAGTCCGTCCTTCGCCTACGACGAGGACGCCAGGGTCTGGAAGAGGCGATCCCCACGAGCCGCGCACGCGCAGCGGGTCGTGCCCCGGGAGCTCAGGGTATCCAGCTACAACGTCCTAGCCGAGTTCCTCCACCCGCCCGCGCAGGACAGGTACCCTGCGCTGGTGCGCAATATATTGTCGCGCCAAGGGTCGGCCGAAATCCTCGTGCTGCAGGAGGTGACGGACGACTTCCTCGTCTACCTGCTACAGGATGAGAGCGTACGCGCGGCGTACCCCTTCGTCTCGCACGGCCCGCCGTGCCAGGACGACCTGGAGCCGCTCCCCAGCTTCCTCAACATGGTCGTCCTTAGCAGCTGGCCGTTCGAGTGGGAGGCGGTGCCGTTCGCGCGCCGGCACAAGGGCGCCATCGTGGCCACGTTCCCGGGCTTGGCCCGGTGGGAGGACGGCGAGTGCCTCGCGCTCGCCGTGGCCGCCGTGCACCTCACGCACGGCCTGACCGACGGCGCCGTGGCGGCCAAGCGCGGCGAGCTGCAGCGCGTGCTGGCGCACCTGGCCGACACCTACGAGGGCCACCCCTGGGTCCTGGCCGGCGACTTCAACATGACCACGTCGGCGCACACCGTCAGCGCCGCGCTGAAGAAGGGCGACATCTCGTCCCAGACGGCCGCGTACCTCGCCGGCTTCGACACCATGCTCGACCAGGCCGGGCTCGTCGACACGTGGGCCGCCTCGGGCGGCGGTGCCGGGAGCGGCGGCCACGACGCCGACGAGGCCGGCGCGACCTTCGATCCGAGCCTCAACAAGCTCGCGGGCCAGATGGTCGGCAACGGCCTCGGCAACAGGCCGCAGCGCTACGACCGGATCCTCTTCAGGGGCGAGGGCATGCTGGACGTCGCGGGCTTCAACATGTTCGGCCTGGTCGACGAGGCGGCGGCAGCCCAGACGAGCGATGGGGCGGCCGAGAGGGCGGTGTACGGAAGCGACCACTGGGGCATCAGGTGCTCGCTGAGGCTTGAGGCAGGCATGGCGTCGGGCGACGCGACAACCAGCGAGATCTCTAGCCTGGTCGTCGCGGTCGAGCCCAGGAAGGCCTCGGGCGCGCTGGAGGACGTGCAGTTGTTGCGCGACTCCCTCTCCGCCCTCGGCGCCTTCCCGACAGAAGACGAGGCCGCCCGTCGCCAGGAGGCCTTTGAGCTCCTCAGGGACCTGATATTAGAGAATCCAACGGGCACCGAGGTCACCGACGGCGCCTCCGCAGCCGCGCGCCCGAGGCCGCCCCTCGTCGTGACCTCCGTCGGGTCCTACGGGCTCGGCGTGTGGACGCCGTCGTCGGACATCGACGTCATGTGCATCGGGCCCTACAGCTCCGCCGTCTTCATGGCGCTGGCCGTGCAGCGGATCCGCAAGGCCGGCGCGCGCGGCTTCAAGCTCGTGCGGCGGGTGAGGGCCAACACGGGCACCATGCTCGAGCTCGAGGTGCAGGGGGTCAAGATGGACCTGCAGTACTGCGCGGCCACGTCGGTGGCCGAGGGCTGGCCCGCCGTCCTGGACCGGCCCGCCTCGGACCCCGTCTTCTCGCTGCCGGCCCAGACGCTCGGCAAGCTCAAGGCCGCCCGCGACCTCGACTACCTCCGCCGCTCCCTGCCGGACCTGGCAAAGTTCCGCCTCGCCCACCGCGCCGTCAGGACCTGGGCCCGCACGCGCGGAATCTACTCAGTCCGCTTCGGCTACCTGGGCGGCATCCAGATCTCGGTCCTGCTCGCGCGCGTTTGCAAGTCGCTCGCCCGCGACGCCGGGCCGGGCCTGTCCGTCGCCGACATCCTCGTCACTTTTTTCCACCACTACGCCGCCTTCGACTGGCAGCAGAACCTGGCCTTCGACCCCTTCTTCCACAACAAGAAGCTGAGCTACCACCGCACCTTCCGCGAGCCGCTCGCCATCCTGGGCTTCTTCCCGCCCATGCTCAACACCTCCCACGCGGCCACGATCCCCTCCGTCCGCGCCATGGCCGGCGAGTTCCGCCGCGCCGCCGCCTTGCTCGCCAGCGAGGACGTGACATGGGACGCCTTCTTCCGCGGCGGCGGCCCGACGACCGTCCCCGGGCCCCTGTCGGCGACCCTCCCGAGCGGCGCGGCCGACTTCCTGGCCTCGTACAAGTCGTTCGTCAAGCTCGAGCTGAGCTACTGGGGCATATCGCTCCCAAGAGGTGCACAGTTCGTCGGCTGGTTCGAGTCGCGATGCCCGCTTATCCTCGTGGACGTCTCCCGGCGGCTGCCCAACGTACTCGCGCGCATGTGGCCGGAGCGTTTCGTCGACGCCGCCGCCGCCGCCGCCTCGGCAGGCGACGGCCAAGAGTCGGACCGCGAGTACCAAGGCTGCTATCTCGTCGGACTCGAGCATCAGCAGCAGCAAGATTCAGAAGGCGGCACCCCGTCCAAGGAAGACCAGCGGGCCGCGGGCGGCACGCTACAGTCCCTGCTGCAGCGGTTCGAGGAGCTAATCCGCGGCGACGCCAAGTACTACGACTCCAACTGCATGTGGATGAGCGCCTCGGTGGTGCGGCGGGACGACCTCGGCGGCCTGGCCGTCGACGGCCGCGAGTGGGGCGAGTTCACGGCCGGGGACGACGAGGAGGACGAGGAGGACGAGGACGAGGACACCGACCGGGACGGCGACGACGACTCGCTGGAAGACGACCTGGCCGCGCTCTCCGTCTCGAGGAAGGAGAGGAAGAAGAAGAAGGGACGCAAGGTCAGGGACGCGGCCTCGAGCTCGGCCTCTAGGCCGGGCGGCAGCGGCGCCAAGTTCCGGGCCGCGGCTGACGTCATCAGCCGCCTGCGTTGGGACCCGTCGCTGGACAGCAGCGACTACATTGTCGGGTACGAGGATCGGTTCAAGGGCGCCATGGAGAGGTCGCTCGACGCGTGGAAGTCGGAGCAGACGGACGAGGAGTTCATCCCGCAGCACCGCATTCTCTACTTCAAGAGGAGAAGCGACGGCGTCATCGTTTGGGAACGGCGCACTCGCAAGGACGAACTGTTTGGTAGCGGGTGACCTTTTTGACTGTACAAGTTCATCACAGCCCGAATTATTACGTATTTATTGCGCCGTCTGCTGTACAAGCCAAAACGTAAAGCCGTTCTGCGATTCCCTTTTCGCCACGACCCGAAACGCCATCATGTAGGCAGCCAGTCAAATCAAACACGAGGCAAGTAGCAGCAAGGCAGATGGACGAGGCCAGATTATCCACGATTTCCGTCCGAGGTCATTGAGAAACCCCCTGAATTCTCTGTTACGAATGCTCATTTGGACTTCTTTGGCTTTGGCTTGACATCCTTCTCGGACAGCTCTCGTATCACAATGTGAGACTGGCCCTTCCCCGTGTAGTTCTCCATACCGTCCTCGAAGCCGGGGCAGGTGCCGATGGCAAGAAACCTGCCGTCGGAGGAGAAGGCCATGGCACGGGCGGCCAGCTGCTCCGGCATGGGGAAGATCTTCATGCGGCGCTTGGCCTCCGAGTCCCACACGGCGACCTGGCCGTCGCCGCCACCCGAGACGAAGGTGAGGTACTCGGGGTGGAAGGCGAGCGAGTCGACCGGGTAGATGAGCTCCGTGTCGGGGTCCTTGGGGTCCGGGGCGCGGTGGCACTTGAAGGCGTACTTGCGGGCCTGGGCCTCGGGCGAATCCTCGAAGAACTCGACAGCTACGCGGCCCTCGGTGCTGCTGGTGGCGTACCCGGCGTCGTTGGGCATGCAGGCGATGGCGCGGGTCATGAACTTGAGCGACGACTCGCGCTGCTGCCACGGCTGGAGCCCGCTTTCGGGCCCGCTGGCGCCAGACTTGAGCAGCGCCGCGACGGCGGGCAGGTCGAATATTTGAACCATGCGGTTGTGCATCCCAACCACGAGCTTAGTCTTGCTAGCGGCCATGGCATGCACCTTGACGGGCAGCTGCACCACAATCGGCTCCCTGGACAGGTCGTTCGCGTTGAATAGGCGAAGCGTGCAGTCCCATGCTCCTGACGCGAGTATTGCTGATATGCCCCCGAGATATTAGCCAGACTTCATTTGTGGTAGCCCATGTGAGCGCTATGCACTGACGGCGGCAAACCAAGCTCACTTAAGCTTACTTACAGTACTCCGGCATATATGCGATACACCGAGCTGGCTTCTCATGCCTGCCAACGACTGTGACGTCCCCACTCTCAAGATCGATTCTTTTGAGGTAACAAGGTTAACGATGCGGCTCAGACCCTGCTACCAGAACACGGAGCACACGCCTCGCCTACCTCTTGATGGTACAGTCTGCCCCGGAACAGAAGCCCTCACTATCGTCACGGCCAAAGGTGACGTCCAAGACCGGGCTCTCCTGCGGGTACTGCCTCAGCAGAGAGGCACGCGCATCATCGCCCTCGCCCTGGATCTCGTAAAGATAGACATTTCCGTCCATACACGAGACCAGAAGGCGCCGTGAGTTGGGCGCAAACTTGATCGACGTTGGGCAGTCGCCCGGTGCTGGTTCCGCCTCGAACATGTTGCTGGGTCTGAGGTAGCTGTGGTTATGCTTTTTTTGGCCCGCTAGGTGGAAACGCGCTTTTGAGGCTGCTTCTGTATGGCAGCCAAGCTCCAGTTTAAATCGCTGATAGGAATTGGGTATCACTTCGGCTTGTCGCTATGGCTGGAGGCTTTTGATGCCGCTTCTCTTCCGCCCAAGGCGCCTCCTAAAGCCCGGAGCTCTCCAAGCTTCGTCGGAAATAAATGTCACATGGCGATAAGATTGCCAATGTGGATCGAACCAGGTTGCTACAGTGATGAGTTTGGCGGGGTGTTCCGCAGGTGGGGGCCTATTCTGACCTGCTGGGTTCCAGCATCCATGTCGGCGCATGGAAGCTCTGGATCCATCAAGAGGGGCAGGCCGTGATGGAGATAGCTTGCAGAACTTGGTGGAAACATTAACGAAACCTCCAACCCGTTTTTATCTGCGCCATACACCCAGCACGCCGCCTCGGACCAGAACGACGTGGCCTTCTCTGCCGTTGCCTCCGGATTCTACGCACCAAGCCTCCCTTTCAGCGTGGTCAGCTGAGATGCCGTTTGCGCAACTCGTTGTTGGGGCGCCAGGCTCAGGCAAAAGCACATACTGCTATGGAAGTGAGTCTCCAGAAGATGTGGTGCATTCTCTCAAAAGGCGTCCTTCCTAGATGCGCCCGAGACTGACGCTTTAGGTCACCAACCATAGTGCATCAGTTTATGGGAGCCATCGGCCGCATGAGCTCTGTCGTCAACCTGGATCCAGCCAACGATCGCACGAATTACCCATGCGCCCTAGACATTCGCAACCTGGTCACTCTCGAGGAGATCATGTCCGACGACAAACTCGGACCCAACGGCGGTATTCTCTACGCACTCGAGGAGCTCGAGCACAATATGGAATGGCTAGAGGAAGGCCTCAAAGAACTCGGAGAGGACTATATCATATTTGACTGTCCAGGTCAGGTTGAACTGTACACGCACCACAACTCGTTGCGCAACATTTTCTTCAGGCTACAGAAGATTGGATATAGGGTACGATGGCTTTCACCTTGCCCCTCCGATAACGATCAAAGCACTAACCTATCGGCGACAAACGCGCGCGCAACAAACAGCTCGTCGTGGTACACTTGTCGGATAGCATCTGCCTAACCCAGCCGTCGCTCTACATCTCAAATCTTCTCCTTGCCCTGCGCGCCATGCTGCAGATGGACCTTCCACACATCAATGTCCTGAGCAAAATCGACAAGGTCGCTTCCTACGAGCGCCTCCCATTTAATCTCGAGTTCTATACAGAGGTACAAGACCTCACGTATCTGCTACCAGAGCTCGAGGCCGAGAACCCGTCACTCCGAAGCGAAAAGTTTGCTAGGCTCAACCGGGCCGTCGCGAACCTGATCCAAGATTTTGGCCTTGTCGGCTTCGAGGTACTGGCCGTGGAGAACAAGAAAAGCATGATGCATCTGCTCCGTGTGCTCGACCGCGCGAGCGGTTACGTGTTTGGTGGCGCCGAGGGGGCCAACGACTCGGTCTGGCAGGTCGCAATGCGCAACGAGGCCTCGCTCATGGGCGTCCAAGACATCCAGGAGCGCTGGATCGACAACAAGGAGGCGTACGACGAGATGGAGCAGCGCGAGTGGGAGGAGCAGGTCAGAGCCCGCGCCGAAGCGGCAGACGCTGCTCAGGCTGCCGACGACGACGGCGACGCCATCATGGACGTCCCCCGGGGTATACCAAATAGTGGTATCACGGTGACGCGCACCAAGAAGTGAGCGAGCGCTTGTCTGTTCTTGGCGAGACCGAGACCTCTTATTGCCAATCGCACACAAAGACTCTTCGCCACATGCCCTGCGCAGATCGACATAGGTTAGATATGTCCCTGCATCGTTCTCAGTCGTCCTCTTTGAGGCCGGCGGGTTCGGGTTCGTCGTCTTCTTGGGCGCCTAAAAGGACACCCCGCATCCGGTCCTCGGCCGACTTGCCGCCGAACAGCGTTTCTAGGACGTCAGATTCGGACCCGGCCATTTGCTTTTCGACGGCGAGCACAAGGGCCTTGTGGCGGCGTATGGCGGCGATCTCGACTTTGCGCATGGTCCCGCCGACGTGGATAACGCGGAACGTGCATGGCAGCCCATTCTTGATGGGCACACGGTCCATGAAGGTAAGGGCGGCCCAAACGAGGCGGTAATGTTCGCGGTGGACTCTGAGAATGAAGGTTGACGTAGCATTGGACAAGTATTTGACTATTTTAGGGGCGTCGCCAAAAAGGCACCAAAACTGTTAGCTAGTCGACAGAGCATCGCTGACCATGATGCCAGGCAGGTGGTAGGGGCCTATATGAGATGAAAACCCACGCTGAAGCCCACGCTCAATCAGTCCAGAGCCGTAGTCTCCAAAGATAGAATTGACCTGCGCCCTGACGGCTCGCAAGATGGCTTGGGGGGTCAGGTCGTTGGTTGTCGGACGATGCAGAACAGCTAGGTCGGGCTCGCCTGGCTTGGAGTCCTTGAGCGCATCCGGGTACAGGATGTTGACGAGGAGATATCTCTCTTTTATGCGCACCATGGTGAGCTTGGTGGTAGGCTGGACTTGACTGCTTTGTCACGAATTGCCAACAACTAGCGGTCGGGTTGAGCTGGAGAAATGCACGGATTCCAGTTGGCTTGTGACGCGACGCGGAGCTCAAAAAAAGATTCAATTGAGCTGCCTGCGCCGTCTCCAATTCTACCTCCCCACTGTGGGGCCAAAGTAAACGGACCCCGCATGTCATCATCGCCTCCTCTTGCAATGACAGCCGACGGCTGAGTGAGAGCAGTGCGCTAGCAAAGCTGGGTGAGAGAAAACTGGTGTGTGAATGTATTCAAGGTCGTGATCTAGGTAGTGCCTCGCATGCTCTTGGCTGGTTATGTCACAACCCCAGATTCCGCAGAGATGGTCTTTATAGATCAATAAGCAGCACCTAGGCTACACAAGCCTCTATTGGATGTCACTGTCCCAAAGACACTGACACGTCCTATAAGTTCTTTGCGGCCACGCAGCCATCCATCATGGCGCATCCCACACTCAAGGCGGCGGTTCTCGTCGTCTCCACGACGGCTGCCCTGGATCCGTCGACGGACGCGGCAGACGCCACCCTGCGAGGCGTCTTCGACCAGGATGGCGCCGGGCAGTGGAACGTCGTCGAGTCTAGGATCGTGACCGACTCGGTGTCGGACATCCAGCGCAACATTATGCAGTGGGCCGATGCTGCAGACCCGCCAAACCTCATCCTAACCACAGGGGGTACCGGGTTCGCCGTCCACGATCACACGCCAGAGGCCGTCTCGGCCGTGTTACACAAGCAAGCCCCTGGGCTAGTTCATGGGATGCTTGCCTCCTCCCTGCTGGTAACGCCGTGTAAGTGCGCGCTCGCTATCCTTGCTGTTGCCACCCCGAGCCCGAATAGTCTACGCCCACATATCGCGCCGGGCACGAGCTGACACGCCACCTCCCTGAGGACCGGCTGAAGTTGCCATGATGTCGAGGCCCGTGGCGGGCGTGCGCAACAAGACAATCATCATAACGCTGCCTGGCTCACCCAAGGGGGCAAAGGAGAACCTCCAGGCCGTGTTGAAGCTGCTGCCCCATGCCTGCGCCCAAGCCGCAGGCGCCAACTCGCGGGCTCTCCACTCAGGAGGGGTGAAGAAGCTGGAAAAGGAGGCCGGGGTAGCCGGCACGGCCGCTTCTTCAGACGCCCCGCAGGGCCAACACCGCGGTCACGACCATTCGCATGGGCACTCCCACGGTTGCGGCCGCGACCACGGCCACGGCGACCTTGTGAGGCACACCGCGCCGGGGTCATCCGGTACCATATCCAACGACCCCAGCCTGGGGCCAACCCGCCGCCACCGCGAGTCCCCCTACCCCATGCTATCCGTCGACGACGCGCTCGCCCTGATCCACCAGCACACGCCCCCGCCCACGGTCGAGACGGCCAAGGTGGACAGGGACCTGGTGGGCGCCGTGCTGGCCGAGGACGTCCGGGCCCCCGAGGACGTGCCCGCCTTCCGCGCGAGCATCGTCGACGGCTACGCCGTCGTGGTGCCCGAGGGCGGCGACATGCGCGGCGTCTTCCCCGTCGCGTCCGTCTCCCACGCCGCGCCCGGAGAGGAGGCGGCGCCGCCCCTGAAGGAAGGCGAGATCGCGCGCATCACCACGGGCGCCCCGCTGCCGCCCGGCGCCACCTCGGTCATCATGGTCGAGGACACGGTGCTCCGGGCGCAGACGGACGACGGGCTGGAGGAGAAAGAGGTGGAGATCCTGGCGCAGGGCGTGAGGGAGGGGGAGAACGTCAGGGAGGTCGGCAGCGACATCAGCAAGGGCACCGTCGTCCTGGCCGCGGGGGAGCAGATCTCGGCCGTGGGGGGCGAGCTGGGGTCCCTCGCGGCCGTCGGCGTCGGCGAGGTCAAGGTGTACCGGCGGCCCACCGTCGCCGTGCTCTCGACGGGCGACGAGGTCGTCGAGCACGACCGCCCCGGCGCGCTGCGCCTGGGCGAGGTGCGCGACACCAACCGCCTAACCCTGATCTCGGCCGCGCGCCAGTGCGGCTACGCCGTCGCCGACCTGGGCATCGCGTCCGACAAGCAGGGCGCGCTGGAAGAGAGGCTCCGGCTCGCCCTGAGCCGCGCCGACTTCGTCATCACCACCGGCGGCGTCTCCATGGGCGAGCTGGACCTGCTCAAGCCCACCATCGAGCGCTCGCTGGGCGGCACCATCCACTTCGGCCGCGTGTCCATGAAGCCCGGGAAGCCCACGACCTTCGCCACGGTGCCTGTCAAGGACGAGGCGCTGGGCGTCCGCGCCCCGCGCGTCGTCTTCTCGCTGCCCGGGAACCCGGCCTCCGCCCTCGTCACCTTCCACCTCTTCGTCCTGCCGTCGCTGCACCGCTGGTCGGGCGTCCGGCCGGCCGGCCTACCCAAGGTAGTCGTCACGCTCTCCCACGAGTTCTTCCTGGACAGGACCCGCCCAGAGTACCACCGCGCCCTGGTTACCGTCGGCAAGGACGGTTGCCTCGTCGCCAGCAGCACTGGGGGCCAGAGAAGCTCCAAGGTCGGGAGTCTCAGAGGCGCAAACGCTCTCGTCTGCCTGCCAAAGGGTTCGGAGCCGCTGCAGAAGGGGGCCAAAGCTGAAGCCCTGTTAATGAGCCCCGTCCGTCCCGAGGTCTGAGCTTGTCTGTTTTTGTATAGAGGCACTGGGCTTGTTGGACATCCTGACCGAGGCTGCTTGGGGAGGTGTGTTTCGAGGAGAGATGTGTTAGTAGCATTGATGATTGCCTTCTATATACCGGTATGGCCACATAAAGATGCCAATGGCTTGACTTTGCCCCTTGACGTTTCCACCACCATCGTTCATCGCCCAGGCGAACCTCGGCGGCTAATCATTAACCGGGCCCCGACTCCATTTACGCCGAATGCCATCTGCAATCCTTCCCGACGTCTGGCCAGCAGCACTTGGAGCCGGGCCTGCGGTGACAATTATTAAATATCTCGTCCTCGTATTTCCACTGATTAGGGCTTGGTCATAGCCACCCATAGATACGACCATCCTCCGTAACTCAATGATATCCACCTTACTCCAGTCAGGCCTCATGACATTCCAAACACCACCGAGCGACGCATTTAACACCATAGAAGCCGAGAATTTCCATGCAGAGGCTCTCCTGGTTTCCCAAGGCTTTGTTTTCTTTCTTTCTTTTGCTTAAAGCCGGTGCCAAGTAGTGACGAAGGAAGTCGGTAGTGGTGCAAAGAGGCAGCGAGAAATCCTGTGATCGCAAAATGAAAGAAACGGGTGGCAGCAGCCCATGAGCTGCTGCTGTCCATTATGGAGAGGCCTCGCAAGCCTTGTTGGAATCAGGTATGAACAGAGAGTTGGCGGAGCTTTGGGTTCGGCATTAAACGACAGCCGGAGGGGTAAGCTCTTCCGCCTTTGGTGCCGACTCTTCGACTCGGGGCCGTTTTGCAGCCCGGCCGTCTTCTTGGAAATCAATGGTTTCACTCGCCGTCCTCATCTCCACCTCCAAATCTTCGAGGCGCCGCTTCAACATATTCTCTCTCCGGTGGCTCTCGTCTAGATCGTTTCGTAACTGTTCGTTGATTTGTGTTGTTGATTCGAGCTCGACCCGTAGTTGGGCGTTCGTCTGTGTGGCGACTTCAAGCTGCGAGAGCTGACGCTCGAGAAAGTCGTTGATCACCTCGAGCTCCGAGACGCGCGTCTTGTAGCTCGATATCGCCGCAAGCAGTTGCTCTGGGGTTTGCGGAAGATGGTCACCGTTGAGGAGAGCGGTGGCCTGGCCGTCAATACCGAATCCGGGCAGAGCATTCGCAGGGTATTGCCCATCTTCAAAGCCTAGTCGCTATTAGCATCAGAAGATACGCTGAACACAAGGGGTTTCCAAAAAGACACGCACCTTCAGTGTGTCCATTGGCAGATTTTTGTGCTGCTCTCCGGGCACCAAGAGCTGCCCCGGCAATACTGGCTTGTGTCTGAGCGTCAAGAGTGCCGTTCGCCGCCGCGGCCGCCTGCATTTGTTGTTGCTGGAGTTGCTGTTAGTAAGGCGGGCGCGATGACAGATATGCAAACATGGTCATGTGCCAAGCCCCTCACATACCTTCTTCTTCAGAGCTAGATCAGGCCGTATCGATTTTACACGGTTGCGACTCTTGATGACGTCTGTCTTCAGGGAAATTGGCCGAGGCCGGCCGTGGAGTTTGAGAAACAAGCCACATGCATTACAGAGAACCGCGCCCGTCTCATCACGCCGCCACAATGGGGTCGTAGAGGTGCTACAGTTTTGACAAACGGGCTGTCGAGTGTCTCTATCGTTAGCCATTATCGACATATTCAGACTTGAGTAAACGATACCCAATGAGCGATAGAGCACAAAACCGAAGGAAATCAGCAAAGAGTGCCCACGATGGGACCCAGTGGGAGGCAGGCAGGCTGGGAACGACAAGAACAAACAAGTGATAAGGAGATAAGACAAAAGCAAAGATGATTTGTTGATAGGAAGATTCGGGGGCGCATCCGGGGCCGTTCCCCGTTCCCCGCCCCCGGCTCAGCAGGGCGGGTTGAGGCGGGGTTCAAGGGTGCAAAGCCTACCGCGACTAACCTCCTTCCCCTGACTGTGAAGCCAGGAACAGGGGTTCCAAAGCTTGGGGGTCAAACAGACCAACAGAGCGGTAGGATGGAAAGCCATCCCTTGATGGGTGTTCCTGGGACCAACTCGGTACCCAGGACAGGCGATAGGAGACGCAAGTTCATCGTATAGAGAGGGATGCATGTGGGACGGAAAAGCACGCCTCAGTTCATCCAACTCATGTCACTGATAAGATAACCCAAAGTATCGTGCCGCAACCAGAGGGATGGGCCGGAGGTGAAGGCAGAAGGCCATAGCTTCCGCGCAAGGGCGAAGATATAGCAAAGGAAAAGCGTCAAGACGGTGGGTGAGGGGTGAAAAGGTCCAGATAAGGAATACCGGAAATATAGAACATCACTCACCAGGTTACCTGCAGGTGCTGAAGCAGGTGAGGATACCGCAAAAGTGGCCTGTGGAGGGATTGCGGCGGCAGGAACAGGTTGTGCCGGAGCTGGAGGGTGCATCAGAGCCTGTGCCGAATCTGCCACCTGAGCTGGTGTAGGTGCCGGAGCCATTGCCGGACAAGAGGTTGTACCTGAGACCGGGGCCTGGTCTGGTACTTGAGCTGACATGTTTGCTATCTGGACTGGCAATGGTTCATGCATGCTGTGTGACTCGGAGATCGAAACGGACATTTCGATGCTTTGTTGATGAAGCTCGTCCGCTGGAGCTGCCACAGGCAGTTCAGCGGTAGCTGCTGGTATTGGAGGCGGCGCAGGTGAGGATTCCATGGTGGGGGTCGCGGGCGCCGAGCCGGTCGGGGCAACTGATTCCCTGACACTGAGGGCATAGGTCAGCTGCCTGCCATAAACTCTGGGCATGTCGAGCCGGTTGGATGGTGTTGTTGGGATTGGGGAATGCGCATGTGAGCGCAACTAGGAATCACCCTTTGGCATGCGTATTCGGGAGTATCGCGTGGACAAGGCCCGAGGTCCTGGCCAGATGATGGCCAGCCGGTGAAAGAAATAAAGCCCGAGCTAAAGATGGAGACCTACCTCAGGTGGGGAGAATCAAGCGCAACCTCAGCAGCCACCAACGTTGCCAGCTCAGTGAGGTGGGCAGCATCGGCGTGTGATGTGACCAAGTCTGATGCTGCCATCGGTTCCAGCGCAGCCGAGACCGGCGCAAGATGTTCACTGTCATCCATTGTATGTTGATTTCGTGGATAGGACTGAAGGATCGACAAGCAATTGTGCTATTCGAATTCAATGACGGGCGTATACAGGGAGATCGCTGGCAAGTGGTCTAGGTTCTGAGGGAGTGAGTGCCTGATATCGGGGAGGAGACGAGGAGATCGTGGTTCGAGAATCAATGTCCGTGTCTGTCGTTGTTCGTTGGCGATCGGGCCTATCTATGGGCGATTTATTATGTCTCGACCCGATAAAGGTGGAGACGAAGTCGAGATACGCAGCCAAGGCCGGCAGTGGTTATGATCGCGTTGGTCTCGTCGCGACGGGGATCGTGGGCGCGGTGTGAAGTCAATTGTGCGATGAGGATCTAGTGGCCAGAGAGCCCCTCATAAAGTTGGGATTCTGAGAAAAGAAAGGTTCTCGATGGTGTAATCTGGTTCACGCCGTTGCCGTGGGGTGAGGCTCGCGCTCGTCGCAAATGGCGATGCCGCAGAGGGGGTTTGGCGACGTGAGGGAGACGCGAGTTAGAAATTTTGTCGCAAGCCCCTTATCAGGACAGATGGGAGATTATCGACATCCTGGTCAGCAGATTGTTAGCGCGTTCCCCCCACGAGCGAAGCAAACCTTAACAAGCCACAAGAGGCCAACCTTGAAAGCGGGACTGTAAAGTGGGCCCACGAGGCGGGGAGGACCAAGGAAGAAGTGCATCTGATAGCGGCAAGAGCGAAAATGGCAGGCGAGCTGCAAGAAAAATGGCACATAAGTCACAGAACATGCAACCAGCTGGGTTCAAAAACATGGAGTGCATCATACATTCTGAATGGAGTATATAAGGTGGACACTCTCCGACCCGAACATTCGCTCTTTCCTGGGAAGTCGATAACAACCACGGTGATTCAGGCGTCGGCAGGCTGTCCACAGGTAAGTGGGGCATTTGTACCATGGGCCCACCGCAGTATGTGGGGGGCAGCTGAGCGGCGAAAGGCAGAAAAAAAAAAGCGGTGATGACGCCCTGATGATTTAGCAGCTCCCGCGTGCGGCGCCTCTGTCAGCACAACAAGAAAAGCCGAGACCTGCGACCACAGCGACAATGCCTTCAACGTACAAAAAAGATAAGCCGTGGGATACGGATGACATCGACAAGTGGAAGGTTGATCCCTTCACGCCCGCCGACAATACCGGTGGCACGTTCGCCGAAGAGTCTTCCTTTGTTACTCTCTTCCCTAAATATCGGGAAGTCTACCTGAGGCAGTGCTGGCCACTGGTCACCAAGGCCCTCGAGCGCCATGGCATCGCGACGACGCTCGACTTGGTCGAAGGCTCGATGACAGTCAAAACGACGAGAAAAACGTTCGACCCCGCTTCCATCCTCAACGCCCGCGATCTCATCAAGCTCCTGGCCAGGAGTGTCCCAGCGCCGCAAGCAATCAAGATCTTGGAGGACGGAGTCGCCTGCGATATCGTCAAGATCCGAAACCTCGTCGGCAACAAAGAGCGTTTCGTCAAGCGCAGACAAAGGATACTGGGACCCAACGGGAGCACGCTCAAGGCGCTAGAGCTGCTCACGTCTACCTACATCCTTGTCCATGGAAACACCGTCTCTGTCATGGGGCCGTTTAAGGGACTGAAGGAGGTGCGCAGGGTGGTGGAGGACTGCATGGCCAACATACACCCCATCTACCTCATAAAGGAACTGATGGTCAAACGAGAGTTGGCCAAGGATCCCGCCCTGGCAAACGAGTCTTGGGACAGGTTCCTGCCCAACTTCAAGAAGAGGAGTCTGAGCCACCGGAGGGTACCGCACAAGGTCACAGACAAGTCCAAGAAGACATACACGGCCTTTCCCCCGGCGCCGGAGAAGAGCAAAGTCGACCTCCAGATCGAGAGCGGAGAGTATTTTCTCGGCAAAGAGGCCAAGCAACGGGCGGCTGAGGCAGAGAGGCAAGAGAAGGCTAAGGAGAGGAAGGAGGAGCGGAAGCGAGAACGCGAGAAGGATTTCGTGCCTCCGGAGGAACCTGGGGCCAAGCCCAAGAAGAGGAAGACGAAGGCTTGAGGGTGGGGGTGAACGACCAGGCAAACACACCATCATCAGCTGGGAGGGGACAGCCGCGAGCGTTGTCATTCATCGCGAATCTCAATGGCGTGTGGTAGGCGACAACCAACCAGTCCACGGACCCCTCGACTCCCATCCCTCCGAGCGAGAGCAACACCAGACTTTTAATCAGTAACAAGATAGGGGAATATACCCATGATAGCACGCTGCAATAGCCCAGCGAGACGTCTATTGTTTGTTCGTACCGGAGATACGTCTTATTACCTCTCTTTGCTGGTTGAAATGCAGCTCGGCGTGGCAATAGCGGGACGTTACCATCTCTGAGGTGGAGGAATTTGATGCATCAGTGCGCATTTGTCATCTTCCCCCTGCCGATGGCTCCAAAATCATCGGGAGAAGATGAAAGTGCCAGGTGCGGGGCAGCACCACACCAATACCAGCTAACAGGGCATTTGGTTGGTCACGCGGTTTAAATGGTGTGCATTGCATGCGCGATCACGAATACGAATTCGAAAGATATAAGATGTGATTGGTCAATGGATCAAAAACCCAAGCCCAGCAACTGACCAAAGACTGACAAAGCTAATGGATGAGAAAAGGGACAGGAACGCTCAGCAGCAAAGCCTAGCGCCGTGCCTGATGTCCTATCAAGTGGGAAGCTGTGTGCAAATTGGACACAAACGTGGCTGAAATGAGGCGGCTTGTAGTGTTGATTAGTGAGGACAGCTTTTTTTTTCTTTTTTCTTTATTACTCGCTCACCGCCCACCCGACTAGACCTGCATATTCAGGTTGGCAGGCTCCTCAACAAAACGCGATCCAGTCCCTTCTGGGCTGCTTGGACCCTGCGTGGCCCACATCATTGTGCCATTGCATTGGGAAGGTCCGCACCAGGCACGGCTTAGTGCGTTGGAAGTGTGAAAAAAAAGGGCACGAGAATGTCCGACATCGTCACATCCTGCCGGCGAGGACGCGGCGGATGGAGTGTCTCATCTCCAATGGAATGTTGATCGTCCCACAAACCGCTAGAGGTGTCGCTATGCGTATCCGCGCCGCGTTTGGTGGACCGCTGCAGTTTCCTCGGCCTGACTTCTTGTTTGCGCGCTGTTTCCCCAACAGAGCTACGACAGGAAGCCTACTTGTCATGATGCGTCATTCTGCGATCGGGATTCTCGGGGTCCGTCTCTGGAAGCACCTAGTCGAAGGGTTCCTAGCGCATGTGGACAGCAGTCGGGCAGCTCGGGACGCAGGACCAGCAACGGCCGACGCGTGGGAAGGGCGTGCCTGGTGGGGGTGGATGGATGGTGTGCGAAGCCCACATTGGGCGAGCGTGATATGAGCCTGTCGGGTGGAGGAGAGGGGACATCCCATGGGTTCCATCGGGGAAGAACAGGGAAAAAAATCGGTGTTAATGCCAACAGGACAGGCGGACAGTCAAGTGGGATCCATGTGCAGAACGCGGAGCTAAGAAACTGGCACCCGCCGCGTGGACAAGGATAAAAGATAAAGTCACATTTCCGATGGAGCACAAACGGGCCATGCCTAATTTAATCAGAAAGCCCAAGCGAGGAAAGTGCCTTCTAATATCCGTGCTGCCGCGCTCTCCATCCCTCGTTGCTGTAGCTCCTGCTTCCCTCCCCCACTGTGAAGACGTCGCAGCGCCGCGAAAAAAACCCAAAAAAAAACTCCCGGGTTGGACATCTTTTTTTTTTTTTTCTATCTTCTCCCTGGCGCTGCTCCCGTCGACCCTCACATAACCGAGCACACCGATCGCACAGAGAACGGGCTGCCGAATAGCCATGGCGTCACTTGCTTTTGGCGTGAATGGCACGGCCTTTGCCTCGCCTTTGGCCAGCCTGAAACCTGGGGCTGTAGCTCTCCCACCACAGCTTGAGCCCATCCTCGAGGCCATCTCGCAAGCGGGCATTTGGTCCATCTTGATCACTCTATTGCTGGTCGCCGTCGTCTACGACCAATGTATGTACCCGAGCCACTCCGTCCGGTTGTCTTGTCACCTCCATCGCGAAGGGAGGAGAAAAAACGAGACTCTCGAGCATTATACTGACAGGCAGACGCACAGGGAGCTACCAAACGAGCAAGGGCTCTATTGTTGGCCCGCGCTTCAAGGAGCCATTCATTGGCCCCTTCCTTCAATCCGTCAACCCCAAATTCGAGGAGTACTACGCCAAGTGGACCAGCGGTCCTCTGAGCTGCGTCTCAGTCTTCCACAAGTATGAGCGCCCCATACCGCCCGCCCAATGTGACACCCATATGCGCCACCAAAACTCGAGAAGCTGGCAAAGCGCAGTGATTTTTCTTGGATTTCAGTCTGGCTAACATACTCGCGACTTTTCCTCGTATCTAGGTTCGTTGTCATCGTCTCAACCCGTGACCTGGCTCGCAAGGTCTTCAACTCGCCCGGCTTCGTGAAGCCATGTGTGGTGGACGCTGCCCACAAGCTTTTGGGCGCCGACAACTGGGTTTTCCTGGACGGGAAGGCTCATGTGGACTTCCGTAAGGGCCTAAACGGCCTCTTCACACGCAAGGCCCTCGAATGCTACCTGCCCGGCCAAGAGGAGGTGTACAACACCTACTTCAAGAAAATGGTTCAGGTCACTAAGGATGCCGGAGGCAAGCCCGTCCCGTTCATGACCGAGTTCCGCGAGGTCATCACGGCCGTGTCATGCCGCACCTTTGTCGGCCACTACCTCTCGGACGAGGCTGTCCGCAAGATCGCCGTTGACTATTTCTACATCACCGAGGCCCTGGAGCTGGTCAACTTCCCCATCATTCTCCCGTTCACCAAGACTTGGCGGGGCAAGAAGGCCGCTGATATGGTCCTTGACGAGTTCTCTAAGTGCGCGGCCAAGAGCAAGGTGCGCATGAACGCCGGTGGTGAGGTCACGTGCATCATGGATGCCTGGGTCAAGCAGATGGTGGAATCCAAGGTCTGGACCGACGCCGTGGCGGAGGGTCTTTCTACCGAGAACATGGTCAAGCCCCAGCCGCTCCTGCGAGACTTCACCGACTACGAGATCGCTCAGACCATATTCACCTTCCTGTTCGCCTCGCAAGACGCTACCAGCAGCGCTGCGACGTGGCTGTTCCAGACAATGGCCCAACGCCCCGATGTCCTTGACCGGGTCCGCGAGGAGAATCTGGCGACGCGCAACGGAGATCCCAAAGCCGCTGTTTCGCTTGACCAGCTGGAGTCCATGAAGTACACCCGCGCCGTTGTCCGCGAGCTTCTGCGCTACCGCCCACCAGTAATCATGACCCCGTACATGGCCAAGAAGCCATTCCCAATCACCGATACCTACACTGCTCCCAAAGGTAAGATTACTTGCGATGGCTCCCTTAGTGTCGGAGGGTTTCTCGGTCCAAATGTGTCTAACAATATATGTGTAGGTGCTATGGTTATCCCGACGACCTACATGGCTCTCCGCGACCCTGATGTGTACGAGAACCCCGATCTTTTCGACCCCGAGAGGTACTACACTGGTGACGCGGAGGAGAAGGGCGCCAAGAACTTCCTCGTGTTCGGCGTCGGTCCTCACTACTGCCTCGGCCAGCACTACGCGCAGATGAACCTATGCTTGTTCCTCGGCAAGGCATCTCTGATGCTGGACTGGAAGCACCATGCTACCCCGATTTCGGAGGAGATCCAAGTTTTCGCGACTATTTTCCCCAAGGTGAGTTGGCCGCTGCGACAAGATCGTGATTGGAAACGAGGTAGCTCATGGCACTAACGCGATCACCACCATATTAGGATCACTGCCCCCTCACGTTCGAGGAGCGCAAATGGAACTAGAGGTAATAACTGGCTGCCTGCAGGCCACACGACTGCGGCCAAATCATATATAATGTTGTCCCACGAAGCGGCCGGCGGGGTTGCGACACCAAGCCTCGTTACAATTGGCAGGACGGCTTGGTTTTTGATTAACGAAGAACGGCGATATTTTGCACGCGATAGATTAATCATGGTCGTCGGCGCCCAACCGCCTTTGGTGGATGGTGATGGGCAGTTGGGCATATAAACATAGGCCATTGGGCTGGCTATGACCACCCAACAATATCCCTAATACTTACTCTGGCACTCTGTATATAAGCCCCCCAAGCCACCAGACGATGGTCTCGCACACGGTAGCAGCACGCTCTGGTTATTTGACGTTGAAATAAGATCATGACCCTCCCGCCATAGCTCGGAAAGCCATGCCTCGTGCCCGTGTGACAAGGGCCTCTGATTTGCCCGCGGATCCTTTCCGAATGGCTGGCGGCGCTGGCCATGACGGGCGACCTCGAGGGGCGGGACCCGCAGGTGGCTGTCAGCACGGGGCTGTGACATCAGTGGGGCGGAACTCTAGTCGGCGAGCGAAGCTCTCGGCGCCGTACCAACAAAGGCAAAGCTCATACCGCACGCTTCCGCCTCGCTCGGTGCGATACGGAACAGACCCGGCGCCCGTGTCCTCTCCCCCACCGACCACGCCACATCCTTCGACCATCCACCCGAGTCTCCATTTACCAGCAGCAGCACTAGCAGGGCCTCGCAACTATGGCCTGCACGCGCGAGGTCCTCCCGGGCCTGCTGCTCAGGGCATCGTCGTTGTCGTCGACGAGGGCGCCGCTGCGCATAGCCGCCGCCGCCGCCTGGCACTTGCTCGAGCGCGGCGGGCGCGGGGGACGCCACGCCTCCCTGGCGGCGGCCCCGGCCCCGCCGCTGTCGTCATGGCCCCTGGCGCGGCCGCTCGTGCCAACCCGGCGCTGGTCCCACTCCCAAGTGCCGGCGCAAACCAAGATCTGGGATTTCAAGGGTGTATGCCGTCTTTTCCCATCTAGCCGATTGAGTTTCGCGTGTTTTGGGGG